AGGTGTTACCCAGAACGGCCCTGTGACACCAGGTGATTCAAGACAGAACAAAATATCATCCCAATAATAATTGATATATAAGAAGAAACTAAAAAACAACTTTTTAAAATGAAGCATTTACCAACAATTTTTTTTTTTTTTTTTTTAATATAGCTGCCTCTAAAATTGATAAAACTACACTAGCTAGATGGCCCCAAACGACCAAACCCATGACTGGTCTAGCTCTCTAGTTTCTAGTTAGGACCGTTTCTGGACCTTGTGGAATTAGTTTTTTCTTTTTTAAAAAAAAAAACAATTAAGAAAAAATGTCAAGTATGATCTCTAGTGCTCATTCGTGACTTCGTGTCTTAGTTGAATGATGATGATAAGTAGGAGATATTATTGTATCTTACTTCAGAAAAACAAATGTATATAATAAAGTCTTCTCGACTTTTCTAATATCTTCGACAAGCCTTTCTTTTTTTTTAGAGTAATTTACCTTAATCTTATAAACAAAGGTATAAATATAGTCGGTTTGAAACGTATTTAGGGAATAAAAAAAAGGATACGGATCTACGTTTTTCTTTGAACTAGTATACTATACCTTGAACATTACAGTCACATATTACTGTACTTGTCCTTTCTTTTGTAATCACAATTTAAAATGCTAACGCATGACTACTTGAAAAAGTTAAGAATAATAATCATGCTAATTTTAACACTGTTCGTTAATTTTGTCATTTCCCTTCTAAGCCTTTTATGCAGCACCACTAGTTTTCAAAGTGGATTATACTGTATATGTTTTTCTTTACAACATGTCAACAACTAGATTATATATGAACTCATTATATATGTATTAGTAGCTTTTTTGGTCGACATGCGACTTTATTTTGGCTTATTAATCCAACCATGTCATTTATGGTTAAAAAACCAACTAATTTATATTAAAAAATTAAATAATGCTAAACACTGTTAATTTTGTCACTCCCTTTTTTTGGATTATACTTCTAAGTTCCAAACTAATTTTCAAAGTATATTTCTTAAATAGAAAAAAATCCCCAAAAAATTATAAATATCGTCTAAATTCAAGTTTATCTAGGATGAATAATTCGAATATCTCAAAAATATAATTATAAATATCTTCTTTTTTTTTGTGAAACTGAAATTATAGATATCTATATTCGAGTTTATCTAGGCCTATATTCAAGTTTATCTAGACTGAATAATTCGACTAAATCAATTATACAATCTGAACGGAATGAGAAAATTGACTGACCTTGCTTGGAATCCTCCGGCGATAAAGCGGCGAGGTTTGGGGGATATCATCGTCAACGTAAAAAGGGTCACTCGTATGAATGTAAATAGAGAAAAGACCTTCATGGCCTTTGAAAAATCTCTCCCACAGTTTAGCCAAAGGAAGCTTCCCTCTCGTCAAGAACATAAACGCCACTTTCTTTGTCTTCTTTAACGTCTTTTCTTGAATCTTTGATGCACGTAGAAATAGTTCCTCCTCCGTCATGTTGTGCATCACGTTCTCCGGCTTCACCAGAGAATGACCCTTTTGCCCTTCGTCATCATCATCATTAGTCGCAACAACAACCGTATCTTCCAAGGAAACGACTTTCTCTGGCTGCGGTTGAAGCGGTGTAGAGAAGGAAGATGAGAGGGAGGGGGAGAGAGTAGACAGACGAAAGATTTGGGGATTGAAAGAGACGTTTCTTATGTGGACGTTGAGTATGAAGCCTAGTCCGAATCCGAAACCGATAAGCAACGAATACAACACGAGAGCTTGGAAGAATCTATGAGATTTGAATATCTTCGATATGAAGATTTGGTGAAGTTGATAACGACTTTCTTGTTGTAGAGAGTCTTCTTGCGTTTCTTGGCTCTTCTTCATTATTTTTGAGTCTGCTGAAACTAAAAATTAGAACCGTGGGACGTTATATAGTCAAGATTATGAATGTTAAATGGACTTTTCGTAATTGGGTTTCTTTAAATATCTAATCTCACGGGCTTTGGATTTTACTAGAACACTGAATTGACTTGTACAGGATTTTAAGGGTAGGATTAATTCAATTGGTCCACGAATTGGGTTTTATATAAACACGTTAACTTAGATTGCGACATTAAACATGAAGTAATGCTTTGTTAAGACATGTAGTGTGTCACCTATCTTTATATTTCTAAATATTTTTATTACTTTTTTTGGATATGTCAACAAACAAACAAATTCATCAAGGTTCTGTTTCAACTTTCAAGCAAGGAGAAACAACAAAGGAATGTGCTTAGAAGACAAATTCTCAGTTTCTAACAAAGCAATTTCTTCTACACTCTCAAGTATTTAACCCTATAGCATATAAAACCGATGAGTTATTAATGAGTTTAACATCTCAAGACTCGGGCCACAGAACAGCTCTCTACATAATCTGACCGTTAATGCGACTGCTGATGGTAATCTCGACACCGAAGTCTTCAAAATATTTGCTTGCATGATCCATTGATATACAAATTCATTGTATTTATGAGCTTCGATTGTCTATTCTTCGAGACCCATTGATACCTCTTTAAATACCTCATTTTTGAAGTATTAAGATACTTTTATATTGGCGTTTAAAAAAAAAAAGTATTTTTTGATTAAATTTATTTAAATAATATCGAAAATGTACTTTTTAATACTAAAAGATATTAAGTATTAAACATCCAAATTAAAAATAATTTTTTTAAGAAATTTTCACCATATCGAAGAGAATGATTTTCTCCTGATCTAGGAATGATTAGAATCAGCCCACCAAAAAAAAAGAATGATTAGAATCAGAGCCGGCCCATGGCCCATGAAGCATTTGTTTGCGGCTTTAATACTAAATAAAACGTTTGGCGTTTATATTCACAAAACGTTCCGATAGTGTAGTGGTCTTCGTCTTCCATAATTGGTGTCGAGCCTCCTGTTCGATTCTTGAATAAAGCTTTTTTTTTTGGTTTTGTTAGTGTTAAATATTTATTTCATTTGGGATTTTAACTGCTTCTTGTGTATCGGATTTTACGTCTATATATATCGAGGGATGGCTCTGGTTCTTGTGTATTTCATTTGAGATAATTTATTACTCGCTGGATGGCTAGGAGAATTTCCATTACTCAATAATTTAAATCTGAAATTAGATTTTGATATAATAGGCATGCGACTTTAATAAGAACGTTGTACTCGATTTAAAGATAAAATGAGAAACTAAATCATCCCACGAAACTAAGATATATGACAGATACGAAGTGTCGAAAAAACAAAAAAATTCGAGTGCACCAAATTTGGTGAAAGATGCTGCCAACTACAAAGAATTTGGTGTACTAAAAACTTGCCACCTGAAAAGAAATAAAAGGAGAATGCAAATGTTTATTATATATAATGAAATCAACAAAATCTTAAAAATCCGAAAAATAATTTTGTTTTATACATGTTATCTACTCTTTTGGAACTCTACTCCTCTTTTAGAACCGGAAGAGAATCTGGTCCAATCTGAGGATATAAGATGTACTTGTTGAAACAGAGAAGAAGTTGGTAAAATGGTGTGCCAATATTCTATTGGCCACCCTCACGGGAGGGACAACTATTGTTTATCTCAAAAAAAGTCTTGGACTGAGGATTGATGTCTTCATTAGGAATGTCTTAAACCTCTCAGCTCTCTACAAAGATGTCACGGTGCTCCAGTATCAGAAATAATTTTTTTAAAAAAAATCGCTTAATTTGGCTACTTTGTTTATTTAAATAATATAGAATGTCAAATGCCATTTTCTTGTATGATGATGTGACATTCATATGGAGAGAGTTAGCCAACTTTCATATATATGATTATTACTCGCTGGATGGCTCTGAGAAATTGCTAAATAATTTGAAATAGAATTTAGCTTATGATATATTGGGCGTGTATTGTACAACAAAATTAGAACCATATGATATACTGGGCGTGCAATTGTACAACAAAATTAGAACGGTGTACTCGAATTAGTTTCTCATTTATCTCTTACTTGGTGCAATGTCTCGATGAAGACTATCTATCCCATATTAACTAAGAAATATGACAAAATATTTATAATATGATGTATCAAGAGAAAAAAAATTGTCTATGGAAGCAGACTAATCTTTCTTTGGTCAGAGAGCATCAACATTTGGAACTGGAATGGGTCACTACAATGAGTCTAAGGACTGATCTCTGTTTATTGTGCAACTAGCTGTTTTTTGGGAGGTGATACATTGTCTGATTCGTTTTTGCAGGATGTAGGCAACAAGAACATAATCCTATGCACAGCTCTTAATGGAAAGGTGCGTCAAATTCTTAAAAAGTCGCTTTAAGACATTAGTTCGAGTTTTAGTTTTAACATTATGAGATATTTTTTAAAACAAATAAATTAGTGGTTTAGAGATTAGATGAGCTTATAAATTATATGAGCCCAAGCCATTTCCAGGTCTTATCAATAAATCATATTATAATTCACATAACTCAACAATGAATTACTTAATCAAACAACGAAAAACAAACAGTAAAGAAATCTCGAATCATCAATTTTGGTACCTCTACATTAAAGATGAAGTAATGCTTGGGCTAAGACTAGTTAGTGTCACCTCTTTGATACTCTCTCCGTTTTAAATTACTTGTCGTGTAAGGTTTTTGCATAAGAATTAAGAAAATAATTAAATTTTCTACTTTACCCTTGTATAATATATTCTATAATTTTTTTTTATTGACCAAGACATTAGAACAATGAGGATAAAATTAGAATTTTTACCAAACATTTGCATTGAAAATCTAAAACGACAACTATTATGAAACAAAATTTAAGTGTTAAAACGACAACTAAACTAAAACGGATGAAGTATATTTTTACATTTTTTATTACTTTTTTATTTGGAGACATGTCAACAAACAAACAAACAAATACAAAGAAAACAGATTTGTATTGTAACATCAGCTCATTAAGGTTTTGTTTCAACTTTCAAGCAAGGAGAAACAAACAAAAGGGAGGTGTTTGGAAGACAAGTTCTCAGTTTATAAGAAACAATTTCTTCTACACACTCAAATATCTAACCCTAAAGCATATAAAACCGATGAGTTATTAATGTGTTTAGCATCTCAAGTCTCGGGCCACAGAACAGCTCTCTACATAATCTGACCGTTAATGCGACTGCTGATGGTATCTTCAGTAGAATGAGATGCTGTAGACCAGTTTCCGCCTGTGTTGTTTTTCAAAACCCGCAACAATGTCATCGATCGTATCTTCCCATGTTTCATTCCCTTCAATCTCTTGACAGAGTTCCAAGGCAAGTCGGCCACCAATAGCTGCTTCTTCGTGGTTGTCTTTAACCTCCAAGTTCATCACAAGTATGGTTTTCATAAGCGACTGTTCTCTGTTATTAAGATCTGCAGATTCGTGACAAAATCCAACTTGATGAGATAAAGATATTAAGACACAAGAATGTTTGTATTACTTGTACACAGTAAGAAAACTGACAGTTCTATCAAACCATGAATGCAATCGTTTCATTAATTCATACATGTAAACATCTAACCAAACTAGTTCAAATTAATTTACCAAATGAGAAGACTGTTTGGAAACACCCCATGTAGAAGATCAAAGTCACAACATTTCGTTTTGCTTCAAATGGGATAAGTGGCCACAAATTTTCATCCATTATTAGAAGAGTTTGTGATGAATATCTATCTACTTAGTTAGTGAGCACTCAGGATGAAGCAATTATGAAACAAAGTATTTAACCGTAAAAAATGAGGAGGATTAAGATTACCTTCAAGGACAGAATCAAAAACCTTTTCCTCAAAAGTCATAACCACATCAAACACACCATCACCAGCATTATCTTGCCATCTTTGAGGAGCAAGCTTCACAGATAAATTCCTCTTAAGCATCTGCAATATACCATTCCGCTTGTAACTGATGAAAACAGTTAAGGTATCAAACTTCAAGCTTACAAGTCTCCCTATACAACCCAATGAACATGGTTCAAAGTACAAAACAAGGCAATGCATCACAGATTGGAGAAAACATAGCCACAAGCAAGAACTTTGTATATTTACTAAAAACACACTTTTTATTCAGTCATGTTGTCAACATTTAGAGAGAAGAAAACATATTTTTTCCCCAGAATCAGTGTCTAACATCAACCAATAAACTTAAATGTGAATTAGGAAACAAATTAAGGAATTTGAATAGCATAATTGTTATTCTAGCCTAAGAAAGTAAGTAAATTAGAAGGAGATTGACACAGAAGCATTGACCAAACAAAACTTAGGGATTCGAAAAATCATGATCGATATGCAACAAAACAAAGGAACGCATTAAGAGGATACAGTTCAGGATCTTTGCGCCTGAGCTCATCGAACATTTGCTTGTAAGGAGTTCCAAAGTCGTAGACGTTAGGCTCTCTGAGCGATGGTCCAGGTAGTTTTACATGAGACCCAGTCCCGTACGAAGCAACGTCGAGACCTTGCCTCTTCAGAAGAGCGTGAGCTTCCATGCTCCGGTTCTGATTCGACGAACATACCATAGCGTACCGGAACCTCATCGCGAAGCCGCCGTCGAACAAATCTGCAATTTTCCCGGCGACTGTGCAGTTAACAAGTTAAGTCGATTTCAGTGATGTAATGTGATGGTTTTAATTGGGCCTAATAATGGGCCTGAGTCTGAAACGGGCTTTATCAAGAGATCGAATATTTCTTTTCTTTTTCCCTTTGTTGTTGACCCACGACAAATTCTTGATAAGAGGAAAATTCTCACGATAACGATGTTTTTTTTGCGACTTTATCGTCCAATCAAAAAGGTCCCATGCTTTGACTAGACTTTATGGGTTTATCACTACGTGTTAGATTTGACTCCTTGACTTTGTCTCAAACTTAAGTCCCACGCAAGTTACTATTTTTTCCAAATGTTTTAAAGTTATTCACTAATCTTTTCTCTTTTCTTATCTTTTTTTTCCTTAAACAGTAGTACTTGGTTAAAGGCAAAAAAATGTTTTCATCACAAAAAAGAAAAGAAAAGAAAGAGCTGAATTGAAAACGGAACTTAATGTAACGCGTATTAGTAGAGTTAGAGCATGTGCAGTGGGAAGTTCTCACATGGATTCTCAATAATAAAAAATAAGAAAATAATAAAAAGTGGGAGAGAGAAACCAGAATCGATTCTCATTTGAGAACATTTGAGAACCTTTGAGAGACTACCTTTACACATGTCAGAATATAATTGGTTTTTAATTTTCTTTTATTATTTAAAATTAAAATAAATAACTAAATTAAATGATATGTATTAAAATAATATATTTGAGAGACTTGCAAAGTCTCTGCACATGCTCTTATGTGTCCATGCTATGAGTCAATGACGTTGACTGACCCAACGACTTGTGTTACGTTGCATTAATGTGACGTTGTATAAGCCACTCCGCAATAACGATTAGGAAACACCTCCTCAATCATCACAAACTGGATTTCAAAATAATATCCCTCACCTTCTCTTCATCTTCACTCTGAAGGTATTTACAATAAAACCAGCTACGTGTCGTTACCAGAGATGGTCCGCCGTAGCTTGATGGCGCTGCTGAAGATGTGCGGTGGTCATTCCTGTTCCGGGGGAGAAATATCAGCCGAAGATGGCGGAGACGATGGAGACCGTGGCATCTTCTTCAGTCTCCAAGAACTTGAAGTTGCGACTGATTTCTTCTCCGAGAAGAACCTGCTCGGAACCGGCGGATTTGGCCCTGTCTACAAGGTAAACTCTTAAAAAACTCTGTTTTAAAAACAGAACAGAATTAAAGGGACATTTATTTGATACTGACATTAATAGGGATCGATGCCGAATGGTGAAGAAATAGCAGTGAAGAAGCTATCAGTGGATTCGAGACAAGGGTCTAGAGAATTCACGAACGAGGTTAAGCTCTTGCTTAGGATTCAACATAAGAACTTGGTTTCGTTACTGGGTTGTTGCTTCCATGGTCCTGAGAAGATGCTGGTTTACGAGTATCTCCCTAACCGGAGTCTTGACTACTTTCTCTTTGGTACGTCTCTTTAATTGTCCCACAAGCCACACCAAACTGTACTGAATCATTGGTTCTGTTCTGTTCTGTCATGATTTGAAAGAAGTGCAGTGATCGGTTCTTCATTCAATTCGAACCGGTTTGGTAGAACCATTGATCACTTTGTAATTTTCAGATAAGATCAAGCCCGGTTCACTTGACTGGCACCATCGATGGCGAATAATTATAGGAGTGGCCAGAGGACTGTTGTATCTACACGAAGAAGCTCCGATACGGATAATCCATAGAGATATAAAAGCCAGCAACATTCTTCTAGATAATGATTTGAACCCGAAGATCTCGGATTTCGGTTTGGCCCGGTTATTCCCAGGCGACGGCACTCATACCAATACCTTTAGAATCTCTGGTACTTTGTGAGTAGCTGAGTACACCTAATCCCATCACTATCTCTATTATCTTGAAAATGATTGTGAATGTTTTTTTTATATGCAATGATTGTGAATGTTGTATAAGTATATTAAAGAGGCTTATGTGAATGTTGATGCAGTGGCTATATGGCTCCTGAGTATGCGTTGCATGGGCTTTTATCGGTCAACTCAGATGTTTTTAGCTATGGAGTCTTGGTTTTGGAGATAGTTAGCGGAAGAAAGAACCAAAATCCTCGTCTTGGACCAGAAATGGCTGATCTCTTGAGCTATGTAAGTTGGAATCATAACATTTACTAGTTCGATTTTGCATAACATATAAAAATGCCATTAGAGTTGGGTTCTAATCCTCATTGTTGTTAAGTTTCATAGGCTTCCAATTCATAACCAATTGGCCACGACTCTTATATACTAACCAGATCTATTCTCATTTTTCCAATGTTGGATCTTCCACAATTACACTATATACTGAATTATACCATACTGAAGGACTCATGAATCGTTCTCAATATTAATTTGTTATGTAGTTTTGGTCGGCATTAGAATCAGTCCCAACGTTCGTAACCAACCCGAGTCATGGTTTTGTACTAAACTATGGAAAATTCACCCCCTACATGTTTCCATTTGATCTGCTTGTATGTAAACTGATTCAACATTTTTTCCAACAAAAGGTTTGTTTAACTCTGAACAAAAATACCGAGGATATGTATCTTAGTGGTTTGTCCTACTGTCGTCGTTGTGTCACTACCTCGGTTTAAACCCATATAATGCAAAAATGTTATTGAAACAAAAAAAAAAGAGGTCTAACTCAAAAACCAATTTATATTCGATACAGGCGTGGAAAATGTACCAAGAAGGAAAAATTCTGGAATTGATGGATCAATCTCTAGCAGGAGTATACAATCGCGACGAAGCAGCCACATGTTTCATCATAGGATTACTGTGTTGCCAGCAGATCACATCCAACAGACCGGATATAAACATGGTTCATCAAATGTTGTCGAGCGATTCATTTGATTTGCCTAAACCGGGTCGGCCTGGACTCCAAGGTCGTAGAGGAGGCGGCTATACAAGTACCGGGGCCGGTACAGGAGCCGGTTCAAGAACTTTTGGATTAAACGGAAGCGAACCAAACAGTTTTAAGAGTAGAAGAAGTAGTGGAGGAGGAGCGGCTGGACAGGATAGCATCGTTGAGGAGTACTCGAGGAACTCCATTTCCATGTCTTCCTTCGGCGAAGGAAGATGATCAAAACATGTATATTCACCCATATTTACGTGTATATATAGAGAGACAAAGAAGAGGACCTTTTATATTATATGTTTATGGTTTATGGATCGCTAAGATCTTAATATATTCTGATATGAATTAGCAACAAAAGAAAATATGTTTTTCGAAGTTTATGTTTATTTAACGTTTTCTTCAATAGCTTTTATTTTGTGTATAATCGAGTCTGATTTAGCGGAGCTGTTTTAGGCAACCTAGGTGATATGTCTTTCAGAGTAATAGACTTTTATAGGTAAGGTAATTTCAACTTTCAAGTTCCATCTTCCTCAAGAGGAACAGTTTGACACCAACCTAATTACTGACTATATGACTTTTTGTTTTCTTAGTAAAAAGATAACTGAACAAAGGAAGTTTAGTTTCACAAGCAAACAAGTCTAAGTTTCTTTTATCAGAGTTTTCTTCTAAAACCAAAACTAAGCTATGTGGTCTTATCTTTGTTATATATGTGATCTCGTTTTATTGGTTGCGTTCTATTTGTTGATTTCTTCAACTGGGTGGATCATGTGTGTAACAAGTATTCATACAAAATGAGATGTACTAGAAAGGAAAACCTAAATTATGAAAATATAGAAACCGTGTATGAAAATATGAAGTTTTGTTTTGTTAATTAAGATATTCTATAAGTTTAGATACAATAGAATATACTCCAATATATGTATGCACCACAACACCAATGAAATTTAGATGATAGATTCACATCTTTGTTTATATTTCGTCAGAAATAACCCAACTACCAACCTGAATAAAAACAGAACCAGTATGTTACAAGTCCGGTACATGCCTAAAACTTAGCAAAGTAGTAAACCTCAAAATGTATTTAAAATGGAAGAGAAACACTTTTTAGTAAAAAAAACTTTTGAATTGTATAGTTACTGTTCTTTTTGTTTTATGGTCTCAAGTTTGCAAAACTTTGGACTTTTTTTCTTACAATTATGTTTGTAGATGATTTTTTGTTTTTGTTTTTTAGACCCAGTAACACTCATGGTCGGCCCTAGTATGTTATGTAGAGTTTGATATGTAGCATACATCTTGTATTCCGTTACTGTTTTCTTCAGTTATGTCGTTTTGGATTTCTTTCTTCAAGTGGGTTTTGTTTTTTGTTTTAGTTGTAAATCAAAATAGATTCATATTTTGAACTTTGAATTGGATGTTATTTTTTTCCAACCCTATTAATTAGGATTAAGACTCCTTTAAATCTTATATATGTGGTCTGTACCAAAAATATTTCTTTGGAAATTCAAGGAGTTATATATATATATGCTTGTTATCAATACTTCCGGTGTGTAAATTTGTTAAGAGTACTAAAAATAACCATGCATGAAAGGTCAAAGCAACAAGTTAGATTGAGTCTTGAATGCATATGTAATTTGCATGTGATTTGATCAGTTGAAAATGGGTATGGTGATAGGTTCGATCAATTAATTTACTTAATTTGATAGGAACCTAACTCTATAGTAAAACCCCGAAAAGAAAAACGTTTTCGCTCAGAAGTCTAGAGAAACCAAACCAACGTTAAACGAACTTACATTGATTAGAGTTCGACCTTTTTAAGTTTCAACATATACCACATTTTAAGTTTCAACGTAGACCTAAGTTATGTTTATTCAAAAAAAAAAAGTTATGTTTATTCAATTAACTATACGTATAGATTAAATAGGTCATGACATATACTCTGCTACTAGTTTGTGGCAACGTCCTCGAAATGTCTTAACTATATAAGATTTAAGTCTGCATAATTCACATTGTTTTTTTTTAAAAAAAAAGTTAAATTCTAAATAGCCAACATTTTAACATAAATAGGTACTATTTAACTAAAAATGTTATTAAAATATTCTACTATTTGAAACCATGAATATCATCAATCAAACTATTCTTGAGTAAAATTCTTTCAACTTTTTATTGTTCTTCCCTAGTGTTTAATAATAAACCGCTAAAACAATTAAAACTATATAACCAATGAAATCTTAAATCCATATATATAGCAAATGCGATCAATGTAAAATAATAGGATTGGATTAATTGTTCGTTCGTTCGTCACAAATTACAAAAGATTAAGAACAAAAAAAGCAGAAAAGGGCACCAATCCAATTGAAATAAATACTATGTTGAGGTCTCAAGTAAGTTCTTCCCCCTTGAGAAATAATGAAAAAAGTTGCATAAACAGTGCTCACAGGTCCGGCTACCAAACATTGGCCCACTTTCTCTATTTGGATATATCTCCTGATAAATTATGTGTGACCCACTCCTATACAAAAATCCCATAACTCTCACTTTCATTGGCCCTCCTTTTTTATTTTCGAACCCCACTTTTATTCCAATTTTTTTTATATATAAAAAACAATAATAAGAGAACAGTAGTCTATATATAAACGTAGTCACTCGCTCGAAAACAGCCACTTTCTACTTTCACCCATTTAAAAAAAAAAAATTCTATATTTTTATAAAACTGATCAATCTCAATAATGGCGAAGAATCTCTCTTCTGATTTTCAGACATTTACGATGGATGATGATCCAATAACACAACTAGCAGAACTGAGCAACACTCTTCATCAGTTCCAAACATTTCCTCCTCCTTTCTCTTCTTGTCTCGATTCTCTTTTCTTTCATAATCAATTCCCTGATCATTTTCCCGGAAAACCTCTCGAGAATAATTTTCACCAAGGGATATTCTTCCCTTCTAATATCCAAAACAACGACGAGTCTTCTTCAAGAGTCGATACCAAGAAGAGAAAATCATTAATGGAAGGTGTTTCTACGTCGGAGAACAGTGTCTCTGATCAAACCCTCTCAAGCTCTTCTGCTCAAGTTTCCCTAAATGGAAATTGTTTGACCAAAAATGTATTTCGTTAACCTAGAAACCCTAATTTCACACACACACATATTAGACTCTCAGTTTCCATGGATTGTTCTAACTTTTTGTTTTTCTTGTTCAAATCACAGAATTCTTCAAGGAGAGGGAAGAGGTCGAAAAATAGGGAAGAAGAGAAAGATAGAGAAGTTGTTCATGTTAGAGCCAGAAGAGGCCAAGCCACTGATAGCCACAGCATAGCAGAGCGGGTAAAATTGATTATATGATTAAACATATATAGATTTTAGAATTATTGATAATAAATAATACAATGAAATTAAAACCATAAATGAAGATATTTTCATATGAAATTTCAGGTTCGGCGAGGGAAAATAAATGAGAGATTGAAATGCTTGCAAGATATAGTCCCCGGATGTTATAAGGTGATTAATAATTATGAGAAATTTTAACCAAATTATTTTGTTTAGACTATAAGAAAATATATTAATTATGAGAAATTTGGTGATGCAGACAATGGGAATGGCTACTATGCTGGATGAGATAATTAATTACGTCCAGTCCTTACAAAATCAAGTCGAGGTATAACAATAACAATTAATTTCTCTGAAATTATAGATTATCTAACAATTCCATTCGTTTCAATAATCATACTGATTTACTTCTTTTTTTTATGTGAACTCAGTTTTTATCTATGAAGCTTACAGCAGCAAGTTCGTATTATGACTTTAACTCGGAGACTGATGCTGTGGAATCCATTCAGGTACAAAATCAAGAATCTTTAACTTTTAATTAAAATTTTCTAGTAAGACTGATGATGTTTGCTTATGATTTATTTCTTAATTAACTTAACTACATGGTTTGATGTGATTAATTAAATGTTTTAAATATCGATTTTTAATGGTCATATTAAAATGTGCAGAGGGCAAAGGCACGTGAGGCAGTGGAGATGGGGCAAGGGAGGGATGGGAATTCTGTCTTCCATTCATCATCATGGACCCTTTGACTTTTGTTTTTTGCTCTCCTTTTTTTGTCTTTCTAATTTTCTCCTTCTTTTGGATTATAAAAAATATATACTTTCAAAGATTAATTTCAAGAAATCTCGATGCCATATGATATGTATACTTGTGTAATTTCGACATTACAAATATATATACTGCCTAGAGATTTCATTCAACTAGATATCGGAACAGAGTGGGGATACACATAAGGATCAAAATTTTACCGAGCAAGCAAAAATTGGAACCACAATGAATGAGTGTCAGTGTATCCAAATTCCAACCATATTTGTGACATAAATTTTAGTAAGATCCCACAATAATTTTGACAATATGATTGATTCATAAAGTGTTTTGAAAGTTAGAAGCCTCATCAATCACACTTTAGAGAACAGTAATGAGGAATGTTATTTCGGCTTTGTTAGTTAAAAATTAACTGTATCAGACATAATACGATTAGTATATAGTAATAAGTTGGAATGTTCAATACTACATTTACGTGACAACAATCCTACGTACATGCTCCTGATATATACGCCGAAACACAGAACTATATATCAATGTTAAATACATAAAACGTCTTCAAATTTTCATTTAATCAAAAGTTTCAAATCAGCCACAGCTGGAAAGCCTTGAAGTACGTCCAAAACAATAGTCATCAAATCTCAGTTTTAAGAAAAATGAAAAGAGTATTTTAAAATTCGGATGTTCACATTATATTTACAACAATATAGATTAAAATTTGGCATCAGCAGCTTTGATTGAGGTCAAATAAAGACAAGCAAAGATGATAAACTCGAACAACAACTGGACTTGGACATCTCAGGAGCAGTGGACGAAAAATGACAAAACTACCCTTCACTTGTTACTATCGAAAGAAAGACATAATGATGTATGTCTCCGTAACGAAACACAGCGACAAAGAGAGGTTCTATGCAATTTGTGGAAGAATGTGGATTGTGGATTTCGAAGGGACGTGTTTAATCATGGAGCAACCAAAGATTTTTCTTCCTTTTTTTGTGGACTATGTACTTATCTAAACATAGCTTTTAATTTCCTTTTATTGAATGAATTATTGCATGAGTGACGACGGTTCATACAATCATACTTCATAGACTGTGATTGATGTTCCCATTTCATTATAAACATGATTGGGAAGAACATTTGTGAAACTTCTAAATATCTATTCTTCTTTTAGCATGTGATAATACACTAGTTTGTATTACTATTAGTGTTTCTGTTTCATCATTAATAATATTAATTTTCCTTTCGTCCATTTGGATAAGTACTCATAAATGGTCAAAATTATATGAGAAAATTCCAAAAAGTGGAAGTGGAAGATTCATGGCATGTGTTGCTCTCAAAATGGTTGTCTTAGTTTAGAGCTTTAAAGTTGAATTAGTCTGAAAATAAATTAGTCGAAAGCAGAAGGTAAAATTTGAACATAAATAAGAAAAAAATTATATTAAACAAGGGAAAGAAAAAGAGAAAATAGATGCAATGTATGCATCCACGAAACTAGGGAGGACAGCTTGAAATGGACCATTACATGCCCTAAAGAAGATGGAAAATATGTGGGGCTTTTTATTCATTTTCATCTTATTGCATATATTTATATAAAAATAAATTAAAAATGCCTAATTTTGAATAGTTCAACTGCATAGTGGTTGATTGTTTCTAGTTCCACAGGGATACTACTTTTATTACAACATGGTCTTTTGAAAAAGATGTTTTACATTTTGAAAATGATGAACATATCAAAGAATCCAAACTTTCTAAAATATATATAAGTTTAGAGGTTCTCTTTCATGGTTAGACCTTAGAACAAATGTTTAACACATTAATCAAAAAAATGAAAAATAATTCAATATGTTGTTGAAGGGGATAGTTTTGGGAAACAAATAAATATTTGGGACCAACAAGTATTCTATTAATAGATTTGGTGATCACATCATTTGGTGGCAGAGAACAAAAATGGGCAAGTTCAAGGATCCAAAAACATTGTGGGAACCACCAACCACCAATATTTTGGAAGTGACTCCATTTGAATGTGGAGGAGTTGTGGAGGAGTTGTTAGCTCCTCAAATCTCTGAAGTCTTAAGTGTTAAGAGTTAAGATAAAGATACTTAACCCACAAAATCTTCAATTCCACTTTTAAGTATTCTTAATACTTTCCTAATATTTTAACATATCTACTAAAACAATTGTAATAACAGTACAACACCAGAAACATGCTTCCATGCTACATTTTTTGGATAAATACAAAATTTATGATCAAAACATGTATGACATTACAATTTTCTTCAAATCATATTTTTTCTTCAAATCATATTTTTTTCTACGTATTACACAGAAAGTGAAACAAGAGTTGAAACTTGAAAAAGTCTGTAAAAGAACCGTAAACAAGAAGACTTCAGGAAGAAAATTGTTACCGAACATTGAATCAAAATGAACACATAAATTTTCTCCAGAGAGAGATATGACCAAAGTATCAAGTGATGATACCTTTAACTTTGAAAAAACCTATTAGTTTTCTTCTTTTTACAAATTATCCCAAACTTAACTCAGACCTTACATTCAAAGCCAAAACTTGCCTCTTCTAAGTTCTAACATGGAGGAGACCAAGCTATCGTATCAATGAGCTTCACTGTCGGAGAATCTGTTGAAGCTGAAGGACTTGGTTTCTCTGTTCTGGTGGCAGCAGATTGATCTGCTCTGGCGTTAGGCTCATCACCTGTTGAAGTAATGCCTTCTCCATCTCTGCAGATATCTGCACAAATAAGGATAACACAGTCATCAGCAAAAATGACAAAAGCTCTTTGCTCTGTAATCAGAAATTCTCATTTCGATTTCCGGCAAAAGACATAACTACAACGTCTACTGGATAGGAACGTCGAATCCGATTGGTGTGAGGGCCTAACAGAACTACACAATCATAGACATGAATATACATCCTAGCAGCAATAGTGGTTCAATGGCTGTGTCTTGCAGTTGAATGATAAATTACCGGTGCAGGGCGAGGTGGTGGGCCACCTCCAGGCCCAACTTGGCTTGGTGGAGGCACCGGCCCTAAACCTGGGAGATGAGTAATGTTCGAGCTCTCTGATTGGCCAGCCATCCAAGAAGGACCTCTGTCTTGAGCCATCAGACCTGCTAATTGGTTATTGTTGTAGTCTCCACGATATTGACCTCCTCCCTGAAACAATAAACAAGATTACAAGCAGTGAGACCTAAAAGCAAAACTAAAAACCTGTACAGTTTCCATTTAGATGATTTATTTATCTTAAGCAGAAACATGATTTTAAAGGAATCAGAACTAGAAATGGGATGACAAATAGATAATTAACAAAGATGAGAAGAATTTTTGCCAGAAGAAATAATTTCTCATATCTGATTAAGAATAACAATGAAAGATGTTGGAAAGAATTCTCATTAAAGGGTGAATCTACTCATTGAAGGTGTAGTGCTCGGAAGAAAACACAGACATAAAGCAACATAATTTCCATAGTCAATCTGCAAAACCACCGAACATATCGCCTAAAGGTACAAGAAAAGTAAGAGTATAAATACCTGATATGTTGGCTGACTAGGCAGATGTTGCTGTCCCTGCGGGAATTGAGGTCCACCAGAAGCAGGGGGTCTGTTGCCTGACTGCAAAATTGGCTCAAATAACGAGTTTTAGTCAGTCAAAAACTTTAAAATTTACAATGACGGAAATAAAAGAAAACCGATAATAGCTACTCATAACTCTGACTCACATGAAACATGGGTTGAGAGAGATGCTGAGGAGGTGCGCCATGGTGCTGAAACCCAGTGTTTGGACCAGTTTGGGCTTGTCCATATTGATGATGATATGGTCTAGGCTGTTGCTGTGCCAAATGAGGACCTCCACCCGAGTGCATTGGTTGTTGCTGCAACTGAGTGGAGGAAGCTGGTATATCAAGATGATGAAAAGAAGGTGGCTGGGATGTTGGATGATGGGGAGCCGGAGGAGGCGCGTTTTGAACTTGAGAAGACTGTTGATGAGACATAGAAGTGACAGTAGGATTGAGATGTCCCTGACGCTGGGGATGCGAAAAACGAGGCTGTGGTTGAGCATTATTGGTTGCAGAAACAGAAGGCGGAGGAGGCATAGGCATTGGTTGTGGTGTTGGGTGTTTTCGAATCGTGGCTTGTGGCTGCATCGTATTTGCTGGCTCATGTACACTGCCTCCCCCTTGAATAGAAGAGATATGTGCTTGAACATTTGGCTTTGGCGGGATAGATTGATGAGATTGTTGAGGTTGTTGCACAGCTTGTGGCTCAACTTTCGGAGTCTAAAAAAACAGATTTGTAAAATTTAAGATGAATCTATAAACAAAAATGACTTAAGAAGATTGTTTATTCAAAGATACAAGTACATACCACTTGAGGAGGCTGAACCATTCCGAGCATGATTTGTGCCTGGCATTTCAACAAACATAGCATCATCAGCATATACAAATTCTGAAATCTATATGTAAATGAATTTTTTGAAACAGGCATAAAGCTAAACATTGTTCATATCTGGAAACGACACAAAACCCTAATTTTTTAACAAACTGATTCTTCAACAATACTAAACCCACAATAGTCTAATCAAAGTACTCAAGTAAGAAGCTCCAAATCAGAATTTCTTATTGCTTATGAGACCGCACGAATAGCAGATTTTTAGGAAAAGATTAGGGAAGTGAAGAAGAACCTGGAAAAGAGCCTTGGTCAAAAGAGGATTCCGAATCAGAATCTCCCTCGCTTGTTGATGGTTTTGATCAATCAACGTCTGCACCATTAGATTCGCTGATCAATAAACAGAATTCGAAAAAAACAAGAAGAAAACAATTGTTCTCCATTCAAATCCGTGAAGGATTAGAGTTGTAGCTGATAATCGGAGAGTAGAGAAAAGAAAGAAGAGAGAACCTTCATTTGAGACATAATGTCGTAGAGCTGACTTTTTGTCATTCCGGCGAGATTTGCCGGTAAACCTCCGTCTCCGCCGATCTGCTTACCCGCCATGGTTCTCGTCGGTAATCGCTACCGAGATTAACCTGAATGTTAAAGTCGCAACACGAGTACTTTGATAACAAAACTGGGCCTAGCATAATACGGGCCCATTTAGTATAAAAACGACTTAACCCGGCCCATTTAAAATTCTAGACTTGTTTAGTCTATGAACAACTCTCTTCTCACTCTCTTATTTGATCAAAATGTTACCATTTTTCTCAAAACAAATCACAACTATAAAATATAGACATGCATTAGATATGTACGTTAAATATATTTATATGAAATTTATTGAAAATGTTTCTTTACATGTACCATGTTAATTGTACACGTAACATGCATATGTATATTGTATAATATATATATCTTTTGGAAAAGCAAAAGCTTATAAACACAAGTTTACATTAGAGAGAAGCGTGTGACACGGTTTTGGCCTCTTCACTTTCTTGTTGCTCCAGAGATCTTCTTTTTATTTTTGTCTCCATCCATATTTTTCTTACGCGATAATTTTATATATTTCATGATCCATAATATACAATATATATTGGATTCTTGCCTTTAGTAAGTCGGTAAACATCATCAACTTTTTTTTTATTCTTGCAGGTAAAAATAGAGTCTTCCTCTACATTCCTCTTCCACATGTTCTGTTAATTTTAAGTTTTGGGTAAGAATAACCCATGTATATCTCACAATCATTTCATTCATAAGTATAGCCAAATGATTATGAGATATTCATATGAGAATATATCTCAAGGTAGTCAAATAATCTTTAAACTTGGCACTTGGTATAATTTCAGCATGCCCTTTAAAGAATGAGTAGGCGTATAATCTTGTCTCAAGGAAATTATAAGAAGTCCAAATTTATAAACATGTATTGAAACAATTAAAATATATAAATTAATAACCAAAAGGTAGAGATAAAAAAAAGAGAGAAGCACTCAACATAACCACTTTATTTTTATTTTTTGGTAAAACCACAAACTTTGCTTTTGATTTTGTAGCCGGGGAGGTCTCTCTCTCTCTCCATTTGATAGGAAGAAGAAGAAAGATAGAAAAAGATAAAAGAAAGAGAGAAAAAAGAGATTTAATTAAAATGCAATGTTATACAAATGAAGAAGCATTAGCAAGTCTCTTCATCAATGTCTCTACATCTTTCTTTCTCCTCCTCCTCCTCCTCTACTCCGCCGTCTCCCTCCTCCTCAAGCTCCTCCACTTCATCGGCGGCTACCCTCTCCTCCAAAGGTCTCTATCTATATATACACGAATATACATATGAGAAATAGTTTCTTTTTTTCCCTGTTTTCGGATTTTAGCATATACACTTAAAACAAAATTCTTGGCTATTGCTGAGTTTTATACTGAAAATCTTTTAAATTCTACAATGGTTAGCAGAGTAGTTTCATATTTACGTGTTACCGAAAGTTAGCATATATATATAGCTAAAAAGAAAAGATATGGTCGCTTTTGATGATTTTTTCATATAGTAAATATTGTTCTCAGTTGGGACAAATCTTAATATATATAGCTTAATTTCTTATTATGTAGGAATGAATATGAATATGATTCGGCGGGGTGGTATTCCGAAGATGAAGAAGAGGAGGAAGAGGAAGAAGAAGTGGAAGAATTCAAGATGTCGTGTAACACAAGTTACCATGTGATATCTAGAGATCAAAATCCAGATTTGATAGCTGATATAGGAGACGACGGAGAATCTTTAGTGTTTTACAATAATAACTCTCAAGGTGGACTAAATAATCAACACACGAAGGAGGAGTTCAATAATGTCTATCAAACTCATGAACACGAAGAAGAAGATGATCAAGATTCCAACACTTCTTCAACGGAGGAACACTTTTCTTCTGCCAATGTTTCTCCTTATCACAGCGAATCATCAATAGAAGAGGAAGATGATGGCGTTGAAGATCTTCCTGACAATCGTTATCACGATGATGAAGATGAAGATGAAGAGGTTGGAGGAGTGTCACGATACGATGTCGTTGAGGATTTGGTTCGTAAGCAACCAAATACTACTACTAGTACTCGTGGTCCCTCTCGTTTCCAAAGTGGTTTGGTGTTCAATGACAAAAGCTACAATGGTATTATGATTTCTCATCCTCATCTCTTCACATGTTTATTATTCTTTCTTCACATGCAAACCAAAAGTTGTTTTCTTTCTTTCTACAAGTAACCAAGATTAACACGGTTTCATTGATTTTTTGAATAAACAATGAAATAAAAATCTGAAACGACAAGTCTTATATCCGAATTTAATTATTAGGTATTAGTATATTCACGTACGTGACAATACTCACTAATAAAAAATTATGATTTAAAATCAATGTGAAACCGGTTGAGCTAAACCGTACTTGGATTGGTCGTTTGCTGTTTTGTTAGCAGGAGAGTTTGTGTCTAATGGAGGAATCAAGAATGATGTTGACGAGATACAGTCATCATCGGGGTTTTCCATGAGAGAGATAAAAGCAGAGGAATTAGAGGAAGAGGAAGAAGAAGAGAGAGGAGAGATATTCGGAGAGTCATGCACGAATGGGTCAACGTCAAAAAGCTCATCGGAATGGAGAAACTCTGTCAAAACTGACGACCCTTTCTCAACTTCCTCTCGCCGGAGTTGCCCTAAATGGGAATCTTACACCGTCTTCCAAAAGTACGACGAAGAAATGACTTTTCTCACTAGAATCTCTGCCCAAAAGCTTCACGAAACAGGTGAAAATCATCATATATTATACAATAAATATATATATATTAAGAATCACGCACGAAAGTGTGTTTATCAATATACAGATTTTGGTTTGTATTTTCTAATTTTTGTCTATGTATAGAATCGTTGAAGTCAATCATGGTGGAACCAAGATCGATCTCGGAGAGGATCGTTCACAAGTTTACATCAAACGGACACAAGAAAAAAAAACAACAATATCCTGGTAGCAATGGGTCGAGACCAAACCCGTACGTGGAACTAGAATCAGCTTACGTGGCACAGATATGTCTAACATGGGAAGCTCTAAGTTGGAACTACAAAAACTTCGAGAGAAAAAGATCATCCACGCAACGAAGCTTCAACGACGTCGGATGTCCGGCCGGAATCGCCGACCAGTTCCGTACGTTTCATATTCTATTACAAAGATACGTGGAAAATGAGCCTTATGAACATGGAAGAAGACCAGAGATTTATGCCCGAATGCGAACTCTTGCTCCTAAATTGCTTCTTGTTCCTGAATACCAAGGTAATTAAGTAAGCTTTGAGAGTATATGTTTGTATATGAGGTCATTATCCGAGGGTATAGATTCGGTAATGTATTCATTCGTTTGGATATGTAGATTATGAGGAGGAGGAGGAGAAGGAAGAAGAGAAAGAGGAGGGTTTCAGGTCGAGGATATCGTCAGCATCGTTCTTGATGATTATGGAGGAATGCATAAGAACATTCATGAATTTTCTCAAAGCGGATAAAGAGAAGCCTTGTCAAAAGATCCTCAAAGCCTTTTTTGGGAGAAGTAAACGAGGCTCCGTTGATCCAACCCTTGTCCATCTCATGAAGAAAGTCAACACAAAGGTCAATATATATTTCAACTTCCACATTTTTCACTACTTTATGACTCACTTCTAAAATAAATAGTCATACTTAACCAAGACATGTAGTGTAGTGGTTTTATTAGCATCAATGTTGTGTCACCAAATCCGGTATAATTCATATTGCTAAGTTTTCCAAATTTTATCATTATTAAATAATGTGGCTTTACTCTTTTTCTTTGTGAAGAGTCTAATCTTAACCAACAGTACTGTTGATATATAATTGTGAACAGAAAAAGACGAAGCTGAAAGAGATGCGTCGAGGAGGAAAATACATGAGGAAGAAGAAGATGAGTATAGAGGAGGAAATGGAGATATTGATGGGTTTAATAGACTTGAAAGTGGTGTCAAGAGTACTGAGAATGAATGAAATGAACGAAGAGAATTTGCATTGGTGTGAAGAGAAGATGAGCAAAGTTAAAATTATTCAAGGTGGAAAGGTGCTTCAAAGAGATTCCACTCCACTTTTCTTTCCTCCACATTGACCCCACTATTTTAATCTAATCTCTGAATATACCCTTTATTCTTTCCCCACCCACATCCTTCTTCTTCTTTTTTTTTCTTGTTTTTACACCTCATATTGTAGGAGATCTTTTAGACAAAACCCACCAAATAAAGAGTACCATAAAGTTTTTATATCGAATAAATAGATAGGGATATACTGTAGATTGCTTTAGTTCTTTATACTTTATACTTTCTCTTTGTTTTTCCTTTTCTTGCTCTCTATATCTTTCTACTTTTTAGTTTCTTAGTTAATTAAGTTTCAGGCTTTATTAGGAAGTTAGGTGACTCATACACTCAAGGAATCACAACATTAGGTATATACTTTTAAGGAGGAAAAATCAAATTATTTGTTCCATCATACTTATGATGGGAATGGATTTTTTTTGTTGTGATTGGTAATATAACAAAATAAAATGTTGTGGAATACATTATTTGTTTTTATTAAATTTACGGAATCACAAAATAGTTGAATATAATTGCACAGTCTTGTGAATTGAATCTAGAAATTACCGACCATACCCTAAAAATATGTTGGAAAAAAAAACTCAATAAAGAGAAGCCGTGATGAGAATAATAAGATTCATGTATTTACAAAATTTTGTACATAAATTAACATGAAAATATTGCAAAACTTCTAGTCCCAATCGAAGCCATATGTTAGAGGAAATAAATTAAGAAAACGTACGTAAAGTTTTGTGAAACAAAAAGAAAAAATGATATTTGCAGTGTTACGTGTAATGTATGGGCGGCTAGGAGTAAAAAGCGTTATTTACGCCCACCGTTTTGAAGACTTTGCCAAACTTGAAGTACTTCCCGTCTTCTTAATGCCTGCAAAAAAACATTATCAATTAGACAAAACTCTTAATAATTAAACCCAATTTTTACACTAATCCATACTCAAAAAATCTTCACATCGAATAAGTTCTAAGTTTGCTTACTTGATGACGCTAAGCCTTTACTTGATGATGTCAACCCCGTGACCTTAGCAACGGTCGATGTTGTTCTTGTAGCGACTTTCCGTAGCTTATCGAGTGGTCGTGCTACACTCGTAGATGATCTTGCAGTTATTGACTTAGCTCTGAAATTAGATCCGATAATTAAACGTTAGAAGAAGAAAAAGTTCTCTTAAAACAACAATAGGATGTGGTTTTAAACCTGTCTGAAATTCTGGGTGGTCTTTTAGTAACATCCATGGATCCTTGTGTTCCGATAGATGCAGCATCAGACGTAATCTCGCTTAGTCTCTCATCGTACTCTGCCTCGGCAGAGGATGCTAAACTCTCGCCGTCAGTAACAGAGTATCTTGATTGTTGTGATGAATATTCTCCTGTATCTGAGTTTATGTCATCGGTATGTCCTATGCTTTTTCTTCTCGTCATGGGTTTCTGAAGTCTCTGAGTATGATGCTGAGTGTCTTTTACCTGATGAAGTCTCTCTATCTCTTCGTCTTTTCTCGCTATGGTGTCCTTAAGGGACGATAACTGTAAAAACAACAAATGATTCATTGTATCTTTGAGTAAGAGAGATAAGAGCGAGAGAGAGAGGAGAGAAAGTGTGTCTATTTACCTGTTCCATTAAGTCTCGAACGTCTTTACCTTCTTTACTGGTCTTTGCTGCACCAAGTTCGACCCCGGAGACACGCTCTGCAAATTTCAAGGTACTCATTGACTCTGAATATGAAGTGGCGTCAGGGTTGAGTTGCACAAACATTAGCGTCTTTGCTCGTCCTCCTATAAGCCACAACACATAGAAATACAGAAGTTATGATATTTCTTATTCATGAATGTGGTATTATAGATGAATTTCACTAACCAAGAGAGGTTTGGAGGAGCTGTGTTAGCTTGCTGTTTCTGTATGGTACATGGGAACTCTTTGAAGCGAGAGAGAATATCACATCTCCAAGAGATGAGAGCGATTTGTTTATATGTTGTGCTTCTCTTAGTCTGTCTCCTGTAACTTCAGAGCGATCTACTCTCTCACTTCCTGCCAGATCCACCAAATGAAGATTACCGTATAGCACAGAACCAGTCTTCAAATCTTTACCGCGAACGTGAACAGTAACAATGCTGCATAAGAAAACATATAAATTCAGTGTAACAACATTTAGGGCTGTTGAAAACACATATTTTTTGGTTTTTCTAGAGGATCAATATGAAGAAGAACCTGTGGGAGCGACTACTTCTTTCATTCAAGGCAGTAGAACCAACGGCTCGATTTTGTAGTCCAATGTCCATCAATGTAATCACATCTGAAGTTGATGTCACAGGATACATGCTTGCGTCAGGCACAGCCAGGCCATTTTGTTGAGTTGTAGAAAGGATCCCTAGTGTGTGCAGGTCAAGAAAAATAAAAAGAATGGCTACACTAACACTAACAGTGAAAAAACAAATAGACAAAACCAGGATTTAAAACAAAAGGATATTTTTTTTGAGAATTGTCATCAGACAGCAGATCGAGCACTTGTTCATTGTATATCTCCACCATTTGCACCCCGACTTCATACGATATGTTTCCCTTTCTAGATTGAGAGATTTTAAAGAGATCATTGAGAGCGCGATAATTAACTCCCCAGTCCTCTTTACTTGATCCATCTGGACCACTCTGAAAGAAAGGGAATGAAGGTAAAAGCGCATCAGTGTTTTTCCTATGAAATCTTACTCAGAAAAAAAACCATGAGTACATACCATTGTATAAGTTTTCCCTGATCCTGTCTGGCCATATGCAAATATACAAACATTGTACCCATCAAGTACTGACCTAACCAGCGGTCTTATGTCTGAAAATACCTCAGCTGCAAGAATCCAAAATATCGAATGAACTTGGTGATATCAATATAATATTATGTCTCGAGATGCATTCTCACAAAACAGAAATGAAAAGCATAAAGACATATAATAAAACTAGTAACAGATGAACACACCTTGTGTAGCAGTTGGACTATACACCTTGTTGAACTTAAACTGGCGAAGACCGTCTTTCCCTGGTCTAGTTGGATTGGTAACTACCAGTTCTCCATCCTCACCGACATACTCGACCACTGTGTTTGGTGCACCCTGTCCAGGAAGGAAAGGCCTCACCCGGCAAAACACTCTGATGTTTCCTGCAAGTCATAACTATAAAATTTATGGGCTGCATAAAATTTGAAAATCTACACATCTGAAAAAATATTTAACATGATCCTAGTACCTTTTAGCTCCTGAAGCTCATTGAAAAGCTTTCGGTTTTCAGTTAGTACAGCGTGATAGTTTTCCGCAGCATTGCTAAGTTCAATAAGTTTCTTTCCTGAAGAGAACAGATTTAATTTATTAACACTACAAAAATTGCAAGGTCATGAAAGGTTTATCATGACTACAGAAGCATCAGTTAGATCATTTGCACCTAATTGGCTGAACTGTTCTGTATAGTTCTCTTGAACCTTCAATATTTCTTGCTTGATGGATCTTGAATAGAACCTCAACTCCTGACATTCAGCATAATTAGCCAACTATCGATTATAGAATGATTATTTTGGCATAGTATGTATGAACATACCTGTAGTGCCTGAGACTGGTTATCAATAAAGCTTCTATAGGAAAGTTCTTTCTGGCTCCAACTTTGGTGGTTGGACTCAGACTTTTGCTCCATTTCTCTGAATTTAGTCTTCCAGTTTACAAGGTTTTGTTCAAGCTCTTGAATCTTTCCTTCAAGGCTTGTATTAGCAATTTTTGTTTCTTTTTCCATTTGTTGAAGCTGTTTCATCTTTTCCTCAAGAGCATTTTTAGCAGTATATGCTTCTTTTCCCATTTGTTCAAGCTCTTTTACCCTTTCCTCAAGGGCATTTTTTGCAGTGTTTACCACTTTTCCCTCTTGTTCAAGTTCCTTCAGCCTACTCTCAAGTCCTGTTGTAGCGACCATTGTTTGGCTTTCCATTTGCGAGCATTGCTGTTCATATGCTTTTCTCGTTGACTCCAGCTCTTGCCTTAGCGCAGAAATTTGAAGGTTGAATTGATCATTTTCTTTCAATAGCTTGGTCATATCCTCCTCTTCGTTTTTCTTCTGTTCTTCCCACTTTGACTTCTCTGTCTATCACACATAAATATCCCATGTTAAGGTAAATTTCATGACACACCAATAAAAATTAAACATAATAGTAAAAAACTCAGTTCATAAATCAACTTGCGTATAATGTACCGACCTTTGTTTGGCTTTCAATTTGCGAGTATTGTTGTTCATATTTTCTTTTAGTTGTCTCCAGTTCTTGCTTCAGTGCAGAGATTTCAAGGCTGTATTGATCATTTTGTTTCGTTAGCTTAACCATATCTTCCTCTTCGTTTTTCTTCTTTTCTTCCCACATTGACTTTTCTGTCTAACATACAGAAAACTCCAAGTTAAAATTTGATTTCATGTCACGCCTATTAGAAATACCATTTTTACTCAAAACAGTTCACAAAGCAATTCACAGTATAATGTACCTCTATCTGTCTAAGCTGTTGTGTAGCAATCTGGCAATAAATAAGTTCATCAATAGAGCAGAAGATGTAACACATTAATAAAAAGTTATCTGACAAGATCATTAACAAATGATACCTCATGTTCTACACCAGTTCCTGATGCTAAGGCTTCAAGGACATTGATCCTTGACTGGTATTTTTCCTCGCGAGTTTTGAAAATATTGTTTTGCTGCACATAAACACAAACGAAATTACTCGTAAAACTAGAACTTGAGCATTGCTAGGAAGCATCTTTCCAAGTAAACAAAATCATACCGTTCTTAGATGTTCAGCTTGAGTTGATATACGCCGCTCAATCTCCTGCACGACTTTTCTTAACAAGCATGCCACACGCTGATCATTGTAGCTTTTGTCAAAATATTTCCCAATTAAGAAGTAAAAGCACAAATAAAGGTATCATACGTTATGATCTGAATTGTTGACATTCAAGTACCTGAGGGATTTCACCATTCTTTCTTTCAATACTTTCATCTAGAATTCCATTCAAGACGCTTAGCAATGACTGCGTAGGAGCATTCTGCATCAAACATAAGCCCAAGACATTGTTAGGAGACTTAAAAAAAAAGCACAGTTTCAAAGGAAATGCGGATATTAACAAGAGAGAGCAAATACATCTAAGCTACTTGATTTCATCATTTCAGAAATCTTTGAGGCTTGAAGATCATAACGCCCCTGTTTCATTTGGAAAACCTCATGAAACTTGTGTCCTCCATGGTGCATTGATCCAGGAGATAATGGATCTGCCGTAAAAAGAAGAAAATTAAAGATTATACATACACATACATATGTAGGAACGCATTGAAACAAACGGTATCAGTGCTTTGCCAAAGAATAGATGAAAAAAAAAGAGTACCTAGTTGGCCAGAACTAGCAAGGGCTTGCTGAAATTTGGACTCTGCCAGACTTTTGTGCCTTTCATCTCCGGATAATGGAGAAAATGGAGAGAAAGGACTGCGAGGAGTTTTGGAATCTGCAAGATTTCTATGCCTTTCGTCTCCAGATAAGGGAGAAAAGGGAGAAAACGGACTACGAGGAGTTGAATCTCCATAAGGACTGCCGGGTTGATCACGCATAGGATTCATCAAGCGTCGAGGTCCAAAGCAAACTTATGGAAACACTTGTTAACCCCAAAACTACTGCATTCCTTAGCAAAAACTCCTGAAACATGATTGATTGAGGGAAAAAGAAATGAGCATCAGAAAAATTCATAAGAACACACACATAGAAGAGCAATCTAGAAGACAAAACCCCCCTAAAGCCTTAGTTTTTTTTTTTTTTTTTCTTTTCCTACAAGTAACATGAATCAGGGATCATTATTTGAGAATTCTTATAAGAAAATTTCTCACATTTCCATATTTAAAACTAGAAAAAATCCCATCTTTGAAGTCCCATTTCCATTAATTTCATTAATCTAGGGATTCAAAGATGGGATTTTTTCTAGTTCCTAGTAAACTTCACATGATTTAACCGTCATACAGCATTAATCCAGCAACACGCAAGCCAACAAAAAAACAAAATCAACACAACAATCTCCAGCATTACGAATTGAGGATCAAGACAAAAACAGCAACTTGAGATGATCAAACAAAACTAGCAACTTCCACCAATGCTGGCAAGAACTCAGAAGGAAACAAAACCAAAGAAGAACCTACCAGACGTGTACATTGGTGCAACAAGAGAACAAATTTGACATTGAAAAACCAAGTCAAAACATAGCTTAAAGTCGCGATTTTGCAAAATCGCAACATGGCAACAAAGATATGAGGACAAAAAGATGCGATCTTTGTTTTCTTTACCTTAGAAAATCAAGACGAAAATTTATCGAGAAAGCTTGGAAACGAGCGTTGAGGAGGTCTAACCTGAGAGAAGAAAACAGAGAGACGGAGAAAAGAGACGTGATGGGAATGTGGCTTGATTTGATTATTATTAGCGATAATAGTAAACTAATTAAAACGACTAATTTATTTTTTACTGATTAAAAATTAAATATACAGATTAGAAAAACAAAAAAAGATTTTATTTGGGGTTTGTGTACGGAGGGAGAGAGCGCGAATTTAGGAGGGTGCAGTAACAATTCTTGTTTGGCTTCTCCAATCGTTTATACGGGTTTATGACACGTGGCAAATCCTTGCCTAAAATTAACGTTAAATCATTATTATAACGAGTATTTCAACAGAAATTATAAATTGGATTAAGAAACGATTGATTAACTAGTGAAATATAATTGGGGTACGACGACCAACGGAAATTTTTTATATGTTTCATGAATGATTTGGGCACACGTCGGGTTGTGTGACTTTACTTGGATCGTTTACAATATTTAAGAGCTAGCATATTTTATACTTTAAACCGTAAATTAAGTAACAAACAACATTAGTTGTGGTAAATTGATCTTTAATATTGTTCAAAATATACAAGAAAATACTTTATATTAGAGCCATAGATTAAGAAAAAACGTCGCACTAATACATTTATTTATGTATTTATCATATCGAACTTTAATATAGGAATATTTGTCTTTTTATTGTTGTTACTTCTTAGTGTTGGGATAATTTTAACCATTAATATCGATCTATCGCACTTTAACACATAGCAATCCGATGATACATGAAAGCAAAAAGATTTCCCGCATCTATGTTAGCAAGTGGTATCTCACATCATAATCAGGGCCTGTGCCTCCGAGGCAGATTTCAACTTCATTGGTGATATATTTAAGGTTTGTCTATCATGTCACATAACTTGCGTAAAAAATCATATAAATAAAATGGTGGTGTAAATTAAAGCAGAGGAACGAGTCATATGATAGAGATGTTCAATTTGTTTATGGGTCATGTGGCGTAAAATTGTTTGTTTCTATGTTTCTTTTGGCGTAAACTGCAAAATTGCCAAAAATTCGATGAAGTCACAACCTCTGGTTTTGTATACTGACACGTCGCTTTATCACCACAATCAATTCTTTCTTTAAATGACTAGAAATCCATGATTCTATCATTTCCGTTATGTTAGATCCACAATAAATGTTAATAATTAATTTAGTACCCTTTGAATCTTTAGGTGCTGATTAAACTCAAAAGCATAAATTTTACATTTTAGTGACAGATAATCCTTTTCCTATCATCAAATATTATATGTTAGATATTAAATGTTCTACAAAACTTCAAAGCGTGTTGTTTGAAGTTCCAAACAAGGATGTTGTTTCTTGTTTTCTGTATATTAAAAAATGATCTCATATGCATGCTATTGAATTTGGAAATGTAACTTTCTGCGTTTTAAGTGTCACGCTGCGTTGCGGTCATGCAAACGCACCAACAAACAAAATAGATTCAAAACAAAATTAGAAAATGTGGGTCCGCGTAAGAATCTCCATAGAAGGACACTAGGCCAATCAGGGTGCAAAAACAGAGATGACAGTAAATTTCAACCAATAAGGAGGGAGAATCAGATCACCCGTGGACCCCATTAGGAGTTTCCTCTTGATCTAACGACCAATAGGACTTAACTTTTCCATTTTTTTCGTTTTGATATTTCAACAAAATCAACTGATAAATTATAATTTGATATTAACCATCTACAACAGTGTTAGCCGACGGAAAAAAACACCCATCTATAACAATGATCTCTCCAAACTGTATTTTAATAGTCTATGACTTGTTTCCCCGAAAAGAATGAACTTTTCTTACCATGAACTAGCCATTAGATAGTAAAAATTTGAGGATCATATAAAAACGGAGAGAGAGAGCAAAATTACAAACATTTTTGTTCAAAATTTTAGTTAAGAAAAATGAAGTATATGGTTCTAATTACATTTATCTGGATATAATATATTTTACAATGAAAACAAAAATGTAAATTTGATAGCAAAAAAATCGTTAAAATTCTCATTCTAAGAACCATTTACATAAACTATGAATAGGATTGTTTTAGAGTTTTATTTCTATTTCTATCTCCACTCCAAATAATCGAGATCACACAAATAATTAATCCTCAAAAAATGAAAAATATTAGTAGAAAATCGAGACGCCACACACACCAGTGTTCGTTCGTTGCAAAACCATATATATTACACTCTTTGGTTCTTCTCAAGGCCTCTCTCTCCATTTCAACAACTCTAGCTTATCTATATATCACCGTGTAATACACAGAGAGCTAATTAAAGATGGTGGTCGATGTGGAGAGCCGAGCCGCGAGCGTGCCGGGAGGGAAGATGGTGGCGCGTGCCTGCGATGCGTGCATGAAGAGATCACGTGCTAGTTGGTACTGTCCAGCCGACGACGCTTTCCTATGCCAAAGCTGCGACTCCTCGATCCACTCGGCTAACCATTTAGCAAAACGGCACGAACGCGTCCGGTTACAATCATCTTCGTCGACGGAGACGACAGACAAAACGACGTCCGTATGGTACGAAGGTTTCAGGAGAAAGGCGAGAACGCCTAGGAACAAGGGTTTGGCGTTTGAGAAGTTGTTGCAAATCGAGGCGAATGATCCTCTTGTTCCGGATCTTGGTGGAGAAGAAGAAGAAGATGGGTTTTTCTCGTTCTCTTCCGTAGAAGAAAACGAGGAGAGTCTGAATTGTTGCGTGCCGGTTTTCGATCCTTTCTCAGACATGGTGATTGATAATATCAACGGCTTTTGCTTAGTTCCCGATGAAGTCAATAACACTACTACTAATGGAGAAGAACTCGAGAGGGAAGTCATGAACGATGAAGGTTTTATTGGGTTCTTGCCGTTGGATATGGATCTTGAGGATCTCACAATGGACGTGGAGAGGTTACTTGAGGAAGAACAACTTTGCTTGGGACTCAAGGAACCAAACGATATTGGAGTCATCAAAGAAGAGAGTAACGTAGGGTTTGAGATTGATTGTAAGGATTTAAAGAGAGTTAAAGAAGAGGAAGAAGAAGAAGCCAAGTGTGAAAATGGAGGATCAAAGGATAGTGATGGAGAAGCATCTAAGGATGAAGATAGAAAGACGAGTTTGTTTCTGAGATTAGATTATGAAGCTGTGATTAGTGCTTGGGATAATCATGGTTCGCCGTGGAAAACCGGAATCAAATCAGAGTGCTTGGTAAGTTGGTATCTCTATATCTCATCTCTATTTTAGTCTTTAGTAGTGTCTAGTTCCGTTGACTTTGAGCTAATCAGAATTTCAAATACGAAATTAACGTTTAAAAATTCATTGATCCAGTTGGGAGGGAACACGTGTCCGTCACATGCTGTGGGTGGGTTCGAGGAGTTGGCGTCGACCGTCGGATCAGTGACACGTCAGCAAGGGAGAGACGGAGGAGGATCGGACGGGGAGAGAGAGGCGAGGGTTTTGAGGTACAAGGAGAAACGGAGGACGAGATTGTTCTCAAAGAAGATAAGATACGAGGTTCGGAAACTCAATGCCGAGCAGAGACCTCGAATCAAAGGTCGGTTCGTGAAGAGAACATCAGTTTTGACGTGATTTGATTTACTTTAATCAACACTTTAAAGAGCTTGTAATTAAGAACTTTGAAGTAATTGTGGTAATGTACTACAAATTTAACTAAAATCTTGGGGCCGATGGTTGTAGTCGGTAACTATGTTGTAGCCGGGAACTCAATATAAAATGTTTTATTTAAAAATAAAATAAAAATTGATTAAAATAAATAACTTATTTATTATAAATTGATTAAAATAGTATTTTTGAGACATCCACCCAATGTCTGACCGGATGGAGATGCTCTAACAATACCAAATTTTTCAAACGGTTTAGTGTCATCATCCATATGCCAACGGTTTAGTTTGGATTTCCATTAATTCGAGTTTATTGCAAAAATATTTTTCACTAAAACCGGCATATGGAATTAATTTGGTTGGTTTGATTGACAAAAAAAAAAGAATTAATTTGGTTTTATACAAGAGAGGCATAGCTCACGCGCCGCCGACTTGCTGCGAATGCCATGAGCGGATACGAGCGGAAGAACACGACGGGGAACTCAATCACCATCACCAAGCGGAAGCGATGTTCAATTTCGGAACCATCGGAGAACTTATACGAGAAATCGAATAGGCAGGAGTCAATAACCCTAAAACCTCACCGTTCTTTTGCGCCGGGATCCAGCCAGCGTAGTTGTAAACCTGTTAGACCTAGTAAGTCTTCTCGCCGGCGGCGACGGAGAACAAAGGAGAAGATCTCGAGTTCCGTTGAGCGCGAATGGGTGTCTTCCGCAAACAATTTTGAAAATCTTAAAGGTCTGTGCATTGCAATTCGATGAATGGGATTTTTTTTATCTATTAGTCATTGTGTCAGTTTACACAGAATAATGCACTTATATGCTTAATTATTCATTTTGTATATGACAAATTTGATATCGTCTGTCTGAATCATCTTTTTCAATTCTACAGATAAATTAGTTTTAGTTTCGTACAATGTACTTGGTGTTGACAATGCGTCGAACCACATGGACTTGTATTACAATGTTCCGCCGATGCACTTAGAGTGGAGTAGACGGAAACATCTCATATGCAAGGAGATTAGTCGCTATAATGCAAGCATCTTATGTCTTCAGGCAAGTTCCAGGGTTTATGTATCTTCTTTATGCATTGCTTCATTATACGATTAGCTCTAGGGGAACTGCCTAGAGCTACTCTATATTGAAGAACTTAGTTTAGTTTCATTTATATCCAACTACTTGCGTAGAAAAGCTACGTTTGTCTGGTTTGCATTATCAGGTTCCAATTTTCACTGCAGGAGGTTGACCGCTTTGATGACCTAGATGGTCTTCTTAAAAATAGGGGATTTCAAGGTGTTCATAAGGTATATACGGGTCAAAAGCTTTGTTACCTTATATGCATTGAAGGTGCCTTTTTTCATATATCTAGTATTTTATAGAGTCGGACTGGAGAAGCGAGTGATGGTTGTGCTATTTTCTGGAAAGAGAAACTGTAAGTTCAGTTTTTTCCATTTAGGATTTTGCATGTGGTGGGAAGTCTCTATAGACTGGAGTCAGGAATCTAGCCATTTGAATTGTCTATATGGAAAATATCTCTCTATTGGAGCAAGGAATATTATTATATCTTCCAGTTCTATTTAGTCTCTGTTTTGAATGTTTTGAAATTGATAATGATAGGTTAACGTTGTGTTATGTTATCAGCTTTGACATTGGCTTCACAATATATAGTTAAAGGCTTAAAGCTTTGCTTTCTAATTGTTCTCGATGTTGTTTATTTTGTATTAGACTCTTACTCTCCTAGTTTCATCATTTATGTTATATTTCTGCTGTGAATGCAGATTTAAACTTCTAGACCATCAACATATAGAGTTTGATAAATTTGGCATGCGAAACAATGTTGCTCAACTTTGTGTTTTTGAGGTATGCACGATTTTAAGTAATCTCTGTATTGTCGTCTTCCCCCTCTGACTTTCCTTAATTCTAGGATGCAGAGAGATATGACAAGATGCATCTTGATTGTGTGGATGTTTTTTTCCCCTCCTGTTGTGTTTGTAGGCATGCTAATTGCTTAGTTTCAGCCCGTGCAATTAATTAATTTATTTCATTGTGTATTATGGAACAGATGAACTGCGAGGACCCAAAGTCTAAATTACGTGTGCGATCATCAGAGTATGTCTGGGTTCTGTTTTTGATTCCTTTACTAGACTGAATTTTCAAGTTATTGTTAAGATCCTTACTAAATTTTTATGCGGACTTCCATGTTTGGTTGATATATAGGCAAGCATCTAGTAGTCCTCGAAGGCTAGTGGTTGGGAATATACATGTCCTGTTCAATCCAAAGCGTGGGGATATCAAGCTTGGCCAGGTATGTCTTGCTAGTTCCTTACAAAATTATGAAGAAATTGGCTTATCCATAGAATCTGTTGAGCATTGTTGTCACTACACATCCTGAGTTTAGAAATGTCAATTCTTTAGCTAGTACTATGTTATGGTATTCATCCGTACATCTATGCCTGGCAGTATAGATGAAACTGCATTGAAATTCTAGTAGCTCGCTCATTTTGTTGATATTTGATATGTCATAACTTATAGGTAAGACTCTTTCTGGAGAAGGCTTACAAGCTATCACAGGAATGGGGAAATATTCCAGTGGCGATTGCAGGTGATCTGAATAGCACTCCACAGGTGATCTCTACCAACTTTTTTTTTTGTTCTATTACCTATTCTTTTAGCTGAAAATTGTTCTAAAACTTAATCTCGATTTGCTGGACAGAGTGCAATCTATGATTTCATAGCTTCAGCTGATGTGAGTTTCATTGAGGGACTCTTTTCTTTTACATTTCGCCTGCTCATAATTTTTTCCTTTCTTTGCTGGTAAAGTTAGAATGAACTCTATTATATTCCTTTTTCATTTTGGACAGTTGGATACACAACTTCACGATCGCAGGCAAATTTCTGGCCAGGGTGAAGTGGAACCAAAGGAGAGGTCATTTAGAAACCATTATGCATTTAGGTAACATGAAACTCAACGAGATCTTTGGTTTCTCTAAATAATGTATCTGTATGGCTTTTCTGTTTACCTGATGGACTGATAGATTACTTATATCTCTTCTGTTTACCTGATAACTAAACAACTTCCTCTTTCTTCAGTGCTTCAGTATCCATCTCTGGATCACTACCCAATGAATGGAGCCAGGAAGAACTACAGCTTGCAACTGGTGGTCAAGCAACCACTCATGTCCAACATCAACTGAAGCTTCATAGCGCATATAGTGGAGTTCCTGTAAGTGTTCTTGTTTCTTGTTCTCGACTGGTGGACGCATCGAAAAGAGTTGACAGGAAAACTAAATTATTAGGAGCTGTGGCTTTCTTTTATACTAGATACTGAAAAACGTTTAGGGAAAGCAGCATGTTGTATGATGTTATAGCTATCTTTCTAGTATGCTAAGACCTGAGATCTTTCAGGGTACATATAGAACGAGAGATCAACGCGGTGAACCATTGGCAACAACGTATCATTCCAGGTTTCTAGAAACTGTTGATTATATATGGTAAGTCTGTTGTGATTATGAAATACTAATCATTAATCAGTGCTTTCGATTATATATGGTTATCTCTGTTGTGATATGCACATGTTATATTATGAAATCTCAATCATTGATCTGAAACCTTGGAATCCAGGCACACCAAGGAACTCGTTCCTGTGAGGGTTCTTGAAACCTTGCCAACTGATGTATTGAGAAGAACAGGTGGACTACCTAGTGAGGTATTCATAAGTTTATTTTCTAGGCTAATCTTTTTTTGGTAACCCTTTGTTTTCTTGAGTTACTCTATTCATTTTCAAGAATGTAATATCCTTGTTCAATTTGAATGATCCAAAACTGTGACTATTGGGAGAGTTGCATACAAGTCTCTGACCGATGAAAATTTGCAGAAATGGGGAAGCGATCATCTCGCTATCGCATGTGAACTCGGCTTTGTCAATGACTGACAATGAGACCAAAAGGTTAGCACCAACCATTAAACCGAGCTACCAGACTTGGCCATCCCTCGAGGTTTTTGAATGCTCATGGAGGATTCTGAACTGGAGTTCGGAAACAGATTCGGTAAATTGTAAAACATAAACAAGTTTTGGGCTAAGCACCCAAACATAGATTTGCTTACTTGAAACATTTTTTTTACCTTACCTACCCAAGGCTTGCACACCTACTCTTTCTGCTTTTTAAAAGTTAATACCAAAATAGCATGTTACTGGACGTGTACCTATGAGGAGCGAAGACCCATTTTGCTACCATAAGCAAAACAATGTAAGAGACGTTGCGTAAAAAGTATCTCAATTCACTCCAAATTATGCTCTTCTCCAGTGTCATCTGACGCTGCCACTAAACAAAAGACCACACGATATTATCAAAAGAGTCGTAAGCACTTTTTCCAAGTGTTGGAATAACATTGGGTAACGCAAATCGGCCAGTAGCAGTTAACACTTAACACATCTATCTATTTAAATCATTCTTTTCTCTTTGCTCCACCAAAACATTCCGGCAAAAACAAAAAAAAAACATCACTAAAAAAGCTCATTATGACAGGAAACGAGGAAAACAACAAGCCGACAAAAACCCATGTCTTAATCTTCCCATTTCCGGCGCAAGGCCACATGATTCCCCTCCTCGACTTCACCCACCGCCTTGCTCTCCGCGGCGCCGCCGCCTTAACCATAACCGTCTTAGTCACTCCAAAAAACCTTCCTTTTCTCTCTCCACTTCTCTCCGCCGTAAGTAACATCGAAACACTTATCCTCCCTTTTCCCTCTCACCCCTCCATCCCCTCCGGCGTCGAAAACGTTCAAGACTTACCTCCTTCAGGCTTCCCTTTAATGATCCACGCGCTTGGTAAGCTCCACGCGCCGCTTCTCTCTTGGATTACTTCTCACCCTTCTCCTCCAGTAGCCATCGTCTCTGATTTCTTCCTTGGTTGGACCAATAACCTCGGAATCCCTCGTTTCGACTTCTCTCCTTCAGCTGCTATCACTTGCTGCATCCTCAATACTCTCTGGATCGAAATGCCCACCAAGATCAACGAAGATGACGATAACGAGATCCTCCAGTTTCCGAAGATCCCGAATTGTCCAAAGTACCCTTTTAATCAGATCTCCTCTCTTTACAGAAGTTACGTTCACGGAGATCCAGCTTGGGAGTTCATAAGAGACTCGTTTAGAGATAACGCGGTGAGTTGGGGACTCGTCGTGAACTCGTTCACCGCCATGGAAGGTGTTTATCTCGAGCATCTTAAGCGAGAGATGGGCCATGATCGTGTATGGGCCGTTGGCCCAATTCTTCCGTTATCTGAGGGTAGCCGTGGTGGCCCGACTTCTGTTTCTGTTGATCACGTGATGTCATGGCTTGACGCACGTGAGGATGACCACGTGGTGTACGTGTGCTTCGGAAGTCAAGCTGTTTTGACTAAAGAGCAGACTCTTGCGCTCGCCTCTGGGCTTGAGAAAAGCGGCGTCCATTTCATATGGGCCGTGAAGGAGCCCGTTGAGGGAGATTCACCACGTGGCAACATCTTGGACGGCTTCGACGATCGTGTGGCTGGAAGAGGTCTGGTGATCAGAGGATGGGCTCCGCAAGTGGCTGTGCTACATCACCGAGCCGTTGGCGCGTTTTTAACGCACTGTGGTTGGAACTCTGTGATTGAGGCGGTTGTTGCCGGCGTTTTGATGCTGACGTGGCCGATGAGAGCTGACCAATACACAGACGCGTCGCTGGTGGTCGACGAGTTGAAAGTGGGCGTGCGTGCTTGCGAAGGACCTGACACGGTGCCTGACCCGGACGAGTTAGCCCGAGTTTACGCTGATTCTGTGACCGGAAAACAAACGGAGAGGATCAAAGCCGTGGAGCTGAGGAAAGCAGCACTGGATGCGATTCAAGAACGTGGGAGCTCCGTTAAGGATTTAGATGGATTTATCCAACATGTCGTTAGTTTAGGACCAGAGCCGGACTTAAGGTCATTATTATGATGCATTGCAATGGGGCCCCCATTTTAGAAGGGCCCCACATAATTTGTTTTCTTGTATATATGTATATTAATTATTGTTTATAGATCCTAAAATGTTATGTGTGTCTAAAAAATTTATAAGTTAATTGAATAAATAAAAAATAGTAAGTTATTTTTTCTTTACAAACCATTAGATTTCTTTCATCGAATAAGAGAAAACTTTTTTATTTTAAAAAATTCTAAAACAATTAAGAGTTTTGCTTAAACTAATTCTTTTTTACTCAGATTTTTTATTTTATAAAAAATTTGATATTATTTTTTATTTAATTCGTATGGGGCCCCCGATTTCTTTGGTCCGGCTCTGTTTAGGACTAAACAAATGATTTAGACTAATTATGATGGTCTATTTGTTTTCTTTAATATGTTACTCACGAATTTAAAAATCTGCATGAGTACTGTATTCTATTAAATTGTTGTAAGATGTTAAATTAGTGTTTCTGAATCATATATGTTGTAAGATTTTGCTGATTTGTGGAATTTTGGGTGTAATTTCGATTTATTATTTAAAAAATCGGGTCAATTTGTTTGGATCGGGTTGGGTCATATCGGGTCAAGTTTAATAATACCCGACTTTTGTTTTCCTTATCTTCTTCGAATCTAGCTTCCCTCTCTCACATATCCACACAACCAAAAGAAATGGCTCTCACCGTGAGCAGCGGTGGCGGAGGCGCTAGAATCCGCTGCAACGACCTTTCCGATTCTTCTCGTAATCCTTTCTCCACCTTCCGACTCGTAAACTTTCCTTCTCCGTCTAGAACCAGTCTTCACGTTGTCTCTGCCGCCAAAAAACCATCCACACAGACTGGTCGGTTCGACAGCAAGAAACGTCGGACTCTCGTTCCTACGACGACCACGGAACAGTCGGAAGAGGGAAACGGTGGGTACGACGGGGAGAATCCGGCGTCTGAGATCGTAATCAACGACGAAGATGGAGATAGAACGGTGGTGAATACTCGTTTCAGAGGTGATCCAAAAGACGCGCCGAAATTTGCGATTAAGGATCTTCCAGGGCTTGAACCAGATCCTTTTGAAGGTGAGAAGTGGGATGGTCTAGGATTCTTCGTTCAGTACTTGTGGGCTTTCGGAATCCTTTTCGCGGTAAATTTCAATACTTTTCAATTACGTTATACCAATTCTCCAATTTGAAGTTAAACCAATCAATTCACAATGGTTTGAATGTTGTAACAGCTAATCTCCGGTGGACTTGCGGCGGGGACTTATAACGAAGGTGCGACGGATTTCAAAGAGACGCCAGTGTATAAAGAGGCGATTCAATCACGTGACCTTCTTGATGAAGCAGAGAGTTCAAACTCTGAAGATGTGTTTGAGTCCAACCCAACAGAAGTGGCGCCTAGTTTGGAATAGTTTCAGTTCAGTGTTTAGAGAAAGAATTCGAAAGACTGAATCTTTTTACAAAGCCATATTCCAAGTTGATCTTAAGCTTGTTGTGTTCATAATGTTATAGATTCAAAGTTAAAAGAAGAGTATTGTTCTTCATTGTTCTGTTTTTCGTTTTCATTTTTGAACTGCAAACTTCTTTAGGAATCATACCAATAATCTCTTCTTTTATAAATCTAAGGTAAAGTAATAAAGTTGATCTTGTTTCATAGAGAAAACACAAAACAGGAGAGAGTAAATAAAACCGAGATGGTAGTTAATGCAGAGGACTCAGATGAGGAGGAGAGTGGCGGGTAGGAGCGCTGCGAATGCCAGGATGGTTAGCTGAATCTCAGACTTGGAGCCTGAGGATCTCACACCATAACCTAATCCCATAAAACTGGTGGGTCTTGGTGCCATTTGAGCCACCGGAGTAGCTGATAAAGTGAAAAGTAACACTAGGTTAATAGTTTCACTGTTTTGGTTTTAGCAGATACTGAAAACTTTGGTAAAATGTGGCTTACCCGCGACACGAGAGTTGTTCTTTGCACCTAGAGAGATTTGAGGACTAGTTGAACTAGAAGGTGGTGGAGCAACAGAGGAGGAATCACTAGGCGCCTCTCCTCCTATAAACCGAAAACATTTTCATAAGTTTCTAAAAACCAATCGATCCCACAGAGGACAAAGTAGAAGTGTTGTTTACAAACCGGGGGCGGAGGAAGCGGAGGAGCAAGAGGATGAATTAGCTGGAATGTTGCAAAGCGGAGGCAATTGTAGAGCAAGAGTTTGATTAATTGGAAAAGCAGGGGACAATGTAGAAGTGTTGTTGAGGAAGAGACAGAGGCAAGTTGCTTCTTGGCTATAGATCTGGTTTAAACTGTCACAGCATGGCTGAGCCGGAAGCTGGACAAAGCCTTGAACGAATGGACCACATGGAGCTAAGGAAAGCAGTCTAGAGGCACATGTAGCTGGTACTTGAGCGAGAACCAGTTGGAGAAAGAATGGTGACAATGAGATTAAGAGAATGATAAAGAGAGTAGAAGAAGGCATTTTTTCTAGGAGACTTAAGTTTCTTTCTTCTTTGTTTGGGGGAGAGTGAGGAGTTTCTGAGTATTTAAGGTCGGAATCAATTGGTTTGATGTGTGTGTGACTATGGACAGGTATTGTTATTGCACACATGATGTGTGTTCATTTGGTTGCAACACTTGAGTTCTTCATGCTCGTGTCTTATTTGGTGTTTTTGAGTTCATTCGTAAAATGTGCTTCTTGTTTTATGTTGACCACAAGAATGTTACCGGAATTTCATTAACAAACTCTTTAGCTCTTTTGAATTTACCTTTATATAAATACAAAAATTAGGAATCATCAACAACAAAGTCGTTGTAGTATAGTGGTAAGTATTCCCGCCTGTCACGCGGGTGACCCGGGTTCGATCCCCGGCAACGGCGCATATCTTTTTCATATTTTTATTTTATTTTAGTCCCTTTGTTTTCATTTCTTTAGTTTTAGCCCCTCGTATTCAGGCTTTTCATTTTGGTCCTTCTCTTCCTTGTTATTTAACTTAACAAGCCGAGGTAAAGTGAAATCCCGACAAAATCAAAACTCACTTTTGTAGCTACTTTCCGGTCCGTTCTTAAACCTTCAGACAAAGCTCCGGTAGAGAAAACCTCTCCGCCTCTCACATTCTGAGCAGTCATGTACGGCGGAGGTAGGTTTTCTTTTCTTCTTCCCTAAAATCTCTCTCGATTGTACACATTCAGCATTAGCAGTGCATTACCTTCATGTTCTTTTCGCTTGAGTTCGTCTCGTCAAGGTCTAAACTTTTTGGTGGGTTTTGTATATATTGAACAGATGAAGTGTCAGCCATCGTAGTTGACTTAGGTTCACACACTTGCAAAGCTGGTTACGCGGAAAAGATACCCCTAAAGCCGTTTTCCCTTCCGTAAGTCTCGTTGTTCACTTCCTCTCTTTGCAATTGGTTTTATTTTTCTTAAAGTTAGGTCCTTTTAGTGTAGAGCAAGCAATTCGAGAGATTTAGGATTTTTGTTGTTGATGTGTTATAAGGTTGTTGGAGCTATAGATGGAAATGGAATGGATATTGATGATGCTGCAAACACCACGGAGGATTCAAAGGATTCTGATAAAGAAAAGGGCAAAAGGAAGCTTTAAGTAGGATCTCAAGCTTTGAATTTTCGCCGCGATCAAATGGAGGTCAGTTTTCTTTGTTAAACTTCAAAATGGTTACGGATGGAGATAAATTTTCAGGTCTCTCTATTTGTTGACATTTGTATGTTCCAGATATTGTCACCTGGAAAGGATGGCATTGTAACTGATTGGGATATGGTGGTGATAAGAGAATATGTATGCAGTGCTTAACAGGTGGACAATTTTTGGGACCATGCTTTTAGGTAACTCTGTTAGTTTTTGTCTTAATTGTTTGAACCTTATATTTTCCATTTATGGTTGGTTGGTGATTTCATCTGTGTAAATTTTTTATTTTTCAAGGAATTGTCTAATGATTGATCCCAAGGAGCACCCAATGCTGCTATTTCCTTAAGCTCCCTCCTATTTTCTGTTGCAAATTACCAGACAATTCCTGGAATGGAAAATAACACAGACATGCTTCATTCTGTTCGAGGGTTACCACACATGGTACGAGTATTTATCTTTCCCTGTACAATCCCATTCCCCTTTTAATCAACAAACCAAAAAACAGTGTTCCATTCTACAGGTCATAGAGAGCATCAGCAAATGTGATGTTGATATTCGCAGAGAGTTGTATAGTAGCATACTGGTAAAAAGAAAACCAATTCAAATCTTTTATTTCCATTAACAGAATTTGTAAAATCTAATATCAGGGCCATTCATTTCTCCTTACTTAATGCAGCTGGCTGGTGGAACATCATCGATGCAACAATTGAAAGAACGCCTCGAGAAGGACTTGGTAGAAGCTCTCTCTCTCTTCTTATTTCAGCTTGTAGTCTGTCTTATATATGATATCGCTAAAAATCATCCGTTGGCCTCTTAATCGTCCTTCTTCTAGGAATCTCCCCAATCAGCTCGAGTTAAAGTGTTGGCTAGCGGTAACACAACAGAAATGAGATTCAGGTATGAACAACAAAGTTACTTCTTCCTCTCTTAGAGGCTCGTTTATGTTTCGTACACGAGCTGAGATTAATTTTGGTAAACGAATGGCGATGTGTAACAAATGTGCGGATAGGAGGGAGTATATTGGCATCTCTAAGTTCATTTCAGCAAATGTGGTTTTCCAAGTCTGAGTAAGTAACACATTGAATTGTTCTGTAGATCTCGAATCACACAAGGACAGTTTTTTTTTCTCCTCGTTCGGGTTTGAGTTTTTTTTTGTGTGTGTACATGACAGGTATGAAGAGCATGGAGCTTCTTACATCCAGAGGAAATGCCCTTAAAGCTGCTTGAGATCAAGAAAAAGAAAAAAAAATATGTGGTCCATGGTGTGTATTATTATTAGTTGTAGTCCTTGTTCTGTTATCAAGAAAACGAGGACTTTTGGAGACAATCAGAGGGTTTAGGGATTAAGTAATTAAGTAATTCATTTTTATTTATTTAGGCAAGTCTTTGCGTAGATATGCCAAATTGACAAAGGAAAACATATTAGAAATAAGCTTCGCATAGTGTATAATGTAAATTTCAACGTATTCATATTGTTGGAGTTTCAAGAAATGTACTTTTTCATTTTATTTTACTCAATTGGTCTCTATATGCGTGTTTTGGTAAAGTGACCTATCCGTTGTCCAAACGTTGAATTTACGTGTCGTAGTTTTGTTACATTCGACATTATCCAATAATACATATCTACGTGTCACCATCTGGTTCTCTTTAGAAGTTTACAAATCCTTTCATCTGGACGGCAAGAATCGCCGACGTGCCCCTATTTAATCTGGATTCTTCCCAATTTTATTTTATTTTCCTCAGATTCTCTCCAATTTTGATTTCTTTTTTCGATTATTTGATTATCGAATCGCGGCTCTTGCGGGTCTCTGTGTTTTCCTTTTATGATTTGGGGATAAATCTCGATCGCGATTTGGTCAATTACTCCAAGCATCGAGAGATTTCTATTCTCGCAAAATTTTGTGTTTTCTCAGGTGGATAAGATTTTTCTCTTTGTCGTTTTCCTGGAAAATTTGCGTATTACGGCGACGAATCAGATTATTTTTGTTAGAAATTTCTGATTTTTCCAAAAAAATCTGATTTTTGAGAAAAAGTCATGCAACGGATCGTAGACAACGCTCTCGCTGTAACCAAAGAGTGAGTCCTTTTTCTTATCGATCATCAGTGGATTCATCTGTGTATGCCAATAGTTGTTATAATGTTTCATACATTGAGAAGTAGGTTTTTGGAGATTGGATTTAGTCTGATATACAGTGAGTCTCTTTGTATTGGTGGATTGTGTTTTTGAGTTTTGTTAGACTATTTTATTCTAGTATCTTCATTCAAAGCTTGTTCTTTTATAGTTGATTTTGGCTGTGAACTTTTGATGTGTTGAGTGTTGACATAACTCTTTTTTTTTTTCTTTGGGTTTGTCTTCTTGTTAGATGTTTATCGTTTCCCTTATGTTGTCAAACAAGCTTAAACTCACGATGCTTTTGGTTATGTTTTGGCTTTTAGTGCAGATCAGTGAAAACTGTTACATATGAATCGTTGAATAACATTGCAAGGTGTATAAATGGAGTATCAGCTCTTCTGTTGACTCTTCTACCGGGGAAAGCTAATATTCTTGAAGGTCTCCATGGCTGGGAACTCAGGCCCACGTTTCGTGGACCTCGTTTACCACGGTGGATGCATAAGTAATAATTTCTGATGATTCTTCACTTGTTAGTTTATTTGCAAGCCTTAATAGTATGCTAATTTTACTCTGTTTTCGATGGCAGTGGGGTCTCTTCTTTCAATGAGTTCATTCATGAGCTTTCTGTGGATTCTGATACTTCAAGCTTGGAGTATTCTTCTGGAGAAGATAGTGATGGTCCGCTGCCTCCATCACCATCATCTCAAAGCTCACGCCTCTCTTGGGCTAGCACTTCTGCAAGTTCTGAAAACCACTGGACAGAGTGGATTACGTTCATTCTTTGGTGGTTAATATTTCCTTTACGGATCTTGCTATGGATACCGCAATATATTATGAGTTTATTCTTTAAACGAAGTTCACGAACTCCTGCGAGCCCGAGAAGGCACCAACATTCATCTAGACATCGTATTAGTAAGACCAATTCAAGCAAAGACCATGATGTTCCCAACCGAACTACTGATAGAAGGCGCGGAGTGATTGAGGTTTGTGAATGCATTAACAAATATTTAATATTCCCTCTGGAAAGCATCTCTGTTCAGTTTTTTTTTTTGTGATTTTAAACCTTTTCACACACTCTTACTACTTAATGTACTTTATTTTCCAGGATCTTCATCTTGCTATCGAGATTGCCATAGAAGCAATATTTGATTTTTTTCACAAGGCTACGCATCTTCTTCTTTCTCCATCAGAAGCTTTTGCAATACTGTTATCATGGTTCTCATCTTCCAGTCACAGCCCTAAAGAAAACCATGGTGACGTTACAGATGATGGAACTGTGCAAACTGCTACTTTAGGAGATACCGATCCATCCCCCACGGAAAGGCCCATAGAAAGGCCCACACGCTTATACAACTCTATGAACACAGATACTCGAACGTGTCAAGATGTCATAACAGAGCTGGGGTAGGGGCAGATTCGATGTCTCGTGCTTCTATTTTATCTCTTTCTCAATTATTTGGTATTTACTTATTTTCTTTCCTACTTTTGATAGGTATCCTTACGAAGCTATTCGTGTTGTTACATCTGACGGATATGTTCTTGTCTTGGAAAGGATACCAAGGTAACTTTCTTGTGAGATATTAAGCTCACTTGTGCATCCTTTCCACTTTTTTATTGTCTCTTCCTTAAAATGTGATCGTTGACTGCATCTCTTGTCTTTGCAGACGTGATGCAAGGAAAGCTGTTTTTTTGCAGCATGGGGTTTTGGATTCATCAATGGGGTAAGTTTCATGGTCTAGTCCTTAGATGACTCGTAAACTTTGCAAACTTAGTAAGCTGAAAAGTTGAGGAAGTATTATTTTCTATATCCATGTAGCATAAAATTCCAGGGAGTTTCAATGTTCCTGACTTTTAGTAATTTGTTACCCTCATACTTTGTCATGTGTGTTTGATTTGCTCAAGACACAATAGTGCTTTCAGTTACTTAAATTATCTCATCTTCGTTTTTCCATTTCCTTCTCAGCTTCCCAAAGATTCCAGTTTTGAGTTGGAACATCCTATAATCGTCTGATCTTTTGATCTAATATATGTTCTATGAAACATTATAGATGATTTCTCTTTTTCTCTTCTGCATGTTTTTCTTCAGATGGGTATCTAATGGGGTTGTTGGATCTCCGGCTTTTGCTGCGTATGACCAAGGTTCAAGCCTCAAGGTTTTCATTTTTCAATTGTTTATTAATTCACAAGCTTCTTACACTCTTTTCCTTTACAGGCTATGATGTTTTTCTGGGTAACTTTCGGGGTTTAGTTTCAAGAGATCATGTGAACAAGAACATATCCTCAAAAGAGTGAGTTATTGCTATAAAGTTCACTTCTTACTTGATCTACATGCACTGTCTGGTTTCTTTATGATAGTGGAGTTTCATCATATGTATATATTTGCAAGTTGTACAAATTTTCATTGTTATTGACCAAAATGCAGGTTCTGGCGATACTCCATTAACGAGCACGGTACTGAAGATATCCCAGCGATGATAGAAAAGATTCATGAAATAAAAACTACAGAACTCAAGCTCTACCAGCCCAATATCGATGATGAAGAAAGCAACCAGGAGGAGCCTTATAAGCTCTGTGCCATCTGTCATAGTCTAGGCGGTGCTGCAATTCTGATGTATGTTATTACTCGAAAAATCAAGGAAAAGCCACACAGACTCTCACGACTAATCCTACTTTCACCTGCTGGGTTTCATGAGGACTCGAACTTAGGTTTCACAATAGTTGAGTACATATTCCTTTTCATTAGTCCAGTTTTGGCTCGCATCGTGCCTGCCTTCTACATACCGACAAGATTCTTCAGGATGCTTCTGAACAAGTTAGCTCGTGACTTTCACAACTATCCTGCTCTTGGTGGATTGGTCCAAACTCTAATGAGTTATGTAGTTGGTGGAGACAGCTCGAATTGGGTCGGAGTCCTAGGATTACCGCACTACAACATGAACGATATGCCAGCTGTCTCCTTTCGTGTGGCGCAACATCTTGCTCAGATCAAACACAGCGGTAAATTCAGGATGTATGATTATGGAAGCAGATCAGCTAACATGGAGGTTTATGGCTCTCCTGAACCCCTTGATCTAGGGGAGTCCTACAAGTTCATCGATGTGCCAGTGGATTTAGTAGCTGGAAGGAATGACAAGGTGATTCGGTCTTCCATGGTGAAGAAACACTACAATGTGATGAGAGATGCTGAGGTCGATGTATCGTTTAATGAGTTTGAGTATGCTCACCTTGATTTCACATTCTCCCACCGTGAAGAGCTTTTGAGATATGTGATGTCGCGGCTTCTACTCGTGAAACAGACACCAGTTCAACAGAGGCAGACTAGTCAGAAAGGTATAAAGTTGAAGAAGAAGAAAAAGGAGGTACAGTAGTGTAGTAGCTGAAACCGATCTATGGCCAATGGTCAAGTGCCTCAGTTTGGTGTCTTTGTATTGTGATGTTGTGTGTGAGCTTCATGTGTGTGTTCTATGCCAATATCCTATGGGTTGGCTATAATAGTGTACATATAATGTAAAGATTGATCCCTTGATGAAATGATCTTGTTGTGAGAGATGCTTTTTGCAGCCATATGACATATAATAATGTTTGTATTGTGGTTTTGGTTTCCATGACAATTATATGATGTCATGAAGATGCTATGGATCCAGAAAATTACTCCTTTCCATTGGAAAGATCTGAAGAGACCAATTTAATCATGACTGGGGAACTTTGCAGCCTTGGGCATAGAACTTCTGTAGGTCACACACATTTATCCAGTTGTCGTAATATAAATCATAGTTACTCGTTTAATGGATCAAAGAACTACAAATTTATCTGACTATAGAGAAAATACAGCAGTGATCAGTGAATTCGGTGTTGTGTGATTCCCATGTTTCGTGAGAAAAAAACGAGTAAACAATTAGGGAAGATGAAGAAATTTTCTCTTTTTCCTTTGGCATAGTTCAAAGAATGAAACAGAAAGGGAAGAAAAGAAATCAGAATCCTCATGGAAGCCCTAGTGAAGAAGAGGGATTCATTGAAGCTCTGATGGATCTTGAAGAAGAGATGCTCTTTGTGGATTTAAAAGCAGAAGTTGCTGCATGTCCCTTGGAAGCACACTGAACACCGCTTGTAGATCCTTCTTCAGTTTCTGAAACGTTCCTTCCGAATCTGCACCTCCTCCTCCTTTTGATTCCCGCGACTGCAAAAGATTTGTTTTCGATACGTCATAATGGTTCGGGTTCTGCTGAAGAGAGAACTAGTTTATGTTTATCATTACGAATTCTACCTAACTATGCAGATATGTACATAGCTAACTAAATAAGATCTATCCTTACATCTCCCCGGCATGTAAGTAATGTTTACATGGGAGTTTCCAAGGAAGATAAAGCATTCAGACCTAAATAAAAGAATCTAGCACAGAAGTAATATGAACATGAAATTAAGAGTCTAGGGAAGGTAAACTTACCTTGACTTCCTCACTAATGTGTTTCTCAATGGCATTGAAGGAATCCACAGCTTCCAATTCATTCATCTGAGACGTAATCTGCCTCATATCAGTCTTCATTCTAGCTAGCCTCCATAATCTACGCTGTTCTTGTTCGGCAACAGCACGTCGTCTTTGAAACCAAGGCATAAAGTTGGGCCCTCGTAGAAACCGCCTGAAAAATAATGACTTGTTTAGCAAGGGAACTAAATATCGGTAGCCTAGAATGAGACAATAAATTCTAAGACCGTGAAACTCAAATGATATTGCTAGTATGGAAAAAAAACTGTATATACCTATACAAGTCGGGCCAGTTGGATTTCATTCGTTTAGACAAAAACTTCCCTACACCTCTCGCAGATAAATTCGAAAGGAATTCATCCGCACCAAATGATGGGAGCGCAGGAGGGGTAACATATGGGGAAGACCCATCAGAAGGAGCATTGACCTGGAAATATGGACCAAAAGGGGCCAAGAAATTTGTAGTTAATTCCAGGAAATGGCGTCGCAGAATCTCATTATTCACAACTGACATTGACTCCTCAACCCTTGGCGACATCCCAGCATCAATAAGTCTATTCAAAATAGAAGTGTCTGGCTTGGTTATTGCAGAGTAAGTGGTCCAGACGGCTTCCTTGTGCTCTGTCATGAGACACAGGGGTCCATCTCGCCTAAGTTTTACCGCATTTAACAAATTTGTAGGAGAGAACCTTCTTAATGAAAGCTGTTGGACGCCTAATCCTTCAGGTTTAACAGATAATTTACCAGCCGACCTACTTGTAAATGCTACACGGTTTGAGTTTGGAGCAGGGGTTCCAACTGAGACAACATGAGGGATATTGCGAAGAGCTTTAAGGAAAAAGAGATTGGTGACACCCAAAACCATTGGCGGGAAAGTGTCTCCTTCTCGGAGAGAGTTTAGTCGAGCAAATCCTGGATCATGTATAGTGAAATATGGTCTAAAGTCAACGCTACAAAATAGCGGCGCAACCAAACTCACAAGACAAGCAACTGCCTCAGAACATTGGGGAGGTGTTGGTGCTATAATAAGGATAGGCTCGCCTATGAGTAACAATTCCCACAATGTCCATAGCTGCAACAATAGTCCACGGTAAATGCCAAAAAGATCTGCGTCATGGAAAAGACCTTGAGGAACAGACTGATTTGTAGGGAGCAATGGAGCCATGGAAGAGGCAGATTCCTCATAGAAAATCCCATTTTCCAAGGGAAGGCTATGAGCAGGTGGCAAGTTCACCTTAAGCATTGCATTACCAATAGGCAGCTCCATTAGCTTACCGGGCACAGGAGCAGGCCACATAGAGACATAACCAGCAATATGTTCGATAGCCTTATTTCCAACATCAAAATACAAAGGACCAATGATTTGCAACAAAGGCCTAAAAACACTCGAGTAAGGCGTATGCGATAATATCACCACAGACTTCTGTTCACCTCCCCTTTTCAATCTTTCATCATGCCTCTGCCTATTAAATACATAACCATACAAGTACCTATCACTACCATCTCTCTCCTCAGTGTTCTTCTTTGGTCTACGAAACCGGAAAAAGAAAATGCAGTCATGTATGCTTGATCGATTATGATGCTGTGAGACAGAATCCGGGAAAGAGTTGAAAGAAACCTCAATTTCCTCTTCTTGTGAGAGACAATCTGGTGGATAACACTCTTCTAAGAGCTGCCCTTGCTCAAGATCAAACCTCATAATGCAAAATGCATGAATCCATCGTTTCAAAGACTCAGGATCAGGCTTTATACTAAGCTCAGGCTTCGCAGAAAACGATGGAGAACGACTCATCTCAAATGTGGCCAAGAAACTCTCCTACCCATCAAAAACCTTTGCCAGTTATTTATTCCTCATCGTCCCTTATACTTCCCCAATTGAGGAGATTCAGCAAAGCTTGAATCTTTAACTTATACTAATAAGCTCAGATTTGGTGGGTTTGCTTCACGAAACACTTTCGCAGCCTGAAATTGAATCCCAAAGAAAGAAAATTTGTAAGCTCAAAATGTTAGATCAAATCAACACCAGCCATTTTAGCAGCTCCAATGCCTTGAATCGAATCAAAACATTGAATACAACAAGAACAGGGTTGCGGAGAAATTAGGGTTTGTAAGAGGAGAAGAAGATGCCTCGTACACGTTACAGGTGATGAATTTAGAACTCAAAAGTTTGGGTTTTTCGTAGGTGAATTTTGCATTTCGATTCGAAGGAATCGCAAAAACGGAAAGCTAACTCCGAAATGATTCATGGAGCTTTGTTAGTTGTTTTTTTTCTAAATTGCATAAAATAAAAATTAAAAGGTACACTTCAAAAAGACAAAACATTTTGATTAAAATTTGGACAATTTGACTGTTGGGCTTACCGTTAAGGCCCATCAATGATTCGTAGTTGAATATTTTAGAAAATATGATTAGCGAAAAAATCATGCAAAATCCTATTAAATCATGTGAAATCCGAACTATTTGTCTATTTGGATCCAGAACATTCTAAAAAAAAAGGGGGATGAAACGTAGATGTGGTGATATATGGATCGAAAACATTTGTAATTGTGGTGTTGAGAAATCGGTTGAAAATTCCATGAATTTTTTGGCTCTTTTTTGTTTTGTTTTTGGCAGCTGGAGTTTTTGGCCGCTATATATATATACTAGTATGAAGCCCGGACTACGTCCAGGACAAAAATAATTTTGTTAGATTATAGCATAACAAACATTCAATGGTCTATAAATTTGTAATCATCTCAATCCTATTGAAGATTCAATTGCATGATAAAACATGTTTGACAACCTTATATATGGAGAATGGATATCTTGTTCATATGCTTCTGTCTTCCTTTGTCGTATAGTCTCAGATTTTTAGATATATGACTCTTGTGTTCAGAGTAGTCACTTCTATAACACCATTTTCAAACCTAGAATATATGAAGTCGTCGAGCAAAAACTTGGTTTTCTCTAGTGTGTTTTAGTATGCTTGTATGGCTTGGTTTTCGTTCTTACTGTAATTTCACAAAATGAAAGAGTAAATTTGTCGAGCACTTGATCAAAAAAATAATATGAGATCAACTATTTATTTACAAAGGAAGAACTAATTGAGAATTGATAACCTTGGCATGTCTTTGGGTTGGTCACGATGGTGTAAGAGTTTTCTTTTTCTAAAAGTGTTTCACACTATCCTGAAAACGAAACCCATGTTTTCCTACAATCAGTTTCTCAATTAGATGTGATTAGATGAAAATTGTAATAATTCACAAAGTATAAAGCAAAATAATGTTAAAACTGAAACCCGGAACAATATATGCAAAACGAAGAGACATGCAAATCTCAGGAATATGACAAATTTGATACCTTAATTGCAATTACACTTGTTCTCGTCGTTCAGTTCTTCAGCCGTAATTGACCTGGTAGGAGAAGGAGAGTAAAGATGACAGAAAGAAAAGCGGATACAAATAATGTAAAAATTGTAAATCTGCCATGGCGTAGAAATGAAGGAAGAGAAAGTAACTGATCTAAAAGCGAGAAATTTGGAAATCGTAATTAGAAAATCGCGAACAAAATTTAACAATAGAAATTAGGAAGAACGTTGCAACTTGCAAGATATGGGGAGATCGTGAGGAAGACGGCCAGAAAGTTTAGGAATTATATTTTCTTAAATATTTTAATTTAATGAGAAAATTATTATTGTTTACGCTTCAAAACACAATAAATTGTGACTTTGCTTACGTGTCAGCAGGAGAATGTTGCAATTTTTGATAAAGTGACTGTTGATTTAGTAGATATAGATATACGAGTCTATGACGGTGTTGTTTGGTACTATAATTGTCGACCAAAACAACACGATTTATGGATGCTATGTTGATATCCCTTCACAAGCGAGAGCTGTTTCTTATAGAAATGAGAGAGTACTCACCCCGACCATGTTTTAGCAAAACATTACCCAAAAAAAAACAGAAATGAGATCAAATTGAACACATGCATGCTAGAGAAAAAAGTTAGAAACTGAAATACTTGCAACTCTGAAAAATTCGAAATTTGGAGAATCAAGGCATCTTCGTGAGTGTTAGTACTTAGTAGAGTAATATTGGGGGAGGTTACTTATGCAGAGGTAATCGACCCTCTTTTATTGAAGGGAATGGAGTTTCAAAGATGAAGGAAGGTAAGTCCTGACTTTCTCAAGAATTTCTACACCAGCAACTAAAAATGTTTTCTCTCAGACTAGAAACAGATTTAAACAATTCATACCCTTGGAGACAGAAACAACAAAACCCAAAGAAACAAACAAAATATTGTCCACAGAGATTTGCTCTCTCCAGTTTCCTTATTTGCTTCGTTTCTTCTTAAAGGCTTGTTTGTTGTGCTCAACCGGAGCAGCCGGTTGAACTTGTAGAGGATCTTCAGGTAAAACTGAGTGGAAAAACTTTTTGGAGGAACCAACTTGGTTGCAGATTAGCTTGAGCATCTTTTTCCCTCTCATCCATTTCAACAATAGCTTCATGTGCGTCTTGCTATTCAGTCCACTAACCCCAGCTTCCTGTTGTTGTTTACATGTAACACAATCATCAACTACTGAGTTTATCGCTATTATCACAACATTCAAATCCCTGTAATTCCCAGCAAACTACACAGCTGAGTTTAAACCACACTAATATATGCAAACACAAACACAAACGAACTACGCAGAAGTTAATACAAAAAAGCTTATACTTAAGAACATTGAAATAACCTCAGCTTCATGTTGTTATTGTAACACAATCACCAATTATTGAGTTTATCACTATGATCAGAACATTTCCAACACCTAAGTTTCTTAAGAACCCTTAGCAAATTACACTAATAAACACAAACAAACAATGCACAAGCAAATAGCCTATAACACTGATCTAAAGAGCTTATTATTGTCCGGAAGCAACAGAGAATCTATAAACGTTAGTAGAAACTAAGGATTTAAAATCAAAGATCACGGAGACTGTTACGATTTCAGATCAATTTGTGAAGATTCAGACGAATATAATCATAGAAATGAGGGAGAAAAACCTGAGCGCGGAGCCAAGTGTTGGGAACGGAGAGAGGACCATGTTGTTTAAAGAGATCGTAGAGAGAATTAGAAATGGCGTAAGCTTCTTGGATCGGAACTTTAGGGTTTATCTTCCGGACGTTCACTGCTCGTTCTCTCGACATGTATCTCACCAACAAAGAGTTGTATGTAATCTCATTATCGAAAACAGCTGACGCTCTGCAGAGCTTCCTCAGTCCACCTCCACCGCCGGCGAACCACATCTTTCTTCTTCCTCGCCGTCACTCTCACTCTGTTCTTTGATTTCGTAAGTTAGGTCTCTCGCGTCGCCTTTGATATTTTCAAAATAAAAGCCTTTTAGCCCACTGGGCTTGATTCGGCCCAATTTGAGTTTCTCTTACAAGTATAATCTGTTACTTACCCGCCAAACAATATCTGAAGAAGGCCGAAATTGGTTAATTACCACACAACTGCTTTGTTCAGTGAAAGTTCTTGGTACTGGTAGATTAGAAGATCCTTCAATTTTAAATCGCTTTAAGCATTGCCGAAATTGAAGATCCTTTTAGAAGATCCTTCAATTTCGAATTACAAAATTGGATCCCGAAATTCAATTACATAAGAGAAAAAAAGAAAACAGATAATATCTCCCTGAAGTATGTCAGAGGTAAATAATATATACAAAAAGCCTAAACATAAGACATAACATCTAATCCAACAATAGACTTCTGCTTGACCTATATATACTCAATGCTGATTCACACAAATAAAAAGACTCAGCAATGTAGAGATGGTTATAAAAGGAGTGTGAATCATCATATCCTCTCTACACACACACATATATACACTTAAATATTTGATATCAAAGACGAAGAGGGTCAAGTTAGATGTTAAACATCATATACGGGGAGCCGCTCTTCGATGTTTATACGGCAGAAAGGACATTTTTTACACTTGTCTGAGCAGTTTCTGCAACAAACATGGCAGTAAACACATAAGCAGATATGATCAGAGAGCTCTCACTAATGTCAGATTTCTATCAGTGTCTGCAATTGCAATTGGAATAATAACAGAACTATAATTTAAAGCATTTCATGACACTTGTCGTTTATACTATAAATTCAGTTTCTTCGTATGAAAAAGGCATAACCATTGAATAGTAAATGATACCTGCAGAGAACACGGTGTCTACATGGAAGCAGTACAACACTGATTTCTCTTTCAAAACATACCCTACACAGCACTTTCTCCTGGAACACAGAGAGCATCAAAATGTGAAATCCAGTCCAAGGGAAAAGCAACACCGAAAGAGAAACGGTTGTGAAAGCTAAACCCCTTTTAGAGTAAGAAGTGTAATTATCAGAAGAAGAGGAGAGAGTATTACATTTTGCAGTCTCTCATATTCCTGCTGGCTGAATTTCGTGATTTCTGTTTGTTCACCAAGTGCTGCTTGAAGTCTCCACACCTGACACCAAATTAGATCAAAAATGATTCAAAAGGTTGAACAACACTGAGTAATAATGATACCAGAGGACTAAGACTTAGACAAAAAAAGTACAGACGACATATTTGCATGTAAGAGAAAAAGGCGAAATACCTCCTCAGCAAGCTCTTTCTTCGGCATTTTCTTGACTATTTCAGGAGGATGACCACAGAAGGTATTGTAACTGCACCACATAATTTCATGAAATCTTCAGCAGGTGGATATAACTACTTTTGTTGGACTATTTAGAAGGTTGAATGGTACTAACCCAGAGTCTTGATCAAAGTATAGTCGAGCTTGCTCCTCCCGGCTTCCTTCATCAATTGACCACCAACCTAGTAGCCTGAGCGAGCACGTATAGGATCAAATGTTAGGCATCAACTTGATGTTTGTTAGAACTCGGTTGCAGCAAAAAAACTTATATTTTGTGGTTAGCCTCCATAACTTTTGCGCATTAAAACAGATCAGGAAGTAACTAAACATTTTATCACCTGGATCCATGGTGCAAGAAACCCAAGCAATCATGGGCTGTGGATGAAAATCGAAAATATAATCCTGCATCATCTTCACCGCGCATTAATAGAACAACCTTCTCTATTAATTTAGAAGCAGCAAATAGAACACCAACGCCTTGCAATAGGAAAAGTGGAGAAAACAGAACAGGGACAGGTATATACTTAGCAGCTTCAGGAGTCCCCTGAAAGTTCAAACCACAAGCTTTTTGGTAATGTCCAAACACAAGAAATGTAGGATAGATAGAAATGTTGTGTACCTCTAGATGCATGCAAAGTACCACTTGAAATACAATGAGGGGAATTTTCATTATATGACCACCAAAGTCTTGCAGGCCACACGTTGTATCTTGGTTCCTATCGTCTTCCGAAAAAACCCCAAGGCCACTGTTCCAGTCAAGATATCTAATATTGGTAGAAGATGACCCGGTTTCTCTATCAGGTGAGCTTCTATGAATTACTGGATTAGACCATTTTGTACAAACAAGAAAAGCAAAGCACTCTGCAATTCTGCAAGCAAAACGTACACAATGGTTACAATCATGCTCAACTACACTAATATCATTAAGAAATTTACATCTGTAACGGAAAAGGTAAAGCCAATGCATACCCGAAATTAATGAATAAATCCCACCAGCCAAGAGCAGCTACATCACCTGATTTGAATAAAATAAGAAGGAATAAATGGACATGGTTTATATAAGATAGGATGTAGATAGGTGAAGAGATATGACAATATCCACATAGTTGGTGAGACGGCTGAAGTTAATCATGATTATATGAATCTGTCAGTCACTGTGCACACGAACGGGAATTCCATGCAAAGGACGTTTAGCATATTAAGGAACGAATAAAAATATATGGTGTTTTAAGCCCTAAATATTATTACTTCACTTCTTCCACCAATTAAGAAATTCACCTTTATGCATCCAATTCATACGAACATTTATAATGACTCGTTCTGCAGGATTTCAAGGTTTTCCTTTATGGAGAAATTGCCTAATTTAAATGGTCACTAAACAGAAAAGGTCTAGCTATAAACATTATTGTGAATTTCAAGAATTATAACGCCCATGTTACGTACATACTTGAAGTTTTAGCCAAAAACTTGAGAAACTATTACACCGGACAATTATTACCAGACAGCTTTAGGAGGGTAAAGACTGTAGCAGCCAAAAAGAACACCATGGAAATCGCAACCCAGAAATGCTGCAGACAAGAAAAAGAAACATCTGTAAATTTTATTTGAAGTAGCTTCTCACCCACCAACAAAGATCAGAAATGACTTTTAAGCCTGACTTTGTGTAATCTAAAGTTACAGAAATTGACCAAAAGGAGAATTTCTCTCAATTCATGACTTGAGAATCAGAGTTCAAAGTCGTGTTATTAGAAAATAGAGAATGGTTTATCATTTGTCTATGGCTGATAACTCACACGTAGAAACTAACTGCAACTTAAGCAAGTAAAGAAAGAAGAGTTTATTCTTAAGCCGCTGAACCAATTACTCTCAACAGCAGCTAAGACCTTAAATGAAAAATGTCGTATGACTTACAGGAAGAGCTTCCCATACTGCTTCATCATTCACGCTCTCTTCATCTCCAGGCATCAGTGCCCGACACATTCTGAAGATAAGACGTGCGGTAAATTAGGAACTTCATATAGAATAGCAGATTAAATCATTTGAAGAGCTCTTCCAACTAATGAGACAGTAAATTTTACTTTCAAGGTCTACTTCCAGTTACTAATCCACATCATTGGTACTAGCTTCATATACCCGGAGAATATTTCAGTGACTTAACTTCTCAATTGAGGGATGTATTACAAAGGCAATCACAAAGCATGTGAACTAATTTCGTTTCGTGTTCACAAAACGAAAGAACAAATGATTGTGAGAAATAATTGGGGTAAGATAAACGAGTATTACATATCCTATCTAAATACCTGGCATTGTCCACCAGTATTATTACTTCAAATGCCAATAAAGGGAGAAACACAATCTTCAAGCTCACTGCTGGCGGCGAATCAGCTGCATCTCAAATAGATTAACATAAAATACAGAAGCTTATAAGTATTTTGTGATGCTATTCAATTTCACCATTAATCCAAAAACTAAAAGTCCTAACGAAAAGCTTTCAGAGCCATATAGTTATCATTTGTTTCATCGCACAAGTATAACATAAATCATTTTCTTTCCTTCTCACGATACTAAACTAGGCTTTAAATATCATATAAGACGTGGTTATATACCATATGCAGTCTCGAGGTATACACATAGAAGCAATTCGAAAGCTATAAGCAATGGTGTTGAGACGATAGCATGACATGGAGCCCACTGTACACCAACCAAAAAGTAAACACATCATTACAAGCCAAAATATCAATTAAGTGTCATCTAAAGGTTAAACCTGACATCAGTTATTTTTAGCTGCGAATTACTGGAAATCATAACACCGGCTTTGAATAAGATTGTGGTAATACAAGTAAGGGACATACATGACGGTTACGAGGGGCGATTGGAGCAGGAAGAGAGAATCTTCCCCTTGCAACAATAGCATGGAAAGCCCACAGTGGTAAACACACAACCCTGCATACGCGATTCAGTCGGAACATATACATGTGTTATGTATTAAACAATTGAATGTTACCAACACCAAAGAAATAGATAACCAAGCAAAAACACACAAAACAAAACTCCAAAACCTAGACACAAAGAAAGCTGAAAGAATCTGAGACCCTAAAAAGAAATTCCCAAGATGATGACATCATCTCCCATTGCAGTCCTCACGAAAAAACAAAAGCCTATGTTTCTTCATACAAAACATAGTACTTGATACATGAACACGTGAAACAATCTAGCAGGCTTCCCTGTCTCATAGTATAAAGATGTACTTTTAATGTCTTCTACCGAAAAAGTACCAAAAACGGCAATTCCTTATTCCTATTTAATGAATTTCATGACTTAAAGGAGAATCGATAGAGTTTCGACCAAGGGAACAATCCCACATAAAATTCGTTCCAACAGAAGAAGAATATGCGACATACGAGCAAAACCTCGCAGTTTTTAGTGTTTTCCGACAAAACCAAGCTCAGAATTTGAAATTAAACGAATGAAGTCTGAATCCAAACCTCTCAATCTGACGCAATAACGATGCGCTCGAAATTGAACGAATAAGAAAAAAACTTGGGTTCCAAAAAATTGAGTCTGAGAGAAAAGGAGAACAAAAGAGAGGAGAGAAACTAACCACCAGGAGTAAGAGAGGGAGTGATCGAGCTTGAGCACCAAAGCGAGCGTGAAAGAGAAGAGAAAGAAGTGAGCCACCAAGGCTTGTACGGATTTCAACACTCTCCCAAAGTTCATCGTCTTTTTGTTTCTCTCCTAAGTCCTACGGCATAAATATTTCTAGCTTTGCCTCCATATTCTCTCTTTTGGCTGGTTGGTTGGTTGGTTAGAGAAGACGCCACCAAGTTGAGAGAAATTGCTGCAGCAATGTGTGTTTTTCGATTCCACAGTGCTTCTCCTTCCCTTTCCCCTCTTTCGTTATTTCTCTTTCTTTTCTTTTTTTTCTTTTTTTTTTTGTCTAAAACCCTCTTTCTCACTTCTCACTGTCGTTTTCTTAGGATTTTTCTTCCTTTCGTAAACAAATAGATACACTTATCTATTTAGTAACGATGTAATTTAACTTGAAATCGGTGTGGTGATTTTTTTTTTCAGGATAGATTTAAATAAAATTACAGGTAATTAATTGTCAGATCGGTCCATTAGTATAAAATGTGAACGGTTTCTCAATCCCAACGTTAGTTTGTGAAACTGACGTGGAGCGCGCTTCAACTCTGGCGTGTAACCAAAGCTAGAAAGAGAGGCTATATCGCATTGAATAAATAGATCACTTTGACACATATCACACCTTGCAAGTTGCAACAACAAAGCTTTTGGAAATTTAAGTACTACTCAGATATTCGCGGGAGAGACTGGCTCGGATCTTACCTTATGAGTTGTTGAACGCTTTGCTTTTCAGTTTTATTCGGAATTTGGGAAGCGGACGAGCTTCTGTCGCTGCTGATGGCTCAGCCTTTGGTTCAACCTTAATCAACATGGCACCATCACTTGTTTCTTCTGCTTTAGCCTCCGCTACACTCTCTATCTTCTTTGTAGCTGGATCTGAAGAGCTGCTCACGAGCTTCGCCATTTCCTTCTCCTTTCGTTTCTTCTCTTTCTTTAACCGTTTCTTCTCTAGATAAACGGGATCTTCTCTTTTCCTCTTCTTCTCTTTCTTTTCCTTGTCTTTCTTCTTTTCCTTTTCTTTACCAACCGAAAGTGTTTGAAGGCTCGCGTATTTCTGCTGTGTCTCCTCGTTTTCCATACTATGGTCTAGTGGTAAGATGCTAGGCGCTACTGTTTGGTTGTTATTATCTGCTTTCTGGCTTGTCGAAGTTTTCCCAGACTCAGCAGTGCATTGCAACTCTTTCCCAAAAGTATCGCCTTCACTTGCAAATTTTACACTGCCGATACTCGCAGTCATACGAGAACCAACATCGTGACACGAGTTTACTTCCTCCACGTGATTCTGATTGCTTATGCTCACAGCATCAGTTGAGATTCTCTGTGGGGCGTCCACTGAAGCTGAACTGGTTTGTCCTCTGTCTATATCATGGCGTACCACAATCCCTTGAGATCTTTCTATGGTTCGTGCTGATCCCTCGGCTCTGCTGGTTGCACCAGATGGTCTGACCTTGATCCGTATAACAGACTTCTTCACCTCATGACTAACAGACACAGCAACCACATCAGGTTCTTTTTGAGGTTCCTTTGTTGGAGGGTTTGCTTCCCTATTAGCTAATTCTTCTGTTGGACCTTCACCATCCGATGGAATCTCATGAACGATGGGATTTTCATGTGAAGGTTGGTTTTGACTTTCCATGCGAGATTCAAGATGCTGTGTCTCATCATACGCTGCAACAGGTTCTGGCAACTTTAGTTCAGGAACGATAGGCATGAATATTTCCTGTGGTCTTATTGGAACACCATAAGGAGAAACATCCAGTGATTGTCCTTTGGCATCTCCAAGTGCCAGTGAAGGCTCCCCTGCATCTGCTCCCGGAACCGAAAATACATTTTTCGGCTCAATGCAGGCCTCCACATCAACAAGCTGCAAAGGTTTTTCTTTGGGCACACCAAACAACGTTGGGGGTCTGAAAATGAGACAACAGTAAGTATATTCTGTTCAGAATGTGGATAATTATGGTGATAAGCAGAAGAAGACTCAAGAACGGCCGAGAGCTATAAAATCTTTAAGTTAAGCTGCTACCTACAGGCAACCATAATGAATAAGGAAACAAATGCACCACATGAAAAGGAGCACTTGTGAAAATAATCTGGCAGACAATGAATGCAAAGGCTACAGACCTTCCCGCGAGAATTTGAAAAATGCAGAACAAGTAGTAGCGAAGAAGTTCATTGTTGAATACTACATGGCTCTTGAATAGATGCAGCAAATCCAGAAGACTAACAGTGTCGACACAATCGTCTGAGTCACATCCAACTGCTATTTGACATAACCGCATTGTGTGTACACACAATTTTACCTGCCCTGTAATCAGGGCCAAAGATATAAAAAGTAATAAATGAACTCTATTAGAAACAGAAAGCTGCTATCTTCCAGCATTAGAATATAACCAACCTCTCAAAGATGATTCTTCTACCACATATTTCATAAACAACAAAAGTGTGGAACTTATGCCTTTGGATTGGAACTCGATGTCAAGAAGTGCCCTACTTGCTTCTATACGAATTTGCAATATTGTATCCGAATTTCGGAAAGGTTCAATAAGTTTACAGATGTGATCCTGAAGTCAGTAAATTGCAAGCTTTTAATTCTATCACCGCTGGTATCTATCTCATAAGGAGCACTTGGAAGAAAAAAGCGAAAGGAAAGAACTTACGAAACTGATAGAATCAGAAAGCTTGAGAGCAGTCTGTGCCAATGTTCGGATGCAGCTAATTGTCAAGATGCCATTGTAGCTTGGCATCAACCTAGTACATATATCTCCAACAAGCTCTCAGTAATAAGTTCTGTTGAAACTTATCAAATCATAAACATCAAACATGAGGGTACCTGTCAAACTGCAAGAGTCTGTCAATGCGCTTCAGAAGAGGGGCCAAAAACGTTAGACTCTGCCAGGGAAACAAAGAGAAAAAGAAGTATTGAGCAACTAACCATTAAACATGTAGCAACGCTGGTATATTGAATTTCTAAAATCCACATCTTTGCATATGAACTGAATAGGAATGAAACATCTTTTTTTCTTTTTTCTTTTTCATATAAGTATGAGACTCCCTAAAGCTACATAAACCAATGAAGCCTCAAAATTTTGACAGCTAATATATAATACATGAGCTAAGTACCAAAATAAATCTTGTCTTTTCTATGTACCATTTTTGTTGACAAAATTCAAGGGGTTTTTACTCCTAATAGCGTCAGTAGGAAAAGACCAAAATAAATATTACATGATAAATCATAGAGTGGCTTTTACAAGATAACAATCACAGACCTGCTGACAGAATTCGAGATCACCAACTGACTGAACAAGCACAGCAAGCCAGAATACATCAGAATACCGATTCCCACTGTTGTCATTGTACTATAAAAAGGAAAAAAAAAAGGCGAAATCAGTAAAGATGATAATATGGACTGAAAACAAGCGAAACACCTAATCTTTCATAGATGAAAGAAATCACTGCAGCGAATAAAGACTAACAGCTTTAATAAAAAGGCTATATCAGTAAGCAACACAGGTTTCACAAAATTTACCCGCGTTAGTAAATGATAAAATCGAACTATGGAGATGTATACCTTCAGAAGCTGTAAGATAAATTCAACAGCTTCTCGAGGGCTTTTCCCCTCAGCACCCCTAACTATTGCAATGGCATGTGGAATGGCCTAAGACGTAGAAAATAACAATGAGTTTAGATAAAACATTCAAGAGAAGAAAGGTTCAAAGTTCAAAGAGGAGAAATGTTCAAAGTTCAAGAGAAACCAAAGAACCACTGACGCTAACCGAGTGAAACAAAAGAGCTAAACTGTTACAAACCACAGTATCAGGCAGGGGGATAACCATGGAGACCCCCAGAGAAAAGCAGGCTAAGAAGAGAGAAACAAGAAATCGCACCCTCACTGCATAACGAATTTTCCTAAAAAGCTGAATACGCAAGGAAGTTTCTGGATATTTGTGTCCTTATGCTCATTATTTTCTATTATGTTCTTAGTTGGCTCAACATTCATTCGTTTTTCTATTTTACCATGACATTAATTAGTAGCCTAATTTTTTCAGGAGATACCCAACTTATATGCTAAGCAGAGCAGACACAGTTTCTGTCATATCGAAAGGACACGTCATAGCATCTCCAGCTAACAGCTGAGATCAATGTGTGACACTATATCAAGCTCATTTCCTACCTCAAGCACAAAATATTCTGGGAAATCGTGGAAGTCATTCGGCCTGAAAGGAGAATATCAGTTTTATGAGAAATCTTCTGCTGGTTACCAAAGATAGGTCCAAATATTAAAAGGCTCCAATCTCACTTGGGGAGTCCAATCTCTGCATCAAATCTTCTACTTTTATAAAACTTGATTAGATGTTGCAAACCCGCCCAGTCAGTCTCCTGCTAGAAACAGAAATGAGCTTAAATCAAAAATTGCAGTAAGACCTGTTTCAAAGGGCACAAAAAGGAGTGCAGGCCTTTAGAAAGTGCAGTTTACGAAAAAAAGTTGAAAGATGGTATACTACGCAGTTTAAACCAATAGACATACACATGAAAATCTCAATAGAGAAACAAATAAAATCTGGTAAACATGCTATAAATAAATGAAAATTAAGATGAAAGGAATGTTGAGATCAGAGGAATTTTTTTTCTTCCACTCATTACTTCTGCAATGTAGTAAATGCAAAGTTTCCTACTAAATTTGTTCCCTTATCATTTTTCTCACCTGAATGAATGGAATTCTTTTCCCACAAGTTTTATTGTAAATGGTGAAATTTTAGCTGGTTCTATTACTCTAAAAACATAACAATTTGCATGTATAAGGTTCCTGATCTTATACTTTTGAATCAATGCCTTTTGCTAACCTTCATACTATGCACTTAAATCAAGTTACAAATTTGATTATTATACGTCTTGTCCCTTTGGAACATAGATTGAACAATTTTTATCATACCTCTGATGCTGTTTTAGCCAATGCAAACGCTGCCCCAATACGTATTCTCCAAAAGACCTATATGTCACAATAATATTTTGGAGAAAAGAACTTCATCTTCAAACTGGTTTTAGAGAAAAAGTACACAAGAGACGGACAAAACCTTGGAGTCAGTGAGAACATTTTTGAGCGCATTCACAATGGAAAAGGAGTGTTGTTTTAAGGCTTCGAGTGACGCAATTGCTTGTGCCTGAGCAACAACATCTCCATCCTTCTCTAGTTGATTGACCTGATCAAAAGTCACGGAAACCCAAAAGTGTGAGATACGATTAAACCTGAACTGTAATCAACAAACCAATGTAGGATTTTGAGATGTCTAGAACTAACAGCACAACACACACACGTGCGCACACAGAAAACACACAGAAAGACTCAGTTAGATAATACCTAAGTAAAATAGTTCATGAGCTTCTTGTCATGAACCAACCATGTAGAAAAGCGAAAGAAATAGACGACTGTGATGTGTACCACAGATTTTCAAGATGTATCAGAGCAGATCTCTTACCCACATTTGTAGGGGCTGATGAAGGTGAATCTCAGCAATATATTCCATCTCAGGGTCAGCTTTAATCCAAGCCAAGGGAGATTCAATGCTACAGAGAAAGATTCAATCTCTCAGAATCTCAGTTCTCATTCTTGTGTTGTTGCAAGGTATGTAAACAGACCAGGAATGCCAGAAATAGTGCATCACAGAAACCCACCTCGTTTTATTTTCTAACGGTGCTATAGCATCAACATTGTCTTCAGCCCCATCAGGTTTCCCTCCCTTCTTTGGTTTTTGATAGCGTTTAGCAGCAAGTTTAGAATGACATGGTAATTCCAGTAGCTGCCATCTATCTCCAGCCATAGGCAACTTTGGATGATCAGACATTCCATCGAGTTCATAAACCCTTATACTCATAATACCCGGCCAGCCAGCATCCACATCCCGGCTTTCTGAATCAGAAGTAGCCCCAATAACTGATAATCTTGCATCCAGTGTAGCCGTGCATTCGCGCAGAGCAGCCATTTCAACATTGTTTTTCCTTTTGTTGTAAGACAACCCAATCCTGATTTAATAAAACAGAAGTAAAGAACATCGAGATAAGATTTAATGAAGACCCAGGAATCCATTGAACTAAGTTCAGAAGAAAGTAACTCTTAATTAAAAAAAAAAAAATACCTTAGCACGGGACAACCACAAGATGCAACCCATCGCTGAAAAAATTCTTTAAGAAATGGACGCTCAAGATTTCCAATCTTATTAGCAAATTGCCGGAACTGCGTCTCAAAGTGAAATTTGAGAAACACACATATTAGAAACTGACTTCGAAAATTCAAGCTGAAAGATAAACAGTTGATCACGAAGAGAAATATACAACAAATGGAGGAGATGTTTCGTATTTGTATACAATTAGGTTATGAGTTGTTGAACCAAGTTTCGGATAAATGGCCGTACCATATTATGGTCGAGTGGCACATTTACAACATTTGTGAAGTATATCAAGTCACAGCTAAGAGATAGATCCATTTCGACAAAAAAATGCTCCAGGAGCAAGGAAAATATTTAGTTTAAAAAGCTCCCAAAGAAGAAATCCCACAATCCTTCCTGACCTATTAGTGTTATCAGCTAACCCAAAAGATTACGTTAGATGATTATCTTAGGACCGCAACTATCCCAGGTATATATAGTTTATACTGAAAGATCAACTTGCTTTTTCTCATATTTAATTTTTTTTCTTAACCAACTAAAACTAAGGAGTTTGTCAAAAAACAAAAACTTAAAACTAAAAGAAATATGTGGATCTTTTCTAGCGTAACTTGTAACAAACAAACACAGCTTATCTGGATACATAGTCATATTACCTCCTTCGTGCTAAGAGACCGTATAGAATTAGATGGATCCTTGGCTCGAGAAATAATTTTCTGCAATATCTGTAAATCATCAAGTAGAAGGTCTATTAATCATGTGCGTAAGAAAACTAACAAAAATGATTTCCTGAAAAAACGATAGCACAATGACCATACTTTACGAAACGAGTCTGAGCCCATTTGCTTCTCTAACATCTGAAGGACTGCTCCCTTCAAAAATAAGTAAGAGAAGAATTATTCTTCGTAACAAACAACGCATGAAAAATCATGTAAATTTATCCCAGAAAACTCATACACTCCCACAAAAATTTGAGAGCACGGAATGATAAATATGAAAAGAAAAAATATGGCTTACTGATTTCCATGATCGTATCTTCCCATGCATCCCAATAGAATGCGTTCCAAATAGGTCCTTGCAAGAAGGAGATGCGCTCAAGCACATTGCACCACTATCATCAGCTTTACAGACAGCACAATTTGCCTGCACTTGCATCAAAAAAAAATCAAGAGAATCCAGATATGAGGTTCATGGCTTAGTTCAGAAATGGTTACAGAGGCGTCAGGGAATAATAAATCGAGTAGTAAGTATAAACCTTGTATCTCCGGTATCGTGCTTCATTATTTCCCAAAAACTGCTTAATAAACATATCCGTTAAGAAACCAGCAAGACCATCGAGGAGCCAATCTGTTATAACAACATGGACAATCATGAATCACAAAATACATGCTGATATAACAAATTGTACGCAAAGCAAAGTGTGGAAAAATGTCACAAGCCCACCATCATTTGGTGATTCAGGAGTAATATAAACTCCAAACCACTGTTTTGCTAACGCAGAAGCAAGTCTAATGCGTGTATCTATTGTCTGCAAAGACAATTGAAGCTCTATCAGATTTGTGCATAAAGGAACTAATAAGATGACGAAACACCAACAAAGAAAGAAAACTTCCTATAAACATAGTGAAACCTTCTACACCGAAATCTATATGCCAATGAAGGGGTCAAATGCAAGAAGTAGATGAAAGCAGCTTGCAATATTCATAAGTGGTAATGCAGTTTGTTGTACTTTTTCAAATATGCTCCATACAAATTCGGTCTGGTGTGCCTTCCATTCTAATATTAATATATACAAAGCATTCGTACATGTGTCTGATGAACATATTATCTACCAACAGGTCAATTTACCAGGAAAAAATACCTGATCAATAACCCTCTCATCATATAGCATGTGGGAGCTAAAGATATTCAAGGAAGCTCCCGAAGTCGACGAGGTAACAACCATTTCAGGAGGTAAAAAGACTTGCTTGTAGAATCCAAATGGAAAGTTCGCACTTAAATAATCCTCATAGTAGCTGTAGAAGTTGATTTCCAGTAGACAAGAATTATACTTTAATTCAGTTTGACTACAAGAAGTTGCCAGAATACAAATTTACAGACCTATAAGCTTCATGGAAAAATTTCATTGTATTACGAAGCCTCGAGAGATCATGCGGCAAACACAAGTTAGATATGAGAAAGTTGGTCTGATCTGGAAAGACTTCCAATGGTCCTGCAACTAAAGACACCCACCGCGGTGCAATAGGAATAGCTAACTCATAAACATATGTTTTTCGAGTAGTATCTTCTTTGCACATAACCTGAAAAGTGTGAAAGTTTAAAGAACACTCCCCCTCCACCTTGTAAGAGTACTAATAAAATTGACTGACGGAAAATGTAAACATATTCAACAAAGTTTTAGCTTATCTGCCTACAATAACAGAGAAAAATCTTCTGTTTGATCCAGATTCATTAGATAACTATACTGAACAGCAAAATTTTCTGATAATATAAGGACAGAACAATTAACAATTTTCCTTGCAAACAGAGATAGTACACTTTCAGATTAAACAGCACTGGATATGGCTTCTTTCGTATAGAAGCTGAAACCAAATTTGGACGCAGATTTTATGCATACGTCCATAAGTCATGGCAATCACAGCTTTTTCTAAGTTTTCCATTCAATCCAGATCTATAATGGAATATGTCTTGTGCGTAAAATACCGGATTGAACAAAATAGTACTTCCTCTAATCTATTCATGTATGACAGATATACAACTTACCTGGTAGAGTAATTTCCCAACACTGACAGCCACAAAGTTGTGCGGAACAGTGAATTCCAAATCGAAACTGCATCCCCCACAAAGTTGTTAAATGAAAAAAGTTAAACAGGTTGTGATACCCACTTTGATCTCAAGAGACAAGAGACATGACAGCAGTGTTACTTCTTAAGAAATTGAATACCTGCAACGATGGTACTCATCATCTATGCAAGGAAACCAACAACGGGCACGTCTCATCTGGTTATCAGTATGTACAATGTTCCCATCAAAATGAATTCCTGACTCAATTTTCTCTACCCAGTAGTTAATCCGAATCAATTTAACATTCTGCATCATATGAGCATACATAAATCGTTAAACAGAGGACAGCTCTCACTTGTAACCCATAGCAGAGTATATGAGAATCAGGATTACACAAAAGTATCGATAGCACCAATGTTAATCGCATTAGTTTTTTTTTTAATTTCAGCTACGTAAATTCTTATCTAGCATTGAACAAACGAGAATAGATAGCCTGATATGTGTTCCACGAAAGTAGTAAAGGCGAACAAAGAGTAAGCATAGCAAAGGTAAAATCTAGATCAAAGAGAATTTGCTGTAATTTTAAGCTCATTAGATCGCATTTGACATATAAAAAAAAATCGATGAAGAGAATCAAAACAATTACCTGTTTTACCTCCCCGGAAGATTGGGAACCATTTTCTAAAGTCACATTATCCAGCTGTTCAGATAGATCCTTAGAGGGCTTGCAACAGTTGATTAGTAAATTAGCAGTGTCTTCTCTCTTAAGAACCCCAACATATTCGATGGCCGCGGCATCAGCTGCTGAAGCAGGGTCTGAGACCGAGTTCCAGTTACTCTCAGTTTCAGAGTTCTGATGGTGCGGATAGTACTCAAATACAGTGGGTTCCCCATCTACCAAAACACTCTCAATTCCCAAGTTCTCTGCGTGTAGTCCCACTATACCAATATCTGGCACACTCACTTCTAACTCTGTGTAACTAAAGAAAGTCAAACAAAAATCCCATGAAAATACAGCTAAGAATGATAAAGCCAAGGAATAAGTAAAACCAAAGAATTTTGTTGGTGTAAAAGTCAAATTCTGCCCATAATTAGGGTTTATTCATCCCGAATTATAAATAGCAGCGACAAATCACATTCACGCACTTGTTTCGCGAATGAACAATCGAAAGCAAGAGAGGAAAACGGACCCGTAGATTTGGCGTTTTTTAAAGTCGATAGAAAGAAAGAGCTTCTGGTGAAGAACTTTAGCTCCAGTGTTCTCCGAAGCCTTGGCGCCAGGAGCTTCCTCGTTCTTCGGCTTCCGAGCTTTGGCCATGTTCCTTTTTCGCCGATATGTTTAGCCGGAGAGGCAACCTTTTTATACAGCCAAGCCAACGATGGATCGGTTCCTCTAATTTACATAAAACTCCTCTATGTTTTAAAATTATTAAATATTTTGCTATTGTTTTCTATATGTATTTATCATCCTTTGATCATGGGCTTGGTTAAATAATTTGCAATTAGGCCCAATTATAATGGATTTCCATTCTCTTCTTTTCTTTTTTTTTTTTCTTTTTTTTTTTTTTTTTTTTGTGCGCGCAAAAGATTTCCATTCTATTTGAGGTTTGACCTTTTTTCGTATATTTATAATTTTGGTTGTTGTACCAAACCATAAATTAAAAAAATAAAAACTATTATCCACTTTTAAAATTGATACTTAACATGTCAACTTCTGTCGTAAAAAAAAATGTCAACTCCCAATTCATGACTCATGAGGCCCTAGTGAAATGATGCATCTTTTGTTCGTTCATTTTCTTACGTTTTTGTTAAATTAGTATAATCATTTAAAAGAGCCAAAACCGTGGCTCTTGCCTCTTACAAATGTCTAACGCCCTCATATTTTAATTGGTTAGTCACACTATTTTGGGATGTCAAAGCTTAGTTTTTTGACGGTGAATATTACTTGTTGATGTCAACCCATGCCTGTATATTCAAGTAATTGGTTTTGGTACTTTTGTTTTGTGAACCGTCTAATAACATGGAATATATTACCTATTTTATGTATGCATACGCATCGATGGTCGAGACTCGAGTATATATACTATATATTTATTCACATACGCGTGTGAAGAGTGACAAAAATGCATAGGTTGTGGATTAATTTTCGCTAGATGCATTTTTTTGTCGCTGTAAAAGCCACATGAAAGTTGTAGAACTCGGAGATTATTATGAAGTAATGAACTCTAAGATCTTCCGGTTTTAAAAGAAACATACTAACCAGGGGCGGAGCCACATGACATTATAGAGGGGCAGTTGCCACCGTCAATTTTTCAAAAACTAATGTTATTTTGTAACACTTTTTAATTTTGCCCCTGTTAATATATTACTTAATTCCCCCATAACTTTATTTTCTTCTATACACACGTTTCTATTCTATGTTTTATTTCTCTTTTATTAGAATTTTATTATTTTCTCTTACTCCAATCTCTTTTTTTTTTTACTTTTAAGTTTAGAACATTGTTTTGTGTATTTTTGTATATCAAATCTCTGAGAATTCGGTTTATGTTTAGAAGTAAACCAAAAATGATTTGTCTTACAAATTTACAATTTATAAACATATATAATGTGTAATATAGAATTAAAAATCCAAGACAACCATGATGATCATTATAATTGGATTTAGTGTCTTGGCTTAGAAAGAGCTGAATTGGAAACCAATTTTAAGTGATTGCTTCGTATGTTATGTTGACAAAGATTTATTTGGATCTGTCACTAATGTGAAAAGTGATAAGAAGATTTCGATTTATGAGTGATCGTGGGTTACTTTCGTAAAGTATTATTTTTTTGTTCGTATTTTTTATGGGGTTTGTAAGAAACGATTTTTTTTAAGGTTAATATTATTGCCACGGGTAAAATTATTTCTTAGATCCGCCACTGATACTAACTAAGCAACAAGACAATAAACATATCTAAAATCACCATTTCGATCGGAAGAAGAAAATTTGTCATTGGTTTTGCTATTTAAAAAAAAATGGTTCATGCAACAATGTTGTTGCGGTCAAGTTGTTTTGTTATGCTAAATTTTTCATACATAAATTGGATTAGTTTTTATCTACAAGAACAATTCTATAGATATGGAACAAACAAATCAATCATTCAATGTGCTAACAAAATTAGTTAAAAAATATCTTATTTTAACTTGTTCTTAGCATGCAATTTATGTTCCCGTGTTCCTTTATTTGTATCTTGTTAATTAAGCTTTTGTACAACAAAAAAAAAACGAAATTTGAAATTCATATAATAAAATATATGATGAGAGGTTTGACTTTATTATGAACTTCAAATTTAATGAGGCCTCTTCCTTGAACGCAAAGGAAGTTTCTTCGTTGGAAAACGCTGTCTCCAATTCACATCTCTCTCTCTCTTTCTCTTTCTCTCTGTACATACTACATACATACGTATACGTATATATATTAACACTATATCTCATCTATGTCTTCGATGGTTCTATGATCTTTAATTTCCATGGCGACGACTAGAGTCTCACATGTCTTAGGGTTTTTTCTATGGATCTCTCTTCTCATCTTCGTCTCTAAAGGGTTGTTTGGCAATTTCAGCTCCAAATCCATAAACTCTTTTCCTTCTCCGGTTATTACCTTGCCGCCCTTTTACTACCGGCCGGGAAGGAAAACTTTGGCGGTGAAAACGTTTGACTTCACACCGTTCTTGGAAGATATTGGCCGGAGTAATCATTGGAAAGATTTGCCGCCGGGAGGATCCGAGATCGATCCGAGATATGGCGTTGAGAAACGGCTCGTCCCATCTGGTCCAAACCCCTTGCACCACTGATTTGTCTTCTTAGTTTTTGCTTTAAATTTTCTTTATTTTTTTGGAATATATAGTAAAACACGTATATTACTAGCTAATAGTCTACTACTAGAAGATTAATTCATAAGATGAAAGCTAATATTCTTTCTTGGTACGTATATGTCTTGAATTATTTATTCGTCTTTGTCATGTGAAGTGTTTTGTTTTCACTTTTGGTGTAACGATGTAATTTACTCAGCTTTTTATTCTTTTTTTCATTTGATATATTATAGGTTGTAATAATAAAACATCATGTAAGAAAAAATGGATATCATGTACACATTTTGTTGAAGTGCCAAAAAAAGGTTAGAACCAATGTATGTAATCTATACTGGTTTCAATTAAGAAGTGTTTGTTCAGGTACTTAAAAGGGAAAGGGAAATTAGCTTCGATATTAGCAGTCACGTGAAGCGTTGACTTAATTAATTTCCTTTTCCAGGTTTTGTGCAAACTTTTGAGGAAATGAGCTCATGTGCTTCTCATTTGGCAAAATACAATTACAACTAGATCATCACCCGTACTAAAGTACGGGTTGAATTTTATTTATTACAAAATTTATATAATATATATATTAGAACTAAGTTTTAATATATTATAATAGTAAGTGAAAAAATATTAATTTTTTGGTCAGTCCCTATATACAATATTAGAATAAATATAGAATTTTTTCTATAATACTCAATTATGTATAAATTTTTTTTAAGATATGAAAACGGAAAATAATTTTATTTTTTAAAAAGTAATATTTTTTGAACAATGAGTTAATTTATGTTAACAACCACAAAATAGGATTGCATATATTTCAGTTAGATCAAAAATTAAAATATCATAAATAAATCGCATATAAAACATAGATTATTTTGAATTAATTAAGAAAATTAGGTATTATTTTGAATTAATTTAGAAAATTCTTTTTCAATTCATAATTCTTTAGTTGTTGAAATAGATATTTGTTTGAGCTAATCTAATTACAGAATTTGTTTGAGATTTATAATTACGGAATTTACCAATTATTCGCATAATCGAATATGTTATAAACATATATTTAGTATATAATAATACCAAATAAACCCGTGCATGGAGTCTATATTTTTATTTTAGAATATCAATATTTTATTTTAAAATATTGCGTGCACAATCTATTATTCGTTAATTCTAAAATTGCTTGCGGAATCAAATTTTCAAATATTTAGAGGTGTCAAACCATATTTAAATGTTCTACACTATTTTTAAATATTCCAAATTAAAATCTTTAAATTTGTTTTGTAGTTTATAAAATTATGAATTTCAAAAAACAAATTATATGAAATTAAATATAACTATTCAAATAGTTATAAGGATCAAAACTCATTTCATCATATAATATATTATAGTTAATCCGCTACCTATTATAAATATTTTTAAAAATAATCAAATTAGAGTATTTATAATTTTTAACTTTTTGAACTATTAAGTATTGATGATATTCTCTAAAAATATCAAGTAAAACTTATTTTAAATGTTGCAAAATAAAATATTTAAAGTTTTATTGTAGTATATAAAATTATATATTTCAAAAAAATAAATGTATGAAATCGAATATAAATATTCAAATTCTGACCCGTTGCTTAGGGGTTGATTGGTTGGGCTGTAAGTATTTTCTACATACCTAAATTGTTTATACAGACTAAATTCCTACCAATCGTGCTGTAGTTTTAATTTTAAAGTTACAGCCCAAAGAAAAATTCCATTTTTTTATTAACTGTAAGTCTCAATATTTCTACAGCCTTTTATCTTGTGCTTTGACATCTGTAGTTAGTTTTCTTTTATCTCTCCTCCAACATTTTTATTTCTCACTACATCTTCTTTAAATAATACTTATATAATACACATACTGATGAATATAACTAATAATATATATATATATATATTTATAATAATACATCATGTAATAGCCTTTGTTCCACATAATTATACGAACATATATGATTATAATATATTATATAGATTCCATTTAAGTTATATATGCATGGTAAACTTATGGTGTTGCTTATGTATAATATAAATGATATTAAAATTTATATATATATATATATATATTTATAATTTATAATAGATACATCAAATATTTATCAATTAATTTTTTTATTATATAATTCTATAGCTACAACCAACATTTCTACAGCTAAAATTCTACAGCTACAGCCAACACATCTATAGCCAAAATTCTACAGCCAAAATTTTACAGTTAAAGCCGAACCAATCATCCACTTAGTCGGAATTTTTGTTGACTTTATTTTTATGTAAAAAAAATATATTACTCAAGTCTGAATTTTTGACCCGTTTAATTGTTTCTTTTATAGATTGAACAATTTATATGCGTTTTTATAAATTCAAATCTTGGCATATGGAGAAAAAATTTTACTTTTTTTTTTTTATTATGTAGATGATATGATGATTTATTTGTTTCATATTAATATAGTCATATAAAGATGAGAGGTGAAGTTTAATGATTAATAACAAATTAATATGGTAAGTTAGATATCAAATCTTATATGTTCATTTTGATTGGTCATTTAAAAAAAAAAATAATAACAGATTTTCGTTTTATAATTTAATTAAATTAATTAAATGACATAAATTAGTATTTTACTTGTTTATCCTTAGTAAATTGAATGAAATTTGTTCTAAAAGAAGATTTTTGTAATGGCATTCTTAAGTAAATTCTTACTAAAGGGAAGGTTAGTTAAGGGTATCTTATAAAGTGTACTCCCCAAATAATAGTATAGGATTTGTTTACGTATTATGACCTCATTTAAGTTGAAAAAGACATTTAACAATCCCGTAGCTGGTTTACTTCGAACCATGCGGTTTTATCTTCGGTTTTCTGGTCATTTGGTTTATCCTTAACCACAAACAAATGTTGCAACTCCGTCACGGCAAACTAGTCAGATTTCCATTTCCTGTTGTTATCTACAAACTACGAGAGAGGCAGAGAGAACTCTTTGGCTTGAGAGGGAAAGACCTCGGCGTGAGTTCGCTGAGTAGCCAAAGCTCTTCAATTTTGCGATTGTATGGAAACGTTTGCTTTATTTCTGCCAAAGCGCACTGTGATAATAAAACCAGAATTTGTTGGGTTTTGTGGATAACTGAAGCTCCTGGGTTTGTGTATTTTGAAGAGTCAATTCGATGAATTTATACTGAATTTTCGTTCCTCTCTGTTTATCTCAGCGACGATTCTTCTGGGTTTTGCAGTTCTGAATCAATCATAATCTATCGTGATTTAGGGCTTTATACTTGATGAGAATCTACTGAATTAGTCCTAGTTAAGATGGCGAGAAAAGCTAACAACAGTCTGTTCCTTGAAGAATGGTTAAGGACTGTGAGTGGAAGTAGTGTCTCTGGTGATTTAGTGAAGCAAAATTCTGCTCCATCTGCTAGGTCGATTATTCAAGCATGGTCTGAGATTCGTGAATCTCTCCAAAACCAGAACTTTGATACACGTTATCTTCAAGCTTTGAGAGCTTTGGTTAGCTCTGAGTCCACTATCCATGTCGCAGATCCCCAAGCAAAGCTACTTATATCCATATTAGCTTTACGAGATGTATCTCTTCCGTCTGACTCTTACACACTTGTTCTCAGACTACTCTATGTGTGGATTAGGAAAGCATTTCGACCGTCTCAAGCTCTTGTTGGTTCAGCGGTTCAGGCCATTCGTGGTGTTGTTGATGACAGGCCTAATCTCCAACCAACTTTAGTAGCGCAGAGCGTTCTGGTTTCTGGTGCCTTTGCGTGTGTTCCTTCTCTGTCTGGAGACTTGAAACTCTTATGCTTCGAATTGTTATGCAGGCTTTTGGAAGAAGAGTACTCATTGGCGGGATCTCAAGAAGAACTTGTTCCTGTAGTGCTTGCAGGAATTGGGTATGCTTTATCTTCTTCGCTGGATGTTCATTACGTTAGACTATTGGATTTATTGTTTGGCATTTGGTTAAAAGACGAGGGTCCTCGGGGCAGTGTCACTCATGGTCTGATGGTTCTTCATTTGATCGAGTGGGTTATGTCAGGTTATATGAGGTCTAATTATATCAACAAGATGTCTCTTTTTGCTAACGAGGTACTCGAGACTTCTAAGGAAAAGTATACTGTTTTCGCTGTCTTCATGGCAGCAGCTGGGGTACTGAGAGCTTCCACGGCAGGATTCAGTAATGGTGCACAGAGTTTTGAGATTTCTAAACTAAGAAATTCAGCTGAAAAGCGAATAGAATTTGTAGCTCAACTTTTAGTGTCTAATGGTATTGTTACACTTCCAACCACTCAGAGAGAAGGTCCTCTGTTGCAGTGCTTTGCTATAGCATTGGCTCGATGTGGGACTGTTTCTTCCTCTGCTCCTCTGCTTTTGTGTCTCACTTCTGCATTGTTAACTCAGGTATTTCCTTTAGGCCAGATATATGAATCATTTTGCAAAGCTTTTGGCAAAGAGCCTATTGGACCAAGACTCATTTGGGTCAGGGAGCATCTTTCTAATGTTCTTTTCAAGGAATCAGGGGCCATAACTGGGGCTTTCTGCAATCAATATATATCAGCAAGTGAAGAGAACAAGTATATTGTGGAGAATATGATTTGGGATTTCTGTCAAAATCTCTACTTACAGCACCGTCAAATTGCTCTGTTGCTTCGTGGTATAGAAGATACATTGCTTGTAGACATAGAAAAAATTGCAGAATCATCTTTCCTTATGGTTGTCGTCTTTGCGCTAGCTGTTACGAAACAATGGCTAAAACCAATAGTGTCTAAAGAAAGAAAAATGGAGACATCAGTTAAGATATTAGTTTCGTTCTCCTGTGTAGAGTATTTCAGACATATTCGTTTACCTGAATACATGGAGACAATTAGAGAGGTGATTTCATGTGTCCAGGAGAATGATGCTCCTTGTGTTTCATTTGTAGAGTCCATTCCTTCCTATAATAGCTTGACGAATCCGAGAGGTTTGAGAAATCAGTTGTTTCTGCAATTTCCATATCACAATTTTCTGTTGGCTGTTACATTAATAAGATTTTGAATCTTTTTTTTAATTTCTTTTCTTGTTCTGCAGACTTGTTTACGCAAAGGATAAAATATGAATGGTCAAGAGATGATGTACAGACATCTCGAATATTGTTTTATCTTCGAGTAATCCCAACTTGCATTGGACGGTTATCTGCTTCTGCCTTCAGGGGAGTGGTTGCATCAACCATGTTTTTGTATCCTAGAGAAAAGATCGAGAAGTCTTTCTCTCTGTTTTACTTAACTACGAGTACTATCTTTCCTATTCCTTAACAATTATGTGGCTAGATATATTGGACATCCTAACAGAAAAGTGGCGCGAGCATCTCATACATTGTTGGTAGCATTTCTCTCGTCAGCAAAAGATTCAGAGGAGGACGAACGAAATCAACTCAAAGAACACCTTGTTTTCTATTACATGCAACGATCTTTGGAGGTACCTAAGCAAAAAAGAATAATGGATGTAACGTATTTCTGTTTAATTATTATTTACTAATGTGTATATGATTGGTTGAAATAACTGCAGGTTTACCCTGAGATCACACCTTTTGAAGGTTTAGCTTCCGGCGTTGCAACCTTGGTCCGGCATCTACCTGCAGGAAGTCCTGCTATATTTTATTCTGTTCACAGCCTTGTTGAGAAGGCTTCTACATTTAGCACCAATTCTTTGCAAGGAAGAAAGTCTGATCCTGGTAATCAAATTCTTGAGTTGCTTTTGCGACTTGTCTCTCTGGTTGATATACAAGTAAGTTTCTTTTTCCTCATACTCATCTACTTGAGCTACTAGAAAATGGTTACTTTGCTCATACGTTAATGTTCTCTCTGTCTTCGTATACATTTTTTGTTTTGGTTCAGGTGTTGCCATATCTTATGAAGTCATTGGCGCAACTAATTATGAAGTTACCAAAAGAAAGACAGAACATGGTGCTTGGTGAGTTGTATGGTCAAGTGGCTGAGTCAGACGATGTGATTCGCAAGCCATCTTTGGTATCTTGGCTACAGTCACTGAACTACTTATGTTCTAATAACCGGACTGAAGTCTCAGCTTCTGGCTCAACAATAGACACTTCGAACCAGTTGGCTGCTCGACTCTAGGGATCTCCTCATAGTTTGCAAACATGTGAAATAGAATTAAAGTTTGTATGACGTATATCATGGAATTACGTAGTAAGACATTATTTCAATGAAGTTTGTATGACGTACTGTATATCATGGATGTGTTACGGTTTCACTTGATTTGGGGACAAAGAAGAACCGGATTGAAACTTAAACCGATACAAACGAACCTAGACTTTGGTTGTCCTAACAAAACCTGCGAAAGGAGAACTAAACTCAAAGATTCAAGAGTCATTCAAGGCAGACTATGATCAAGTTGTTGAAGATGCCAAAGAACTTGCTTCTTCTACTGTGTATTAGGATAATGATACAAATTACTCTTACTGCCTCATGTTTCATTGTAGACTCCATTTTCTTCAACGAGAAAAATAGTATTGAGATTTTCCAACTGGTAATGTAAAACGAATCAGTCTTTTATTCTTGGTACATGTTACATTGTCAAGACTGAATTTGTCCAGTGTGTATCCCAAACCATGTTATTTACATCATTGCCACTATCACGAAGCCTGGGTTTTCACAGTTACAGCAACTATTTCAGACGACTGTAGGCAAAAATGCCCACACAGCCAATGGCCAAACCAAGAAGAATAGGTACAGTAGAGGATTCGAGGTTTTGTGTTTTACTGTTTGTTCTGTTGCTGTCGAGTCTCTCTATGCGAGACCTTTCTCCAACATACTCCCGAAGAAGATTGCTCAGTGTGTCCATTTGAAGCATTATCTGACGCTGTCCACGAGCAATGAGTATGACCTGTTCAGATGATAAAAAAACATTATAAAGTCACGAAGAGAAATGAATTATTTTCCAAATCGTGCGCTTAGATTTCTCTATCTTATGTTCATGGATAGACCCATCCTCTGTTTCTATCGAGTCTAAAGCTCTCTTTGATGCATCTGATGCTCTGTTGTTGTCTATTGAAGTGAAGCAATCAAAAATGAAACTGAGCATATGTGATTCTGATTTTGGAGAGTTGGTTAACATACCTCTTCCATCAGAGGAGATTCCCTTACGAGCTGAGATGCGGATGAGGAGAGCGATAAGACGGACCCATTACCGTTTTCGATTGGCAATGCCAAGTTATGTTGACTACCTGAAGCAGCTATCCTGTTTGGGATTTTGGAATTCAACTCTTCAATGCGAGATGTGAATTCATCCATCCTCTCGTTCAGTGTCGATATTTGGTCTGAAAGCTGAGTGATAAAACCCTATAGAACACCATATGTTTGATTGAACTGTAAGCCAAAGTATCACTTTGCAACAACAGAACTATAGATTTTGAAAGATCTCGGGGGAAAAAACAGAGAGACCACTTTACCTGATTTGGAAGAGTGGCCGGTGAAGCAGGGGCTCTGGCATCTAACATTCTATTGTTAACAGCAAGTCTTGTCAAGTTAGGCAAGGCTTTGTGTCTTGGGTTTGTGTAAGACTTTGATACACCGCTGTTAAAACGTGCAATCATTACACACAAGTCAGGTGATTCCGTGGCTTAACATATGTTGTCTCTATTCTTAGACTCTGTCTTTTTCTCAGATTTAGCAAATGATGGAGAAGGGACTAGACTAGAGGATACCCGTGAAGATATTTCATTCTACTATCAACAGAAGCTCTTGAGAGGGCTTCTTTAGGGCTAGAAACTGTATCATCATCTAAGCTTAGCTTTGTTTTCAAGTCATCTGGCAAAGCCTGAAACATGACCAGGGAGACCAAACATATCAAATTACCATCATGACAAAATCAACTGGATCTGTGTGTAATGAAAACAGCTCATACCAAAACATCATTCACAAGCCTCTCCAGCTGTATCTGTTCAATATATGTATGTGGAACATATGAACCTTCCAGTCCAAGTTGGTCTGCCACATTTTTGACGAAGGTACGGTCTTTACCTTGTACCTTCATAAAAGAGTTGGAAAAACTTGATCATTGATGTCAAAATACCACCCTTAAGACAGCATAAACGCTTAGAGAGAGAGCAAGAGAAGCAGATATTACCTGAACATATGTCCGATTCAGTTGTTCCAACCAATCAGTCTTCACAATTACCTTGTCATCATCAAAGATATGACTCTTTCTTTTTAAGATTGTTGCAATGGTATAACCCAGTGCCATTAATCCTCCGAGAAGACGAACACTAACTTCAAAAGTTATTCTGGGTGATATAATAAATGGACGATCTGTAACCCACTCCTGAAAGCAATACACAGAGCGGTAATCATTCATCAAATCAACAACCCATTCATTCAGCTTTGATATGAGATCAAAAAGTATCTGCCCATCTGTCCTTAAAAATGTGTTTCATACAGAAGAAAAAAAAGTCTGAAACAGGTATTGGCCAAACCTCAAACATGAGATTGTATTTTCCATCCCGGTTCCTCATTCTGAGGTAGGATTGGCATGCTTCAGGATCCTCGCCTGGTGGTAGCAGATAGATGTCATAAGTTTCCTCTGTACGTTCCTTGAAGTCTTCAGACAGAGCTGCCTTCATTTGTTCTGGTGTTACAGCCTTTGTTGACTACAACAAAATAACAAAACTCACTCCAACCGGGAAACTATTGCTGCTGTAATACAGCTAGTTGTAGATCATATAAAACGCCATCATACTACACGTTTGAACTATATAAATGCTGTAACCTTTAAAATATATGTTGGGTTCTGAAAGCCACTGAAGGGGTTAAACTTATTCAGGATCTTAATTTGAGCTGTCTTCAGATCAGGTTCAATAAACGCCTTGTACATAGGATAAACCTGGTTGGAGAAAAACACAAAGGGGAAATTTATTGTCCAAAGACGCAAAACAAACAGTAAGAGTCATCATTTCATGTTTCATCCATGTTTGAAGTGAATCCAAACATCAAGGATGGGAGCAAGAGAAATTAATCAGGACACAAGAGTAAAAGATCAGCGTAAAAACCGTCTCAGATATTTGATGAATAATTTCTTCAGGTTCCTGGCCAGCACGTTGAATGTCCCGCAAAACACGCTTGACAAGATCAAAATGCACTCCACCAGTGACAGAGACACGAAGATCGAGCAAAGGCCGTAGTTTCTCACTCAAAGCGTATATGCCTTCAAGAATAACAATGCGAGAGCTAGGCACCTCAAGCGTTCTATACAAAGCATGAAGAAACTGCTAAGTCATTGCAGATGTGTAGCTCTTATCAACTAACATTTGTTCTGAATACTACGAACTAATGTGCCGAAAACATATATTTTCCCTAAAAGATGTAAATGAGGAGCGGGGTTGAACACCATGAAATTAATGTAATCACTTTGCTTGTCAGGCATCATTAAATCAAGTGGTTCCCAGAAATTCAAGTACACTGCCGTCTGTCTACAAGTTTGCACCAACGGGAAAATATATACCTGTAACCAATTCGAGAACTCGACTTAAAGTCATATATTGGAACCTGAACAGGTTTTCCATCCCTTAGGCCATGTATATTGTCAAGAAGTGTATCATAGTCAGTCAACCGTGGATCTGCAACAAAATGTAAAAAAAATCGCAAACATTTTTCAGACACAAGCTCTTTATATCAGATTATATACATAAGAAAGGGATGACTGAATCAACCCATAACAAGAAGGATATAACATAGAGGTGCATACCATCAAAGTTTCCATCGATCACACGAGTACCATCATTATAGTTGTCCATGTTAATGATAGCAATACTAGGCATAAAATTGAGGATCTTCTCAGTGAAAATGGTTTTGCCAGCTCCAGAAGGACCAGCTAACCCAACCAAAATGAGCCCGTCGTTCTTCTGAGCCAATAATTGACAAGCACGAATAACAGCGTAGAAACCTTTTTCAAAAGACAATGGATCCTCAATTGGAACAATCTCATATCTTCCAGAGTCCTTTCTTTTAATTAGCTGAACCTGATCCCGCAACAAGCCATGCCGCCGGCGAGGCGACAGAGCAACAGAACTATCGAGCACCATTGCCCCAAAGTTGCAAATGAAGAAGAAAATCTGAAAGCTACGAATTGCGCAGACAAAGACAAGAATTTGCGGTTATCAATTCGATACGAGTAAGAAAAAAAAAGATTTTTTATCAACTACAGATGCATAGGACTATATATGTCTAATCGGATCAAAATATGAGCTTAAATTTGATTCAATTTAACAAGATCGATCAATATTCATCAGAAGCTGTGGAAATAATCGACATGCGTGATAACAAACAACACACTCCAAATGCAAGATTTGAGCTTGAATATCACTGCAACACGACTTCTAGAACACTTAGCGACGCGAACAAGACGAGTAAATCAAACAAAGACTCAACAGATAATATTCAGAATCTGATCGTAAACAAATTAGAGACGTCTTTAAACAAACTTCACCTCACCGAAGAAGAGTCAAATCGGGGAAAAACGTCGCAGGAGATTATTCCATATTTTCTGGAACCCAGAAGCGATAGTGAAGAATATAGTTGGAGATATTTTCGTAGCAGTCAATGAGAGTAAGAAGTCATGATGGAAGGAGGAAGACGGAAGCTTACCAGAAATCACTAGAGAGATCAAACAGTAAACCAATCATACCAGATTCATTTGAAAATTGAATTTTCTTTGGTTATTGATTGATTCACCTGGTTTATCAATCTTTGGACCAAACCGAACATTTATGATATTAATTAAACCAACTTTCGGTTTATACATTGGTTCATATTGCTCTGATTCAAAATGAACCGAACTAAACCAAAAATGGATTAGTGCATCATTTTGAGCCGTTAGTCCACGTAATGACTTTGACCGTCACACGTCACTCACGGTGAAGCAATGACGACGTGGAAGAAACTATACCTTCTCAATCTTTTTCTGTTCTTCTTCACCTTTTTCTTTTTCTCCCACTGGGAAATTTCGCAGGTGAGAGAGAGAAACAATGGCGAAGCTACTTCTTCTTCACGCGCCTCATGTAATACCTAGGTTTAGCAGCAGTAGTAGGTCACTGGTCTCCGCGTCGGCTTTATACAGAAGACCTCTCCTCGTGAATCCCCAATTTTCCCATTACGGACCTGGTCTTCGTTCTCCGTACAATCGGAGATTCTCGGCTCGTGCTTTCGACGATTCACCTGCTTCTTCAACGGAGATGGAGAAAGAGAAGCAGGAACAGCTGCTGGATGGAGTTTCTGGGAAAAATGATGAGGACTATCCGACCGGAGAAATGGAGTATGAGAATAGGAACGCGTGGGAGATTTTTGTTGTGAAATTGCGGATGTTATTTGCGTATCCATGGCAGCGTGTTCGTAAGGGAAGCGTCTTGACCATGACATTGCGCGGCCAGGTTTCGTTCTTAGACGCTGATATTAGTAGTAGGACTGTAAATTTCTGATTCCGGTAGCATTTATAGTGAACTTGGTTGACTTGGAAGGCTACATTGTTGTGATCTCCTTTGGGAGTAGAACTCCTTATTGGGATTCTTGTTATATCGCTATACTCTATGTATGATCTACAATTAGATTGAAATTGAATTTTGTTTTCTTTATGTTCAGATCTCTGATCAGCTAAAGAGCCGTTTCAATACTGGGCTTTCTCTGCCTCAACTCTCAGAAAATTTTGTGAAAGCGGCATATGATCCTCGTATAGCTGGAGTCTACCTTCACATTGATCCTTTGAGTTGTGGGTGGGGAAAGGTTGAAGAACTTCGAAGGCATATATTGGATTTTAAGAAATCAGGTAACTCCTGAATCTACACTATCTATTGAACGTCAGAGTTTATTTCACTCGCTCTCTAGCTTATACATGCTTTCAGTGAGCTAATCAAACACATCTTTGTTAGGTAAATTCATTGTTGGATATATCAGCATTTGTGGACTAAAGGAATTTTATCTTGGATGTGCATGCAACGAGCTCTATGCCCCACCTAGTGCCTATTCCTTCCTGTATGGTTTGACTGTTCAAGCATCTTTTCTTGGAGGTAAGGGATTGTTTCTTCTTTGGCTCAATTTCTCACTTCAAAAGTTGTCATTAAATGTCCTTTCAAGGTTCTCTATCATACAAGGAACCATATGCACTCATACTGTGTGCGGACCATCCTTCATTTGTTAAGAAAGCTGTTGTTGAACCGCTACTCGGCCTCTTTTGTTTTTTAATGTGATTGTATCTCAACTCCCTGTTCTCGTTAATTCGTTATTAAAGGTCCTAAAGCGGATTCCAGTATATACAAAGCAGTAACTGGCACATGTATCGTGAACTAGTTATTTTTCAAAAATGTAGGTGTCTTCGAGAAAGTGGGGATTGAACCTCAAGTACAAAGGATTGGAAAATACAAAAGTGCTGGAGATCAGCTTTCCCGAAAAAATATATCTGAGGAAAATTATGAGATGCTGAGTGTGCTTCTTGATAACATATATGCAAATTGGCTGGATGGTGTTTCTGACTCAACAGGTGCTAGATTTGTTCACAATGTTGTTATGGTTATAACATTTTAGTTCTCCTGAATGGCTTCTGCTTAGAACTATGCAGGAAAAAAGCGAGAAGATGTTGAAAATTTCATCAATCAAGGAGTTTACGAAATCGAAAAGCTAAAGGAAGAGGGGCTGATAAAGGATATTCGATATGATGATGAGGTAATACCATTTCTATTCTCTTATTGTAGATGGGCTTCAGTATCTTCTACGTAATCCCAGAAGGCAGAAGTGATGATCCTTCTCATTCAGTCCTTTATCATGAACTTTTTTCCTTTTGGATCTTTTGGTATACTCTCAAAAATCAAAATATTGGCATGGATTAGTTACTTATAAAGATTCCCTTAAAAATCTATACAAAAGGGAATTAGATTCCGGCTCCATACTCCTGCTGATCTATATCATTTACTTTGACTGCAGGTTATAGCGATGCTGAAAGAGAGGCTTGGAGTCGAAAAAGACAAAAAGCTTCCTACTGTTGATTACAAGTAAATAATTCTTACTATATGGAATTGTCAAATTGATGCTTACTGAATCTAGAGCTATTATCTGTGCAGTACTCTTGGCTTAAGCCTTATACTATTAGGTAATGTATACATAATGATTCCTAGGTGGTTCCTGCAATATTGGGTAATCTTGATTTAGAATTGGTGTGATATGGAGAAATGTAAACCATGTGGCCGTACAGACTCGAGATCATAATTCAACAAAGTGTAGAATAGATGTCTTCTTCTTTGTTTCTCATTGTGGGAGGAATAGATGTTTTGCGATTTTTTATGTAAATGGTGCTATGCATACTTAATAGACTTTAAGTATTCTGTTTCTTATTTACTTGTATGTAAACTTTCCAGGAAAGATTTTAGAATATTGTTTTATGGTTCGCTTTTTGCTTCATGCAGTTTTACAGGCTAGACTAGTAACATCAAGATATTCTCGATTGAAATACTTTATGCAGGAAATATTCAGGTGTTAAGAAGTGGACTCTTGGTCTAAGTGGCGGTCGAGACCAAATAGCTATTATTAGAGCAGGGGGAAGCATTTCTCGGGTTAAGGGTCCGCTAAGCACTCCTGGTTCAGCTATCATAGCAGAACAACTAATTGAGAAGATCCGCAGTGTTAGAGGTACGTCTGTTTTGTACGTTTTCCATCTACAAGTGTGCTGTTGTGTTCTTCAACAGCAGCTCAGAACTTTATTTCCTCTGTCTTTTTGAAGAGTCCAAAAAATATAAGGCTGCCATCATCCGAATTGACAGTCCAGGAGGCGATGCTCTCGCTTCTGATTTGTAAGTAGTTATATTGATTGTCAATGTTGTATGATTATACCGACAATCTAATGCTCGTTTGATTTAACATTTCATGGATAGTTTGGTTTCACCTTATAACATGATGAAAGCAGACCCATTTTTAATATTATTTTCGTCAATGGAGGTTAGAAGTTGAAGCACTATCTTTTAAATCAAGAGAATGAATTAAGAACGCTATATTGAGCGTCTAGTAACTTGCAAATTAATATCTATCAAACCTAGAGGTCATGTGTGGATTTGAATTTAAATAGCTTTGGATATCTTTCTAGGCTTTATTATAATACTTCATAACTCGTAATGGTACACAGAATGTGGAGGGAGATCAAACTACTGGCTGAAACAAAACCTGTCATCGCGTCAATGTCAGATGTGGCAGCAAGTGGAGGCTACTACATGGCAATGGCGGCAAACACCATTGTTGCTGAAAATTTGACATTAACTGGCTCAATTGGAGTTGTCACAGGTGATCTTTCTTTTTCTACTTGCCAAAGAGAAATTTGTGCTCTGAATCTTTGTACAAACGATCTCTTTCACCCACCCTCGCCATGCTTGATTGCTTTTGTTTATTCTTGTTTGTTGTTGCAGCAAGATTTACCTTGGCCAAACTATATGAAAAGATTGGCTTCAACAAGGAAACTATATCTAGAGGAAAATATGCTGAGCTTCTGGGGGCTGAGGAAAGACCTTTTAAGTGAGTGACCTCACTCTGTTTATTTCGACGATTTTCCCTAGTTAGGCTCTAACCGTCTAAGACTTCATTTGTCACCCAATTTATGCCAATTTGGTTTTTTACTTTTTGTCAATTTCGATCCTCGAAACTGCTCTTTGAGAATCTGTATTTTCCTTTCATTCACAATAAAAACAAAATTATGTTAACAGGCCAGAGGAAGCAGAACTGTTTGAGAAGTCTGCACAGCATGCATACCAGCTTTTCCGAGATAAAGCAGCCTTATCAAGATCGATGCCTGTATTTGGTCCAATCTAGTATTTCTCTCTTGTATTCTTATGCTTTTTCAAGACTAAATATTTCTTCTTACTATGTTCCTAGGTCGACAAGATGGAAGAAGTTGCACAAGGCAGAGTCTGGACCGGTAGGGATGCTCATTCGCGTGGTCTAGTAGATGCTCTCGGCGGGCTGTCCCGAGCTATAGCCATCGCTAAGCAGAAAGCTAATATTCCTCTTAATAAGAAGGTTTGCCTCTAAAACTCTCTTTTGCTTCAGTGAGTTCATCTTTGTAACAAATCCTTAAAAGTAGATGATATTATACTTTGCTTTTTCTTGTGGTAAATACAGGTAACTCTTGTTGAGCTTTCAAGACCTTCTACATCACTACCAGATATCTTGAGCGGTATAGGAAGCTCGGTGATTGGAGTTGACAGAACATTAAAAGGACTGCTCGATGAATTAACAATCACCGAGGGAGTTCAAGCTCGAATGGACGGGATCATGTTTCAGCAACTTGGCCGAGATTCTTTAGCAACTCCCATCATTGATTTGCTTAAAGATTACCTCAGCTCTCTCCGATGATTCCGACACTATTACTGAATCTCATTTGAATGAAACTAAAATGAAACATCTTTAAAGTCAAACTTCATAAATGAAACTAAAACTGATATCAAGTTTAAAGCAAAGAAATATGAAGTTAATGTGAAACAAGTTTCAAGTCTTAAACTATTTACAGTTTCAGCTAATTTACATATATATGTATTTTCTCTATTAGAAACAATAATGAAGACCTCCATGAACATTATTATCTTCTTCGTAGCCTTTCTATCAATTTCTGCAATCTCCTTAGCTGAGGAGAATGTTGAAGCTTGCATAAGAAGAGAGATCCCGTATTATACGCTCTCTCCTTCCCCATCAAATCTTATAGAAGATAATTTCTGCGTTGAAGAAGGACTAACGCTCAGGTACTTCTTGATAATAAACGGAGAGTTCCCACCTTACTACGTCAAGGCATTGTGCAATGTATTTGGAAACGATGATAAGAAGGTGAAGCAACACGTTATTCAGACATGGACAAACACTACCAAAAAGCTAATGGATGGCTTAAGATGTGTTTCTTCACTATAAAAGATCTCTGATTTATCATTTGTTGGACCCGTAAAAGAATCAAAAACTTTATTTTCATATCACAAATTACCAACAAAAGTGGTCGTGTGTGTTTCCCAAGTAAAAAACGTTTTTATATTTATTCACTTCACTGACTAATGTAACTCCGTAACATTCTCGGAGGAATCCTCCGGGAGAATGAAGACTCTCTCTCATTGCAACATTTGATTCACCAATGCATCACACGAAACAGAGCAATATCACTTTTACACACGCATATGGTTTAGCTTCGGTTTAATTTTGGTCAATGGTTATTGACCGGTTCATGATTAGTTTGGATGCTCCTTTTGACCATAGTACAACTCACAAGATTTTTGTCTTTTCTTTACACTAGCCATTTAAATTTAGCAATTCGTTTTTTTATTCTGTTGTCAACAAAATTTAGCAATTCGTTTTGTTAAGAAAGTAATTTGCATCGTTTTCTTTGTCAAGTTCTCACATGAACCCGACCAATTTTCCAGCTACTCTGAATTTAAATAATGGATTTTTTTTCGTTATTCATTGTTCTTTTCTTTAAATTTATTTCTTGAAATTTGTAACCATCTTTTTTAAAAAAAAATCATATTTATTTGAACAGAATCAATATGAACGTACATCGATCCGTCAAGACTTTATTTGGATACAATCACATTATTTCTAAAACCCATACTAATGTCTTGTTCACTTTAAAGCTTAAGAATTCCGGCAAAAGGACCAAAAAGAGCTCCGATATAAAGCCGTCCTCTGAATTCATTAACCTCGCTAACAATAGTATCCCCAAACTTATCTTTTAGGGGAATGGTCTGAATCACTTTACCAGCAGAACTGACTTTAACCGCCGAAGGGTTTGTCGGTCCGGTGGCTGAGTTCACGACCGAAGCAACCCAAAAGTTTCCAGAAGAACCGATCCTCTTGATGTTGTCAGGGTTCGAGACCGAGTTGGTGAAGTCTTCAGAAGATCCAGCCTTCGCTCCTTTGATCCAATACCTCTTGATGTTACTTTTTGTGAACTGACTAACCAGCACGAACGAACCATCTGAGCTAACGGCACATCCGGCTGAGCCACTTAGACCTTCCATCAGTACAGTCACAACCTTTTTTGATGGGTCGTATCTGAAAAGCTTCCCAGTGGAGTCTTTTGTTGCCACTGCTTTCAACACATCGCTGTATATGCATCAAAAATAAAAATTGATTTGATTAGAAAATAATTCCGTTACGATGATTTTTCTACTGAAAATATATTCATTTTCTTATAGATTATATGATGTGTGTTTGTGTTTATATTTATACATAGAAGAAAAATAAAACTTTACCTAGGGCCAAATGTTGAGCTGAAGGAAGTGAAATAGACGACTCCGGTAATGGGATCAACGTCGAGACCGTCAAGAAACAAGAAGGGCTTGCCGTCAACACTGTCGGCGATCTTCTTAGCCAAACCGCCGCCTCGAGAAACGACATGGAGACCCAAAGGAGCATCAGCGACGTAAAGATCACCTGTTTTCCTGTTGAAAGCTATTCCTGCCGGTCGGCCACATTTTCCAACGTTAGTGGTTCCAAGTGCTCCGTCGCACAAAGAAGACTTCCTGAAACAAATTTATCAATTTTGTTAAGGTAAACCAAAAATGAAAAAAATAAAATAAATACATAGTTAAATATGGTTCTAATATTTGTATAGCTCCACACGTATTTGACAGTAATGCGTATGTTCATGTTATTAGCGTGTGTTAGTCTGTTAGAATGATTGTTTAGGAGGATTTAAGTCTTTGTTATACCGTAAACGACACTTTGATTTGCTAACGTTAGCCGATAAATGAAAGAAGGTTACATTCATATATCCTCAACAGTCTACACATTAATCAACAATTTTTATTTTGAATATTATATGAGTATACTAATTTTATAAATAAATAAAATTAGGTCGAATGAAAAAAGGAAATAAATGGCATTCAATTAATGAATTAATAAAAAGTAGGTTGCAGTAACCCACCAAAAAAAGTAGTTTGCAATTATTTCTGATTGGCAAGTTCTCTAGTGCACGAAATCTTAAGGTCATAACATGATTGACTCTGAAGTTCGTATCTTGACAAGAAAGTTATCTCAATGTGTATCTCGTGTCAGTGTATCAGATCTGAATCGAAGATCATAACATGATTGACTCTAGAGGTTTGTATTTTGACAACAAAGTTATCTCAATGTGTATCTCGTGTCAGATCTGATTTCGAGTTTATTTTTACTACTTTGTCTTATGTGTCATGAAAAGATAAGGTTATTTTACCAAAAAAAATATGAAAAGATAATGTTGTTACGGATTTAGTAATAAAACGGTTCGTACCATTATCATGTAGTATATGGAAAGAATTCTGATGTGCGTATCAAGCTCTTGATATCATTAAATTCCAATAATAAGAAGCATAACTATATAAAAAGTTAATGATCAATTGGAAACTTACGAAGAGTTTGTGATCTGGGCAAAATCGACATAACCTTTCCTTGGAAGATATTTGAGGATTTTACCGCCGGAGACTCCGGTGTAGAATCCTTTTCCGGTGGAATCAAAAGCGAAAGCTTCAGGGCCTGTTCTGTTTCCTGGCACCGGAAGCTTTTGAAATGACTCTATGGCTGAGAAAACAGATGAAGAAAATGAGAGAAGAAGGAGAAGAGAAATCAAGGAGACAAACGACCTCATAATGTTTCTTTGGTTGTGTTTTTGTTATCAATCTGTTATCTATATGTGTATTTATAGATTTATTTTTGGAATGTACTTTTTTAAAAATATTTCCTTTTATTAAGATATCTTCTTTTGTATTTCTAAAGATGGCAATAGACAAAGTATTTATAGAAACAAATCAAACTAAAATTAGTAATTAATTGAATATATATAAGGAAACAAATACGCTTAAATTATGTTAATTTTAAGATTGATTAGAAGTAGATTGATGAGAAGATACACATTATCTTAGGAGCAATTGAGTAAATGTTATGACATTTAGTTTTCTTAATTCACTTGTAAATGCGGTAGCAGAAATGGAAAGCAATCACATTACTTTCCATTTTTGTTACCATGCATAAAAAATTACTATAGTTCGTGTATAATTATTTGACAGTATAGAATGATGATAGTGCAAAATAAACCATCCCACCTTACCACACCGCACACTTTTTTCTTTAACACACCACCATTCACACCTTCAAGATTTTATGGCATTGAAATGGTCAAAATGGATGTACCTATATAAATCGGCCGCATTCTAGTATCTTACTTTGTTGATATTAGAATGACGGTTTTATCTACGTAACGTGTATATAAAAAGTCAATGTATTTAACGTGTGTACATATCAAATTATATCTTATGTTTGTTTTTAAGTATAAATACTTATCTGTTTTGATTGTGTGTCGTCATTATTAAGTAAACAAAAGGGCATGATTATCAAGGGTTTCTCAATAATGGCTCTTAACTAAGGCACATTTCTTAGTATTTTACATGCTTTGTCATTAATTTTTGATCTAAGATTTTGTTAAGAACTCTTTAAGAGCCCACCATCAATGGTGGTCTAAATTAGAGATAATCTCTCCGAAAATTGGAAACAATTAATTAAGTAGTAGTAGCTAGCCTATTCAAGGAATCACCTAACAAATGTGTCACCCACGTTACAAGCAGGAAATTTGAGGTGATATTATAACTTTATTATGGTTGAAATACAAAGAGACATTTCAACATGATTTCAAAAATGGTAATCACCAATTTAAAGTTTCATGACTCCGGCGAAAGGTCCAGTAAGAGTTCCGATGTAAATATGGCCGTTGAACTCGTTGACTTCACTAAGCAAAGTATTCCCAAACTCATTCTTGAGGAAAATGGTCTGAAGCACTTTTCCATTAGCGTCTAGTTTGACCGCCTTAGGGTCGGTAGGCATGACAACCTTGTTCACGACGGAGGCGACCCAGAAATTTCCGGTAGAACCTACCCTCCTGATGTTGTCTGGGTTCGAAACAAGACTTGAGAAGTCTTCAATAGTTCCAGCTTTGGGTCCTTTGATCCAATATCTCTTGATGTTACTCTTTATGAACTCGCTAACCAGCACGAACGAACCATCTGAGCTCACGGCGCAACCAGCCGCACCACTTAGACCTTCCATTAACTCAGTCACGGCTTTGGTCGCTGGGTCGTATTTGAAGAGCTTTCCACTCGCGTCTTTTAATCCCACTGCGATTAACACTTCGCTACATTGCATAACCAACAATTATTTAGTACACATATATATTAAATAACATGCATTATCTTATCTTATATCATAAGCATTTAAAAGTTGATTTTGAAAGAAAAAAAATACTATCATAATTTACTTGAAAAACTATTAGTAAACATAATTAAGAACTATTTTTTTATAACATAGTTTTGTAAATTAATATTTTCTTTCTTTCTTATGTACTAGATTTTATTAAAAATGAAGAAGGAATTTGTAGCTTTATTTATGTAATTTGTACTATTGCCTATCTATAATAACTCGTTCATATATAATTGGGTTATAGTCTTCTTATAGATGATTAAATATGTATAGATAAGGAAAACACTTTACCGGGGACCAAACTTGGAGCTGAAGGAAGTGAAGTAGACGACGCCGGTGGTGGGATCAACGTCAAGACCGTCTAGAAACTTGAAGGGCTTTCCGTCAACACTATCGGCGAGCTTTGTGGCCAAACCTCCGGCGGGAGGGATAACATGAAGACCCAATGGAGCATCAGCGACATAGAGATCACCTGTTTTGCTGTTTAAGGCTATTCCCGCTGGTCGACCGCACTTTCCAGCGAAAGCGGTTCCAAGTGCTCCGTTGCACCATGCCGAGTTCCTAAAGTAATCAAACCAATTAAAATTATTTATATATAACGAGAAAATATATGTATATAACAATTTTCTTATGAAGACAGATTTATATTTGGATAGGTTAATAAAACCAAAGAGCTTGTAGCTCCGATGAAATATCATGGAATTTCTTTTGCAGCCATACAAATATTTTGTTACAATATATAACAGTTCAAAAATAATGATGACGGTAACAATTACTATAAAAATCATTAGATAACAATTGATATTTAACAAGGAAGAGATTCCTTAAACAAGAAGTTAATCATCAAAAGCTATAATCTTTGAGATCCTAAGAAACCAAGAACACGAGAGAGAAACTTACGAGGATTCTGTGATCTGGGCAAAATCGACATAACCCTTGTCGGGAACGTACTTGAGGATTTTACCACCGGAGACGCCGGTGTAGAATCCGTTGCCGGTAGAATCAAAGGCGAAAGATTCAGGGCCTGACCTCTTTCCCGGCACCGGAAGTTTCTGGAAAGACGCGTCATCGGAGAAAACAGCCGACGAAAGAGAGAGAAGAAGAAGAGAAATCACAAAGACAAACGACGCCATTATATATCGTATCTTAATTATTAAGTCTATGAATGAAAGTAAAATTAGTACACGAATCTCTGTGTGTGTACGTATGTATATATATAGGTCTGATTTGAAAATAAGGTAAATACTAAATAGAAATTTCTTTTTTTGACGTTGACCAAAAAAAAAAGAAGATCTATTGTTCCGTAAATAAATGGATTAATTCTTTTTCTGGGGATTTGACAGCTTTGCTTGAGAATATAATTCACATAATTATTCCAATCCACATTAGATATTGGTTCAGTGAATATTGAAGGTTTTTATAGAGTAACATATCAGACTACTATTGATTAGTAGTAAAATATTAGAGAAGATTGTTAGAAAGATTCATTTTATGTTAAAAAAGAAAAAGGAAAAAAAAAACAAACAAGAAAGGAAATTAAACACGAGTAAAAAGGAAAGAAATGTGAATAGTGTACAAGGATTTGTAAATTAACAGAAATAGCAGTTTAAATGATGGTTATCTTATGTTATTGGAAAATAATGATATTTCTTGCATAGTATTTTCAAATTTTAGATTTCTTAGGAAATTTTTACCAAAAAAAAAAATTATTCACAATTATTAAAAATTCAAATTTTGGATTAAAGAGTAAATCCTTTTTTTTTGTAGTATAATGTAATGTTCATATAAAGCTAGCTCAACTGGGGCTCTTCTCTTGTTCCTTCCTTGGCTTTCAATTAGAGCGTTCATGAGACAATGATATGGTAAAGATGATTCGGGAAAACAATATTAGATTTGTCATCTTAGATACTTTTTGACATTCAAGTTAAAATGAGAAAACTAGGATTGGTTTAGAAGACCAAAAAATCGAGAAAAATTAATAAGAAGTGATTCATGGTCTAATATGATGTGTTGTCTTCGACATAAGGTTGGAGATCCTGCTTTAGCGTGAGGTTGAATCTTTTGAACAACATTTTACCTAAATCTCATTTTTCATACCATCCGTGTCCGAAGGATTCAAATGTTAAGCTTGTCTTTTTGATTTTTTTTCTATTAATTAATTTTATCAAACATCTTCACAGATCATAGTAAAATGAAACATAAATTATACTTTTCCATTTGGATTTGCACAATAAATGTGATGAAAACATTAACACAAGATATATTTAATACTATTAAAATCAAACCACTACACGGTTTTGACCTTTGAACATTCAGAAATAAATAAAAAGCTCATCACATAATTTGTAAACACCGGCTGCGTTCAATATAAGAGATCTAAGTGGCAGGACAAGAACCTTCACTTTTACATAAACCATTTTCGAGCTTAAGAATTCCAGCAAATGGTCCGGTGAGAGTTCCTATATATAGATTGCCCTCGAATTCGTTGACTTCACTAAGCAACGTGTCTCCAAATTTATCTTTGAGAGGAATTGTCTGAAGCACTTCACCATCAGAGTTAACTTTGACTGCTGATGGGTTCGTAGGCACAATGATCTTGTTCACCACGGAAGCGACCCAAAAGTTTCCAGTAGAACCAATTCTTTTGATGTTGTCAGGGTTTGAGACCGAGTTGGTGAAGTCTTCAGAAGAACCAGCTTTGGGTCCCTTGATCCAATACCTCTTGATGTTACTCTTTGTGAACTGACTAACCAACACGAACGAACCATCTGAGCTCACTGCACACCCGGCCGAACCACTTAGCCCTTCCATCAATACGGTCACAACTTTGGTTGATGGGTCGTATTTGTAGAGCTTTCCGGTCGCGTCCTTTAACCCCAATGCAATCAACACTTGGCTGCATACATAACCAATAAACCAAATATTTAAATAACAAATATTATTTGAGAAAGTACTTTCTTTACCAATTAAAATAACTTATATATAAATAACAACTAAAGCATCTTTTATCACCAACAAAAAATTCTCAATATGTACACAATTCCTAAAATACTGTTGAATTTATACATTTTCTTAGAAGTATTTTAGCTTTTGAATTTCTGTAAAAAGTATATAAAGATAAAGAGATTTCATTTTTTAAGCCAAAAAACTACTGCCATTTGAGTTAACATTTAATTTAGAGTGTTATTTTTAGTTTCGATTCAAAATTAAATTTTAACTAAAACAATTAAAATGTATAGAAAAGGATAGAAGAAACTTTACATTGGGGTGAAGCGTGAGCTGAAGGAAGTGAAGTAGACGACCCCAGTAGTGGGATCAACGTCAAGACCGTCAAGAAAATTGAAAGGTTTTCCGTCAACACTATCGGCGATCTTTGTAGCCAAACCACCTGCGGGAGAAACAACGTGAAGACCCAACGGTGCATCGGCGACGTAGAGATCACCTGTTTTCTCGTTGAACGCTATTCCCGCTGGTCTACCACATCTTCCTGCTAAAGCCGTTCCAATATTTCCATCGCACCATGAAGAGTTCCTAAAGTATTCAAACCAAAAACACATTTTGATAACAAGAAAAAAAAAATAACCATGAACTTATAAGATTTCCCATTTATGAAAAAAGTTTTTGATTAGTACAAAAAAAAATATGTTAGTATCTCTAGGTATCATTTGCGTATGTTACCTAAACACTAGTTTTGACTCTTTTTCACGTGGAAGCATGTGTGTGTGTGAACGCTGAGATGCGTTAGACTATCTTTATCAATGGGTTCTTAAGAAAATCTTAAGATGATCTTAGTAATTTTTTAGTATTATTACTAAGAACCAAAGTTAAGATGAGTTGAGGGAGTTGCTTACCTAAGAGCCAAAAAGAGGTAAATCTTAACTTTGGTTCTTAGTAATAATACTAAAAAATTACTAAGATTATCTTAAGATTTTCTTAAGAACCCATTGATAAAGATGGTCTTATGGTCACCTAAACCGGTATATGACAGATTGCTAACGTAAGCCGATAAAAACACGGAACTAAAAGGTTGCTTTTTTTACGGGTGGACAAAATTAAGTATGTTTCATCCATTATTTGTGATATACAACACATGTAACAGGGTTTTACATGTGCAATTTTAATCAAGTTACAGGATAAGAATTTGAATGTTAACTTAGAGGATTTTAAAGATTATTTCCTTAAAAATCATAATTTCATCATCTCGTAACTCAAACAGTAAAAAAGAATCGGATTATAAGAAGCAGGTATGATATATTTTTGAAAAATTAGAAGACTAGCAGCTCTGATCAGTCGTAATTCCATAGTATTATTTCTCCAAAATTATAGCCATAAAGAAACGAGTGTTAATTAACTAATGACATTTAGATAATTAGATTCCAATTTCAAAAACACCAAAAGCATAATCATCAAAAAGTTATGATCTAGAAGATCCAAAGAAAAGAACAAGACTTACGAGGATTCAGTGATCTGGGCAAAGTCGACATAACCCGTCTCGGGAAGGTACTTGAGGATTTTACCACCGGAGACTCCGGTGTAGAACCCTTTTCCGGTGGAATCAAAGGCGAAAGCTTCAGGGCCTGACCTACTTTCCGGCACCGGAAGTTTCTGGAAAGACGCATCATCGGAGAAAACCGCCGAGGAAAGAGAGAGAAGAAGAAGAAGAGAAATCATCGGGCAAAACGACGTCATACCGTTTCTTTATCTCTCAATTATTCTCAAATGAGACTTTGTAGTCGGTATGTACGAATATTTATAGGTTTTATTATTTTTGTATATAAATTTTTTTTTTTTGATTTAATTTTTTAAGAAGGTTTCTTATTTCGTAAATTAAGTACTTGATGGCACACGTTATGCTCGTCGGATTATTTTATTAATGGAGAGATTAGAGGTGTTTCTCGGGGTTTCTTGACAGATTTAATTTGCACATGGAACAAAAAGTCAAATAGTTGCAATCCACGTATACATTGCTGATTTTTGGGGTAGACGTACGACTGTCAACGCACGATCGCAAACGCATCGTCGAATAAGCTGGTAAATATCTGTACTTGTGTGTTGTGTCTAAGATTGATTAGAAGTAGGTAAACTTTTCTGATAAAGTAGAAGTAGGTAATTAGATATCAGAAAATATACAAGTGTTAAAAAAAAAAAAAAAAAATTATACAAGTGTTGTTCCAAGAAGCAGTTGAATACAAATAAATAAAAAACATAGTATATTTTTTGTTTCAAAATAATACTAGTATTTGCTTGAATATTAAAAAAAAACAAAAGGAAATTAAAGATTTTGTGATATTGAAAGGGCCAAATGGATACTGTTAATAAATCAACCGGTCGCATTCAATTACCTTATGTCTTGTTGATAAAATATTGACGATCGATGCGTTGTATTTGTATGACGTGTGCAAATACACGCGATTTCAGGGAAATGCTTTTAGTCTTTCAAATTTCCAATGTGTTACATTCTAACATTATATGGATGGCTAAACAGAAGATATTTATGCTGGTCTATACAATTATGTTGGGTAAATAAAATACAAATTCACAAAAAGAATCAAAAAGCTTATCCGATTTTGACCTCCCAATATTTCATAATTTTGCATTTTGCAATAAATATAGAGATGGAATTGGTCACCAAAGATAATGGTTGCTATCAAACTGGAGAGCTAATAAATTGGTCACCAAAGATGCGTAGCCACTTTTTTATGTTTGGCGGGGCTGACATAAACTGGAACGATTTGGTTTCACTATTTATAACTTAACCAGTTCATCTCAATTGTTTATCGTCGTAGTTCTGGCCTTATATTTTGCATTATATATTACGGAGTTTCCAAGTCAAATGTTTGTGTGTTTGGGCTTATACCCTGTGAGAACTTTAAAATTAAGAACTTATTTTATTTGCAAATTCCATCATGTAAGTTATGAAAACAAATTAAGAAACCCTTTGATTATTGGAATATTGATCTTACTTAACAAAACATCAAAATGGCTTGTTAAGAAAATATAAGATAACACAAAAGAAAAGGGGAATTTGTTCTCATCAATTAGAGCTGTTGTTTCTTGATGGTTGGTGATGGCTTGATTTGATGCTTATGGAAATCAAATTTGAACACGGGAACCAACTTCCACGTGACTCAAATGTTTTTCCCCATTAAGGCCAATACGTGTTATACTCAACTTTATCATTAAAATGGTAAAATACAAAACCAAATTTAGAACTTGCTCTCATATGCAGATATGCTCCCCACATAATTGGCTTCGGATACGAAGTCTTAATCGTTATAATCAGAGGCTTTCTCCATGACGATTTAATTTTCGGTTTTGTTTGGAATTTTTCAAAATAGATTAGTCTTAAATTATTTAGAACATGTCAAATTTAATTGACCGAAACAAAAACAAAAAAACAATGTGCATACTATATTTGTTTTGTTTAGCTGAATGAATAACGCCAACTAATTTGTTCGTTGACCGACGACTATTAAGTCACACGAATGAAACACTCTTCTTAATCATTGGAACAATCAAATCGACATGAATCTGAGCATCTGATTAATCTGAAAGTCGATCCATGTTTATATCACATTACAACAGAGGACTCAGTGGAAAAAGCTGTTTCTTTTATTTGTTTTTGTAGAAAATCTGATACTTTTCAGATACAGCTATAACGAAGCTGATACTAGGAGGAACTCATTTGGTTTTACCTAATTCTGTAAGCAAAAGCCACCAATGAGTGCCTTTCTCGAATTTCTCACGGTGATCGGAAAGCTTCACCAGCGTAACGCACATTGCCGAGTTCCTCTTCGATACGGAGAAGCTGCAACGGAAATAAATCAAACTCAAGGTTTCAGATTTGTGGTTTATTTAGTAAGCGTAAGTTTGGTTATTAGTTAATTACCTGGTTGTATTTTGACAATCGTTCACTTCGGCATGGAGCTCCAGTTTTGATCTACAAAACAGGGAATGATAAGCAAACAGTAGAGAGTAATGCCGACATGTTTAGAGGATGTAATGTACCTGTCCGCTTGCTAAACCAACAGAAAGATCTGCGATGAAGTTATCCTCTGTCTCGCCACTCCTGTGACTAACCATCACACCCCAGCCTGCAGCTTTTGAGTCAAGTGCTGCTTGAATTGACTCGGTCACTGTCCCAATCTGGTTAACCTGCGAAACCATGAATTAGACACAAAATGAAATTATAATCCAATGACCGCTGGTAAATGGTCTAGAAAATTGAGGCCAGTAAAAGAAAACAATATAAACACTTTTATTTTTTACCTTCAAAAGTAGAGCATTGCAAGACTTTTTCTTAATAGCTTCAGCTATCCTCTTCGGGTTAGTGACCAACAAGTCATCTCCCACGAGTTGGATATCCACAGAGGATTGCAATGAAGCCCATGAGCTCCAGTCATCCTGGTCAAAAGGATCTTCGATAGAGACAATTGGGAAATCCTTGATGAATTCTCTGTAGAGGTCAGCAAGACTCTCAGCTGATAGAACATGAGCTCCATCGTTTGGCTGTTTCTTGAAGTTCAAATCGTATCTACCATCTTTCATGAAAAATTCTGATGCAGCAACATCCATTCCTATTTTGATCTGCAGAAATTATAAATTTTGTGAGTGGTGTAACATTGACTCCGAAGCTGCCAGAAGTTGTTTAGGGAAACACAGATGACATGCACCTTTTGAAAGCATTAGCATTAAAACGAAAGAGAACTTGATTACCTTTCCAGTGTAACCGGCCTTTTCAATTGCATCAATGAGCAGAACTAGTCCCTCTCTGTTATCTTGAACATTTGGTGCAAACCCTCCTTCATCTCCAACATTACAAGCATCTTGACCGTACTTAGTTTTGATTATCCCCTTCAATGTATGATAAACTGTAATAAACAAAATACTACAAATGCATTACTATCAGAAAAACAATTCTTTGTGATAATCCAGAGAAGAAGAAGAAGAAACTTGCGAACCAAAAGAGAAATATGAAACAGGGAGTTGCTTATCAAGGCTTTTCAGTTTTTCTGACATTCATTGCAAACTTAAGAAAAATTAGGAGCCGCCATAGTTTCTTAAGTTCTAGCAAGTTAAACTCAGTTACACTAACTGACCTTCACTTCCCATCTGGAAGGCCTCCGAGAATGAGGTTGCTCCTACAGGTAGTATCATAAACTCTTGCATAGCCAAACTATTCCCAGCATGACTGCCTCCATTGATCACATTGAATGCAGGAACTGGCATGACAAGCTCCTTTGTTCCCGATATCTCCTGGATGTGTTTGTACAAAGGCACTCCTTTAGCTCCAGCACCTGCCCTGCAAACGCTCAGTGATACTCCTAATATAGCATTAGCCCCGAGTTTCGACTTGTTCGGGGTCCCATCCAGTTCCAGCATAAGAGCATCGACATCAGCTTGGTTCCTTAAGGAAAATAAGATGAAAATATTACACATAATCCATCACCGATTATAGTTTCCCAACGGTTCAGAATCAGAAACCACAAACGGGACAAGTCACAACAATTAAAGCTAAATGCAACAAACAAGCTTAATAACCTCTACTATATTCCAAATTCAACAGTCATGCATTCAAACATACGATTGAATCCAAGTCAAAGACTACAGAAAATGACAGCAAAATGTTCAAGAGTGTCCACCAAATTGACCAGTAATAATCCAGAACAGAGAAAAAAAGCTAAAAAAAACTCCGAAGATTTCGATCTAACTAAGCATAACAACTCCAAATTCACGACGTTTATATGTTCATTTGGATTCTGGAACGAATTCTTATTCTCAGTTTCTCACCTAACGTCAACACCGATGAGTTTTGGAGCGACAAGTTCATTGATATTTCTAATAGCCTGTAAGACACCTTTACCACCATAGACGCTCTTATCACCATCTCTAAGCTCAAGCGCTTCGTAGATCCCGGTAGATGCACCACTGGGAACAGCCGAACGATACAGATCATCGGTAATCAGATCAACCTCCACCGTCGGATTCCCTCTACTATCAATAATCTGCCTCGCTTTCACTCCTTTCACTCTACACTCCTTAGCCACCACCGAGCATTGCACACCGCTGCGACGGAATCTCAGACATGACGGCACGGCAGATTCCAAATATCGTTGGCCGGAAACACGCGACGGAGAGAGGAAAGATCTCTGAAGATGGTGAGGTTCTGTAGTCAAAGCCATTACAAGAGACCTAAAAAATACTCTCTGATTCTTTTGACTAAAATGGAGAGGAGCGGAGAATAAAATGGAGTTATATAATTTGAAATACGACCTTTTGGAGGTTGGTGCAGGCGGAGGCGATGAAAACTAAGGAGTCAAAAGGACCAGAATTTAAACCGGTTCATTTTCTAATTTAATTTCCGGTTTCTATAGAAATCCATGGTTTGGTTTTGGTTCGGAAAAATTCAAATAAAACAAATTATAAATATTCACTATAAATAGTAATCAGAGACTCTGCCGTCGCCGCCGCCGCCACACTATCATCTCTCTCAGGTTTTTCCATGGCAATGGAGTCTTCGATTCTCAAAAGCCCTAATCTCTCTTCACCATCGTTCGGTGTACCTTCAATTCCCGCCTTATCCTCCTCCTCCACGTCACCAATTTCATCTCTTCATCTCCGATCACACAACTACCGTACCATTCCCCTTACCGCCGCCGGGAATTTTCGAATCTCGTGCTCACTCTCCGTTTCTTCTCCTCTACCATCTCATTCTCCCCGCCGTCGTCCCGATTACATCCCTAACCGCATTTCCGACCCCAATTACGTTCGAATCTTCGACACGACTCTCCGAGACGGTGAACAGTCTCCCGGAGCTACACTAACCTCCAAGGAAAAGCTCGATATCGCTCGTCAATTAGCCAAGCTCGGAGTTGACATCATCGAAGCTGGATTTCCTGCTGCTTCAAAAGACGATTTCGAAGCTGTGAAAACCATAGCAGAGACTGTTGGCAATACCGTCGACGAGAATGGCTATGTACCTGTAATATGTGGTCTCTCGAGATGTAACAAGAAGGATATTGAGACGGCTTGGGAGGCTGTGAAATACGCTAAACGTCCTAGAATCCATACATTTATTGCCACTAGTGATATTCATTTGAAGTATAAGCTGAAGAAAAGCAAAGAAGAAGTTATTGAGATCGCCAGAAATATGGTTAGATTCGCCAGAAGCTTGGGATGTGAAGATATTGAATTTAGTCCAGAAGATGCCGGAAGGTACGATTTTTTTGGTTTTTTTTTTCTGAGGATTCGGTTGTAATTTTTTTGACAATTTGATGATAACAAGATTTGTCACTTTTTTTTTCCCTGTTTATGTAAAATTGTAAATGTTTACTTGGTGGCCAGATCGGAGAGAGAGTACTTATACGAGATTCTTGGTGAAGTGATAAAAGCTGGAGCAACAACTCTCAACATACCTGACACTGTTGGTATAACCTTGCCTAGTGAGTTTGGTCAGTTGATTGCTGATATTAAAACTAATACTCCTGGGATCCAAAATGTTATAATCTCTACACATTGTCAGAATGATCTTGGACTCTCAACCGCCAATACTTTATCTGTATGTCATTTTTCTTTTTCGTTTTTGGTTGGATCGGATTAGCTGTTAGAAAGTCATTACTAACATGTCAATCTTTTTCGAATTCAGGGTGCACATTCGGGCGCCAGGCAAGTGGAAGTGACTATCAATGGAATTGGCGAAAGAGCTGGAAACGCTTCATTAGAAGAGGTCAGATTTGAAAACCTCCTGAAGTAGCTTCCTTTCCGTAGTTACTTGGATATTTTGCTACATACAAAGGCATTATGAATTTTGTGATTTTCAGTGTATGATCTCCTAGTGAGCTGCATTTAAATACTGAATTATTACTTGAATATTTTATTCTAACTGTGTAGGTTGTCATGGCCATAAAATGCCGTGGAGATCATGTCTTAGGAGGCCTATTTACTGGAATCGATACCCGGCACATTGTTATGACAAGCAAGATGGTACACATTTCGAACTTCATTCTTAACCTTGTGGAAACAAAAGTATATTTTTCTTATTTGGAGATTTTCCTTTTTTAAGGTTTATTCTCATTTGCTCAGGTTGAGGAGTACACTGGTATGCAAACGCAGCCCCATAAGGCTATTGTAGGAGCTAACGCCTTTGCGCATGAAAGTGGTATTCATCAGGTCAGTTAACGAATCGTACTTTATGCTATTCTTAGTGTCTCTGTGACTAAGTCTGCTTCAATTTTATTAAACGAGAGAAAAATAACTCGTCCTATTCTGGAATTTTAATTCTTGCAAGGTATAACTTACCCTTATAGCATTTTACTCAGCCTCTTAGCGAAAAGAATTTAATTTAGGAATAATTTGGTTCTCAACTCATGGCTTGCATATTTATTCTTTCAATCTTCTGCATAACTTCGTTCATGAGTGTTTTGGTCATTATTCATGCACTCTATTTAGGATGGAATGCTGAAGCACAAGGGTACCTATGAAATTATGTCCCCCGAAGAGATTGGACTTCAGCGATCAAATGAAGCTGGCATTGTGTTGGGGAAGCTTAGGTATGGAAGTTTTGTTGCTCAGACTGATATTCCAAATGGGCTTGTCTTGTTCAAACCAATGCTTACATATTGTTTTATCCAGTGGGCGTCACGCACTGAGAGACCGTTTAAATGAGGTACATGTCTTTACCCATATCCATAGTCCATACTTGCTGTCACCATTTTAGTAAGATAATGTTTTCTATAACTTTTTTGCGTTTCCAGCTCGGTTATGTCCTGGATGATGGACAGCTAAGCAACCTTTTTTGGCGTTTCAAAGCTGTGGCAGAGCGGAAAAAGGTAGTAAGAACCTCAAAGGGCACTGCTTTGGGTGCTGTTCCCAAGTTTTCAAACATTTTGCGTCCACATTTAGATGATGATGCCGAACAAATAGGAGATTTTGCTTTCTTTCTTTTTTTTTTTAAGTTAAGAGGGTTTGCATAATGTCTCTTGATTGTCTTTGTTCCTTGGTGATCCAGAGAGTTACCGATGCTGATTTAATAGCTTTAGTATCTGATGAAGTATTTCAGCCAGAGGCTGTGTGGAAACTTCTGGACATGCAGGTGAACACGGGAGCTGGGATTTGTTTTCTCTCAATACTTGTCTATCTTCTTCTTCAGTCAATTCTTATTCTGGTTATGGAAGTTGGGAATGTAGATAACTTGTGGAACTCTCGGTCTCTCAACATCAACTGTAAAACTTGCCGACTCCGATGGCAAAGAGCATGTAGCTTGTTCTGTTGGAACTGGACCTGTAGATGCAGCTTACAAGGCAGTTGATCTTATCGTTAAGGTACTTCTTTCGCTAGGATTGCCGGTTATATATACATATATCAATGAGTACTTATTTAATGCTGATCATTGGCTTTTCATATTCAGGAACCTGTGACTCTACTTGAGTACTCGATGAATGCAGTAACAGAAGGCATTGATGCTATTGCAACCACACGGGTTCTAATCCGCGGAGACAACAACTACTCATCAACAAACGCGGTAACCGGTGAATCTGTTGAAAGAACTTTTAGGTATATTCACTTTACCTAGCCACTGAAACTAAAGAAAAGAATCGCAATAATTATTCTGTCTCACTGAGTTTGTGTTCTTTCAGTGGAACCGGAGCAGGAATGGACATTGTGGTGTCAAGCGTTAAAGCTTATGTTGGAGCTTTGAACAAAATGTTGGGTTTCAAAGAACACTCCTCCAGTTTAAGTAAAACCCCTTTGGATACCAACAATGTCCCTGCCTGAAGAAAATCTTACCTGCAAATCTCAGAGATCAATGACAATTTAGATGAGTAAGTCTAAAAGATTTCTAATTTTTGTTACAGTTAAAGAAATGGTATCGAATGTATAAAAAGAATATGAGTTTTGGTTTGCTGAAATAACTATGACATAAAATCGAGTCTTTAGTCTCAAACCTGTGATTTGGTTAAACATTGAAATATGCAAGAACAACTTTTCTATAAATAGTTAGTCATTTGTCCCAGTGGGAAAGACCGTTGAACAATCTTTAACTCCAACACGAAACTAAGATAAGATTTATTTCTTAATTGTTGTTACCTTCCAACAAACAAACCAAAAGACAACAGAAACTTGGCCAGAAAAGTTTAAGAACTCGTTCATCTCCTTGGTTCAATCTCTTTTAAAGAAACTCCAAATTTGATAACAATTGGCTTGAATACAAATGTCAGAAGAATTCGCCAAGATTCAAAAATGTCAGAAGTGCGAACTGGATTTCTAACCATGACAACAATAATCTTGATAAGTATAGGCCTCACAATGATGGGAACAGGTCTATACCAAAAAACAACAGTGTCTTCTTGCATTCGAGAAACCTCAGGCCAGTTCTTGTTACTCGGTCTGATTCTTCTGTTGATTCCTCAGATAGGTCTATACGGAATCTATTGCCGCTCCAAACGCCTTTTCAATTATTTCTACTACAGCATGGTTGTGGTCATTATCATTGTATCTTATTATTCAATCAAATGTTTCACTTACAACACCACTTTTGGCATCCCTAAGAACCCCGCCAAGGACCACCGCACCGTGCCACGGTTACTCGGCGGCTGGTATCTAAGGAGAAGTTCGAGAACATAGTCTTGTGTATCATTCACAACCATGACTGTAATCTCACAACCATGTTTGGGTAAGTTTTGAATAATAAAGGACATGTTTATGAAGTTCTACCTCCACCAGAATTTTGCAGCTGAGGATACAAATGGTTGTATCTATTTGGTGGATGTGGACTACTCGTGGTTTCCTTCAAAATGTGAAAGGTTGCTAGTGGACTACTCATGGATTCCTTCAAAATGTGAAAAGGTTATTAGATGCCTTAACCATCCCTAGCATCCTCATCCAATTAGCACTAAGTCATCAGAGGTGGAATCATCCTCCAATCATCATGTTATTGCCACTGTCTCAAGAAAGAACCCTGTCTCAGCTGCTAGGTTATTCTCCCTGCCTCTGTTAGTTCAAGTGTTATGGCTATTTCAGTCACTGACACTGCTGAAGCACAACCTTCTCTTCCAGCATTTCTGATGCAGGAACTGAGACAGATTCAGTTGTTTATCTTCTTTAGATTTTCATATATCCGCACCACTATCTCCAATTCCAGAGGTTATATCTCCAACTGCATTAACCTCGGCATCAAGCACCATTAACCTCGAAAGAGATCGAAACCATATACTAAGAATAGAGGCAAAACAAACTTAAACTCGAAGAAATACACTATGCCCAAGCACTGAAAACAACCATTTCATTTGAAGAACCTGCGAATGAGATTTACCAATGATGTTCAGGGCCATTGGTAACACTCTTAACAAAAATTGTAAAATTTGTAAAGTCTCGGCCATTGGTTACGGGGTTCGAATTCTAACATGGGTTTTCCGGACCTCATGATTAGATTTTGGGCCTAAAAACCGCACTTGTTCTAAAATAAATAAATAAAAAGTTTGTATTTCGCAGATATAACTATAGAAATGAGTCAACTAACCTAGGTTCTGGAGTTGCACCGGCTTATCATCATCAATCCAGATACTCCCGAAATTCGTCATACATAGGCATGTCTCTGTTTGTTTATGAAAGACGATTTGATTCATCATCTGATCCGGTTGATTGGATCAGCAAACTCCCGAGTGATGTATTGCTCGTGATCATATCGAGACTGTCCACAGAAGAAGCAGTAAGGACGAGTCTTGTGTCCAAACGATGGGAACATTTGTGGAAGCACATGTCTCATCTAGTTTTGGACATTCGAAAGAAGATTACCAATTCCAACAATACGCTCCATGTTTGGAATCGGGTTGCTACATTGATGACCAAGGTTCCCTTGTCTCAAATTCTCTTCTTCTTCGTTTTTTTTTAATTTTAAAATCTTCTCTCAAATGATTTTTGTTCCTCTAGATTATAAACAATCACCGTGGATATCTAGAAAGCTGTGTAATCCACCATTACTCAAACGGGATGCTGAATACTTGGATTCAATCACTTACCGTTGTAAAGCAGACCAAGCATTTAACACTTATACACCATGTTGGACTAAGGAACTTTGGAGAATTTATCGAGTTTCCCCCAAACTCATTCTCATATCCAGGGCTCACATCACTCTCGCTATCTACACTCATGATCAGAACATCTCATTCCTTCAACAACTGCCAATTTCTCAAGACCCTCAAAATCACATGTATGCTCGCCCCCGATGTTGGAGTCGTCAACAGAGTCCTCGCATCTTGCCCTTCCCTCGAGGTGCTTGTACTAAACCTCACTTGCAAAAACAAAAATGGTCCTTTGAAGATTGAAAACAATAGATTAAAGCTCTTGAAAGTGTCACTTTGCGAACATATTGATGGCATTCAAGTGTCATCACCTAGTTTGCATATTCTCGCCATCAAAGAAATTCTCTTCTTTGGGAGAGATAAATTTGTCCTTAGGTCCCCTCGACTCCAGTTTAATAGAAATTTTTGGCTTACAAGGACTTTCTTACCTCACATCAGCTACAACATCTCGCAGGTACGTATTGTTACATGTGTTCTCCAAAATGTATCATACAGAATGAACTAACGGTGTTTTGATACTCGATTAAGGATGAAATTTGCATTGGTCATGAAGAATTTGTGGTTAACACATGTGGGGATTTGTGGGGAGCATCATTGTCGGTGAGTGTAGATCTAATGAATCCAAGACAAGTTAAGAGGTTAAGACAAGTCTTACTTCTATGGACTTCTGAAATGGCAGAGCTTGAGATCTTATTTAAGGTACGTTAATTCTTGCCTTGGAGTCATGACTACCAAGTCTTAATATTTGTAACCAAACATAAATGTTGGTATGTGCAGAATGACAATGCTCCTAGCGAAAAAGGTGAGTCTTCACATAACAAGTTTTGGGAGGACAACTATAAAGATCCGTTCCCTAATGCCGAGTTCCGTGTGAATACTGTGTGGATGCATAACTTCAGTGGTTCAGAGGAAGAGTTTGCCTTGGCGGCGTGTTTGATCAGGCAAGGGACTGTGGTAAAGAATATGATGATCAAGACAACATCATTTTCTGCCAGGAAGAAGTTGGAGATAGAAACAGCAGTAGCCCAGCTACAAGCACTTCAAACACAAGATCAACGGGAGCTTACCATCAAATGTTTTTGAAGGACTTTGGTTCCAAATTGATATTTTAAAGATAAAAACTATTTTTCCCTTTTAAACTTACAACCAAGAATCTGTCTCGGGCCATTCATTTTTTGTTTGGGATGGAACTTAACTGGTGAAGTGAGTTGACTGAGACGTGATGTTTAGTATTGCTGTTAGCTAGTTGCACACCTCCTGACAAACCCTTGCAGCTTCATTAGTTCATTTTCTTTAATTCTAGCAGGTTGGACACAAATATCCATTACGTCTTTGATCGGTATCAAACTCATACCATCTCAAAAAATGGTACTCGTACGTACATTTCAAATCAAGTAACAGATATCACAATATTATTACCCACGGGTAAAAATCTGATACGGGATGTCAAACGGGTAAAAATCTGATACCCGATGTCAAACGTTTTTTTAAGGAACCCATCTGAGTATATGTCCTGTCAGTCGATCAATTGTAAGATATGCATGTCTTTTGTTTCAATGAAACTTTATATGACGAGGAAACCCTTCTGTTTGAATTCAAAATTGTTCTTTGCATTCATTTTTTCAAATGGTAATTAAAGTAAACCTTCAATACTTTATACTTCATTGTTATTTTCAATTAATGTTACACCATTGGGAATTTGGGATTATGAAAAAATAAATATAAAAAAATACACCCAATTTATTCATGTTACGAACAATTCAAATTATTGTAGCTAACATAATAATCTGACAAATAAAATGTAGGATAAAAAGAAACACAAAAATTAGGAATCCTTTTTTGTATAGGAAGATAAGTCGTCAATTCCTTTTGTGTAATTAAGCCTATCTCCTTTTTTGGATAGGTTTTGATAGTTGATAATGCAACCAGCTTCACCTATAAATATGTAGGATCGATCATGAGAGCATAATACATTATTACTCATAGCAAGAACCCGTTGAAGTAAAAATTTGACTTTTTCTCTTTCCCTGCGTCTCACAACTACTTGGTTCTCAAGCAACAATAGTTTAGAGAAGATGAATGCTGAAGAGATGCAGAGTAAGATCACAGGTTACGAACAGAGGATCAATGATTATGAACGTAAGAGGGTTCGTTACGAACAGAGGATCAATGAATCTCATTTTTTTTTTGTAAAACTACCAAGTTCCTTTTTATTTGGATTTGGTGTTACCTTTAGTATTTTTACTTTCTATCCAGATTCAGAAGAGAGTCCCTTAATTATATGAGATTCTTGGAGAAGTGATAAAAGCAAGTGGAAGTGACGATTAATGGAATTGGCTATATATATAGAGAGAGAGAGAAAGAGAGAGTGAGCTGAAAATGCTTCATTAATCATTAGATGAGGTCATATTTTGTTTTTGTATGAAAACCTCCTCACTGGATTTGGTTAAATGAAGGCACGTTAGTAGATTGCCGCGGCACCGGGTGTGGAAGCTCGGCAGAGAGAAGCTTGGTCGTGGAAGGAGACTCACAGGCAGCCGTGGTAAGTGCTTTGGCCGCGGGGGTGGTTTCTTCTCGGGTGCGACTGGACAAGGACACATGGTTCTCTTCAATTGGGTGTAAAAAACGTTTGGAGCCAAACAGAAAAGTCTTCAACGGATGTCAAACTTCCAACGGTCCAGTGTTAAAGCTTATGTTGGAGCTTTGAACAAAATGTTGGGTTTCAAAGAACACTCCTCCACTTTAAGTAAAACCCCTTTGGAGACCAACAATGTCCCTGCCTGAAGAAAATCTTACCTGCAAATCTCAGAAATATCAATCACAAATTAGATGCGTAATAGTCTTAAAGATTTCTAATTTTATTACTTTTTAATAAATAGTATCGAATGTACAAGAAGAATATGAGTTTTGGTTTACTGAAATTAATAACTATGACATGAAATAGTCTTTAGTCTCAAACCTGTGATTAGGTTAAACATTTAAACAACTTTACTTTAAATAGTTAGTCATTTGCCCCAACGGGAAAGACCGTTGAGCAATCTTTAACTCCTAAACTAAACTAAGATCAGATTTATTTCTTAATTGTTATACCTTCCAACAAATTAAACAAACCAAAAGACAACAGAAACTTGGCCAGAAAATTTTAAGAGATCTCGTTCATCTCCTTGATTCAATCTCTTTTAAAGAAACTCCAAATTTGATAACAACTCGTTTGAATACAAAGGTTTTATGTTCCCCAAGATTAAAAAATGTCAGAAGTGCGAACTGGATTTCTAACCATGACGACAATAATCTTGATAAGTATAGGCCTCACAATGATGGGAACAGGTCTATACCAAAAAACAACAGTGTCTTCTTGCATCCGAGAAACCTCAGGCCAGTTCTTGTTACTCGGTCTGATTCTTCTGTTGATTCCTCAGATAGGTCTATACGGAATCTGTTGCCGCTCCAAACGCCTTTTCAATTATTTCTACTACGGCATGGTTGTGGTCATTATCATTGTATCTTATTATTCAATCAAATGTTTCGCCTACAACACCACTTTTGGCATCCCTAAGAACCCCGCCAAGGACCACCGCACCGTGCCACAGTTACTCGGCCGGCTGGTCTCTAAGGAGAAGTTCGAGAACGTAGTCTTGTGTATCATTCACAACCATGACTGTAATTACAATGCCAGCAAAAACAGCAATGTTTGGGTAAATTTTGAATCTTTTTACTATTAATATAGACATGTCTATATGAAACTATGCATGCTTATAATATGTTTATACATATGCAGAAGTATTGCTGTGCACAACCGCCGGGATGTGGGACCATTACGATGTTTGACAAGCCAGGCGAGTGGAGTTGGAAACAACAGTATGAACGGAACCAAGTTCCAGAAGAGTGTTCTTATGAATATTGTTTAGATTGCAGAGGCTGCCAACTAAGCATCTTAAAAGCCATTGTTCATCAATGGAAATATCTCTCAATGTTTGCTTACCCTGCTCTAGTCCTTTCCTGCATCAGTTTTGCCCTGGCTTGGTCTCTCAAGGATACTATCCACGAAACCGAAGATTATCGAGGTTCTTATAGTTGATCTATTATTCAGTCCTAGAATACCTCTTGAAATTACATCATAAGTGTCAGATTTGTAGAAATGTCTAATAGAAATCGGTGAAAGAGTTTTGAATGAGAGACCGACGTTCATGTGCATACATATGTATTACAAATACATGGGCATAAGCCTGCATATACATGGGCATAAGCCTGCATATACATGTTTATATGTCTATATATATCAATATACGTGTTCATTTTCATACGCAGATATAGCATAACTAAAGCAACATTTCTATCACGAAATATTGCTTCAAAGCTCACATCCGAAAACAAGATCGATAGTTTAGCCATACGTAAGAACAGAGAATGTATAAGCCAAAAATTGTATGTCTCTGGTCAGTGAACAAGAACAAAACAACCATTTAGAAGGTAAAACACTTCAGGACACAGATACTCTAGAAAACTCAAAAAGGTTATGAAACCTAGAAAACAAGTTCATGTGGCTTCATTCCTTGTTTCAATGAAAACCTTGCGCCTAGGTAAGTCTTCAACTCTGGAACTGCTTCAATGGCTTTGATCAAAGCTGCATCCACGGTTTTCTGATCATCTTTCTTTCCCTGTGGGACCTCCTTCTTCTCCTGTGCAATATAAAAGTGAGATATTATGTCAAGCATATGTTTTGATTTCGTAAACAACAATGGAAAGAAATTTTCATCGTCTATTCTTCTGGAACAAACTGTGATAACCAAATTGACAAGAAGGAAGCAAAAGATGAATTGCGTTCTTTCTTCTATCATATGCGATATAAACTTATACCTCTTTCTCAGCCTCAAAGAACTCTCCCTCTGTCTTCTTCTTTTTCTTCTCAGCAACTTTGCCAAAGTACTTATCATCGAATTTATCGAGGGTGACTCCAGAAATGTCAACCTTAGTGGAAGTACCAATGACATAGGCCTGGTTAACACGTCTCAAAGGAACACCATTGACCTTGAATGGTCCTGAAGATTAGTTAAAAAAAAAAAGAGGAACCGTTCAGATGGTAAAAATCAGTGAATGAGCTTTGCTTCAAATGATTTATAGGAGGCAAGTTCATAAGAACAGATAGAGAATAACTCACCAGTCACAAGAAGCAAACCAGAGGCAAGCTGCTTAAGAAAGACAACTCTCTTTCCCTTGAATCTACCAGCAAGGATAATCAGCACTGTCCCTGGGGTGATGCTAGCTCTGCAATAAAGATATACGAAGATTGGATTATGTTGGAAACGTATACACAGATAAATTTAAGACATTACAGAGTATCAATATTCATAGACTTCTCATTAGCTTAATCACACAAAATTAAACTTATAACAGGAAAGTAAAAGCAAACCAGACAATTTCACAGAAATTAAGAACATTTTGATAATGTCCACTAACAAATGACGTAACCAAATCAAGGCAAAAGAACACTGTAATCTTCACGAAACCATGCATTTCCGCAAATTTCACAAATTCGACATTTTCCCAGCAGATCAAAATTCTAATATGTACAAATCAACCAAACACATAAATGACAATTGCATCGAGCTTGATATCAATCTCCAAGACCAAGGAATAGTGTATCAGGCTAATGTACCTGAGCTTGGTAGGTTTTGGCGTGCGCCTATTGGGGAGAGGTTTCTTAACATCTTCAGCTGGATAGAACTTCGGTGGCTTCTCCGCTGGAGTATCAACCTTAGATTTAGCGTCGTGGCGGGGGAAAACGCCTCCATTTTTGGCTTTGATTGCCCACAAACCTCTCTTATGGTACATCTGGGATCTCGAGTATTTACCAACTCCCCTGATCAGATCAGGGTTTCTGTTGACCTTCGGCGTCCTCTGTTTCGCCGGCATGGTTCTCTTTATCGTGTAATGGATCAAGGAAAATTTTCCGGCTGAGAGTGGATAGAGGAGAGAGTTGAGGCGGAGGATTGGTAAATTTGAAGACACTGAAGCCCTAATTTAATTTTAGGGCTTGCTTGGGCTCGTGGGCTTTGTAATTATATCGGGCTTTTAAAGCGAACCGCGATTTGTTTATTCAACTTGTAAGAAATTTAATTTTTACTTAGCATTAATTAATTTGACAAAGAAAACAAATTTGTTTGTTAATAAAATCAAATTTCGTCTAAATTTTGGAACTTACATCTATAATGTTAAATTCGTATTATTTGTAGTAAGAATTGTTCAATGACTTGGGAAAATGACTTCGAAACTATTGTGATTCTTTGTCAATTCGTTTTTATTTTATTTTTGTTAATGACTAGTAGTTTTTATAAGAGATAACAAACATAACTTAAGTGGCAGTTAGAGTAGTTTATCTAAAAACTAAGGCTAATTCCAACAATTTGACAAACGCCAAATCAGATCAAAACTATAAAAGTCAACGTTTCCTTCCCCTCTAAGAGTGCAATGGATCACATACATCTTTATTATTATAGTTTGAGAAGCTTTTCATGAAGCTGATGAGGATTTCTCTGCTTTATTCACCTTTACATGTCGTTCTTCAACAAACATTGGTCGCCTTAAAAGCTCTTCAAATGACCAGCGTTCATGTGCACATGCCTCTATATATATATACTAGAGACCCCATTCATCTATCAATAAATATTGAATCTTGATCTCCGAAAACCAAAACATCATTAGATTCAATGGCTATGGCTAGTAGTAGTAGCAGCTCGTCGTTGTTTCCTACCCAACAACAACCGCAACAGCAATTAGGAGGCAATGAGATCACACCTACGGCTACCAATGTCAATCTAATTGCAGCACCAGACGCTCCAAACCATTACTCTTCCGGCTCCATTGGACCCTTCTTTGCAGTCATCTCTGTTCTCGTCGTTCTTGCAGTCCTCTCCTGCTTCTTGGGTCGCATATGCGCACGGCGCCGCCAGAGAACTGTTTTAGTGGCTGAAGTCAATCCATTGGAGATGATAAAAAGTGGTGGGCTTTTAGGATGGTTGAAACGAAAATGGAGACGGTGTTTGGCCGGAGATGTTGAGGCCGGAGCTAAAGTTGCAGATTGTGCTAGCAAAGAAACACCTAAAGATGATGATCAAACTCACCTAGAAGCACATCCAGCTTGATCTAGGTGCGTGTGAGAGACTAGTAATAAGAGTATCAACATTCGAAGAATGTAAGCTAGCTATTAGCATCATTGCAATGTTTTATTCAGTTCTTTGAAACCCATTTCGTAATCTCATCACTTCGATATTCATCATGTCTTAACCAAAAATAGAATCTTGTGAATTGTTCTCCATTGCTTGAGATCTCACACATTCAAAAACAAGATTGATAAATTATCCATATGTAAAACAGAAATCCAGATAGTATGAGCCAAAATTTATGTCTCTGGTCAGTGGACGAGAACAGAACCAACCATTTGGAGTGTAAAAACTTCTGGAGACAGATACTCTAGAAACCTCAGAAAAAGGTAACGAAATCTAGAAAACAAGCTCATGGGGCTTCATTCCTTGTTTCAATGAAAACCTTGCTCCGAGGTAAGTCTTCAACTCTGGAACTGCTTCAATGGCTTTGATCAAAGCTGCGTCCACGGCTTTCTGGTCATCTTTCTTTCCTTGTGGAATCTCCTTCTTCTCCTGTGGTATCAAAAAGGTTAGCTTTTGATGGGAAAAGTACAAACAAGATGAATTTGATGAGTGTTTGAGATACCTCTTTCTCAGCCTCGAAGAACTCTCCTTCGGTCTTCTTCTTTTTCTTCTCAGCAACCTTGCCAAAGTACTTATCATCGAATTTATCGAGGGTGACTCCAGAAATGTCAACCTTTGTGGAAGTACCAATGACATAGGCCTGGTTAACACGTCTCAAAGGAACACCATTGACCTTGAATGGTCCTGAAGATCAATTACAAAACAAGCAAAATGTCAACTCCATACAGATTACACAAAGCAAGTTTAGTGAATGTGTGTTCTTCATTTGGGATATAGAATGAGACAAATCAAGAGACCACATTAGCATAAAACTCACCAGTCACAAGAAGCAAACCAGAGGGAAGCTGCTTAAGAAAAACAACTCTCTTTCCCTTGAACCTACCAGCAAGAATAATCAACACAGTTCCTGGGGTGATGCTAGCTCTGCAATACAACAGAGCAAATTCAGGACAATGTACAGAAAATTACAAGCAAATGAGACAAGTTTTCCACAGAGATCAAGAACGTTTAAGAAGGCAAATGAGATTACTTCACAAACAAAATTGAACCGACCAAAATTCTTCCAAAAAACACAGTTATTAACGACTTGAACCATACTAAACTAGTCAATTTTTCCGGAAGATTCAAAGTATTAAATGCATACGAAGCATCACTCAAGAAACATAGACAATGAGACAGTGTATCAGCTAAGTACCTGAGCTTGGTAGGTTTTGGTGTGCGCCTGTTGGGGAGAGGTTTCTTCACGTCTTCAGCTGGATAGAACTTCGGTGGCTTCTCCGCCGGAGCATCAACCTTAGATTTAGCATCGTGTCGGGGGAAAACGCCTCCATTTTTGGCCTTGATTGCCCACAAACCTCTCTTATGGTACATCTGCGATCTTGAGTATTTACCAACTCCCCTGATCAGATCAGGGTTCCTGTTGACCTTAGGTGTCCTCTGTTTCGCCGGCATGGTTTCCTTCGATCTATCGCAATCCCTGGAAGAAAATTAAGGAGATTTTCCGGCCGAGAATGGATGAGGGAGTGTAGAAGACGAGGATAGGTCACATTTGAAGACACAGAAACCCTAAGTGAAATTAGGGCATGAGTGGGCTCGTGGGCTTTAGAGTCAAATCGGCCTTTTATTGTGGACCGAGACATATGTAGTCCAATTTGTTTATTCAACTCGCAATATTGATTTTCTACATGTAAAAGCATAAAATAAACCGTTTAAAATTTGATTAAGCACGTAAATTGATCCAGTACATCTAGTAGTTATTTGTTTTAGTATGGCTTTTGCATCATTACATAGATTCATAATGCATGTTGTCTAACAAAAAAAAAAAAAAAAAAGATTAGAAAATTGTACTCCTCGCCAGTTGAGCTTGGAACTAATCCTCCATGAGATCGAGTATTTGAGAGACTCATTTAAGTTCTTTAATATCTAGTTAAGGCCCCAACAAATCTATGCTCTGGCCAAAGACAAGATTTTCATAATCACGCTTATAAATTTCTCAACTGATAATGCAGTTCCACCAAACACAATGGCTGCAATCTTTCTATGTCTTGCATACCACAAAAAACGTTACCAACAAACTATGAGCTCATTCATAGAGTTTGTGACTCGATTAAACCACAATTGGTGACTACAACCTTAGAATAAGGCCGATTAAACCCTCTCTCCGCCACCACAGCTCTCTTATCTCCGATCACTTTAGCCACTCTGTTCACACCACCACCAACAAACCACAACCATTAATCTCAAAAAAAAAAAACACAATTCAAATCCAACGGTCAATAGTATTCATTTGTTTTACCTGAAATAAGGAGATGAAGTGTTATCCCTCACTGTCTTCACTTCTCTCATCTTCTCCACAACTCCCATTCCTTCCAAAACCTTCCCAATCACCAAAACCGAATCCTCCAACTCCGGCGAATCAACCGCCGTTATAACAAACTCCGTTCCGTTCGGTCCCACCGCAATTACCTCTTCTTCCACCTGAAGCTTCCCATTTCTCGCCACAAGCTTCGTCTTCGGCGGCGGTTTCGACGGATCTCTCACCACAATTCCAACACTTCCCGCCTTATTTACATTACATATCTCTCCTCTTTTACCTCTCTCCCATTCTTCAATTAGGTTTTGAAGACTCCCGACGGCGGCGGTGGCTCGCTCGGCGTCGACACCGTACGATCTAATTCCGCCGTGCTGGACATAGCCTGGCATGATCTTCACAAATTCTTTTCTCCGGTAACTGATTCCGGCTTTCCCGCTTACAATGCTGCTGAACCTAGCTGTTCCCGCCGGAACATCGTCTCCGTATAATCCGATTATGATCCGTCCGATTGGTTCTCCGTCGATCGATACGTCGATGAACGCTTTCTTAGTCGGAATCTGGGGGAAATTGGAAAAAGGGAAACGAATCAAGCATTATCGAATAATGAGACATTGAAATTGAAATCGAGTTTAGCAACATTGTCTTACTCTGTTTTCGCAATTTGTGGGATTAGGATTATCAATTGTATCTGCTTGAGCATTAGAGAAGTCGAGCAATGGCGTTAGAGTTGTTTGAGTAGTGAGGAGTAGAAGCAACGAGGATTTACTTAGATTCCGTCGCGATAATTTGCAGTTTCGTTCCAATGACGGAGATGCTCCTACGGTGGTTCTCCGGATGTGCTGCAGTGGCTCTACAGGTGACGGTAGAAATTTTGCCGATGGGGTCAAAAGTTTTACATAGGGTAGCATCATTTTTGTCTACCTGATGAATATGAATCTGTGTGTCATTTGTGGAGGAAGATAGATAATTACTAGATTTCGTGGATAAGGAATCGAAAGTTAGCCGTATATATATGAACATCACCCATTTCATGTCACACAAACGTAACCAATCGGATTTATTATACATTTCAATTTATTATTCTTACAAAACCCAAAGTAAAGCCCAAGCCCAAGCCCAAATATAAAACCCTGATCAAACCCAAAGTAAGAGAGAGTCACTAACTTCACCATGGCGGTTAGTTGGAAGACTTGAACTTGTCAGTTGTCAAAGAGTTTGGTAGCTTTGGCCCATTGTGAAGTCGTCACTTGCATCTATTGCTTTTGTAATTTTCTCAAAAACAAATTTCAAGTCGTTTTGGTTGTATCAGTTTTTTGACAAATAAGCTTTAGTATTTGCTTTTTACTTACTAATCTCGCACGCAAAATATGCCCAAAAAATAAGAGAGAATCAGAACATCTCCAGTGGTTTAAATTATATAATCCTTATGGAGAATTGGAGATGCTCTAAGTTCGAGCAAGCTTTAAGAGAAGTCCGATCTAACTGTCTTTTCAATTAGTCTCCGATAAACAAATCAAGTTGTGGATGGAATCGTTGAAACAGTTTGTTTATTATGTACGATGTTATTTATCGCGCGTATCTTCTATATCGGAATAGCTCTTGCCTTTTGCAGTGACGGACTCACTGGGTGCAAGTCTAGTAATGAAAAATTGAGTTGGTGACCAAAAAAAGTTTACGTGAAATATATACACAAATACCTTAATTCAATCATGCTCGGAATAAGTATATATACAGAGCGTTGCTCTTCCAACAGAGTCTATTTATCTAAATATCTTCAGTTCACTAAGCAAATAATGATTTCCTAAAGCGAATAATGATTTCCTAAAGCGAATAATGATTTCTTAGTCTAAATTAAAAAAAAAAAAAAACCGTGGAAAAGTATAGAGTAGAATTTAGAAAAGTTGTGATTATTTTCTTTCCATTTTGTGGGATTCAGTTAAATGATGTCCAGGTCCAGTGTTTGAGCGACCAAGTTGTAGTTTATATTTATTGTCATCAAATTCAAACGACCGTAATATTTGTGATTACTACAATTTACCACTTTCCTCGAATTTTCAGTTTCGTATAATAGACCATGCATGCCGCCAACAATTTGTTTAGAACCGTTTTCTATTTCTTATTATTATTTGCTTTTGTCGTGAAATGCGTTTTATTTTTTCTTTTGCTTGTTAATTTTTTTTTTTTTTCGTCTGAATGATTCCATTATACTATACGAATTGAAATACAAGACCGACAAGAGTCGAAACTCTTTCGGAAACTAAGCCGGCGGAAGACATAAATATCCCCGGAGTCTAAAAGCCCAAAAGAGGGAAGCGAAAGCCCAACAGAGAGAAGCGAAAGCCCAAAAGAGGGAAGCGAAAGCCCAACAAAGGGAAGAGATGCCCTAAAACACAGGGACAGTAACAAAAACCGAGTGAACAAACCACCGGACGAAACATTGGACAAACTCGTAAACTAAAGCTCGGAAGGAAAAAAAAGGACATGCTTGTTAATTGTTAATAATGTTTTAAATTCACAATCTTGTCTTCTTCCTTAGAAAAGTCTCGCACTCCATCTTTTACAGTTGATTTTATTCCGACAAAAAATACGTTACACGTACTCTTTTTCGTTTCGGATTATCTATTTTTGTATGGGTTTTCGTTTCACGAGGTCTGCTTTTGTTTTTTTCCACAACTCGTGAGACGTGAGTTACGACTTTTTGACAAATTTTACCACAAGTAATAAATTTACTATGACGAATGATTCCCTTTATTTGTCCGAAAGATTGTCTAGCAGATGAGAAAATTCAACTGAAGAAATATAAAATGACAGTAAAATATTGTACATATCTACTTCAGCGTTGAAGAATAATTTGTTGAATAAAACGTATATATCCTTTATCCAATTAACTTTTGTCTATTATGTGTGGTCTAAATTATGATGTTAACGTGGGATATTTATCGATCTTTTTTGTTTGGCAAATATTATTGAATATTCTTTTGTTATTCAAATCAGAATTCTTTAACTAATGTAGGTCAGGTTAGTCTTTTTCGAAAAGTAATATTACTAAATATTGAATTAAAAACTAAGAGGCAAGAATTTAATGTGTAATTTTTGTTAGAGATCAAAATTTTCTTTCCACAAATTCTGTGTACAATATTTTAGTCACTGTAGACGTTTTAACTAACAAAACAAAACACTTTGTTTTTAAACAAAAAATCAAAAAAATTGTTTGAAGTTGATGAAATATCTGGTTATACAATTAAAGATTAAACAGCATTATAGATAAATAAACTATATTAGTTTGCAGCCACGTACAAAATAGTTTCTGTCTTTCTGAACTTTGAAAGGTGGATATTCCATTTTTTCCTAAGAATGTTTCGAGTTCGACTCCAAAATTCCAGAACTTACATAATATTTATAACATACTATTCTTAATGTTTTAAATAGTAATATCTTGTATTATTTTTTTTTTTTATAAATTCCAAAACTAGTGTGGATTTTGTCATTTTGATCTATAACTGTTCTATATTAGTAAAAATATATATAGTATTATTTGGAAATGATAAATTTCATAAAAGAAAAAGTTAAATGGCTAGCTAAGAAATCAAGAATACGTACAAGAACCTCCATCTCAAATTATTTTCCACTGACAAAGTCTACACATTTAATCAAAGGAGATATTTTATTTATAACCAATTAAAAACTGCAAATCCACGTGTCAAACACATGAAAACGACGCCGTCGGCTGCACACGAGCCATGCCCACTTATAAAAATCAAAATAAAAAGCTCTACGTTCCTTCTTCAAATTTCTCATTTGCCAGCCAAGTCAGAAAACATACAAAACTCTCTCTTCTCTATCTTCTCCATCTTAAAGATAAAATAAGGGATATTCGTAAAGGGAGAAACACAAAAATTCAGTTTATGAATAGAGTAGAGTGTCGGGGATCGAAGTACAGAAAGTCCATAAGACGTATCTATCCTTGTCTTAATGTTTTTATAAAAAGATCTAGTCCTTTCGTTGTATGATCGATCCATCACAAGCCCACAGCAACAACATTTCTCTATCTCTGTTTCTCGATCTAGCTTCTATTATTAATACATTCAAGAATCAAGAATGGTACGGATGCCGTGTTGTAAAGCAGAAGGGTTGAAGAAAGGAGCATGGACTCAAGAAGAAGACCAAAAGCTCATCGCCTATGTTCAACGACACGGTGAAGGCGGTTGGCGAACCCTTCCGGACAAAGCTGGTATATATGTATTTTATCTTTCATCACCTATTATTACTATCGCTAATCAATTTGGAATATGTTTTCTTCGCATTCACTGTTTTAATAAATATAATAACTTGATGTTTTTAATTATTACAACATAATAGGACTCAAAAGATGTGGCAAAAGCTGCAGATTGAGATGGGCGAATTACCTAAGACCTGACATTAAACGTGGAGAGTTTAGCCAAGAGGAGGAAGATTCCATTATCAACCTCCATGCCATTCATGGCAACAAGTAAGTTTTAACTATATATAATGACCATCGACAGGCTTAATGACAAGAACATAGGCTCAAAATATTATGTATTTTTCTAATAGATGATATACTGATTTCATTTGATTTAATATATATATTATTTAAATAAGAATTGCAGACGAAAAGATTCATCAATGTTATTATAAAAAAAAATTGATTGAACGCAATAATTTAGCTATAGCTAGGATGTAGAGGTAGAATAAAATAAATCCTTTAATAACCCTCACAAAATGTGTATCCATAAAGTAATGCTACATAGTGACGATTTGCTAATAAATAATGTTTTGTTGATCAGATGGTCGGCCATAGCTCGTAAAATACCAGGAAGAACAGACAATGAGATCAAGAACCATTGGAACACTCACATCAAGAAACGTCTGGTCAAGAAAGGTATCGATCCGTTGACCCACAAATCCCTTCTCGATGGTGCCGGTAAATCATCTGACCATCCCGAGACACCGCATCCCGAAAAAAGCAGCGTCCATCACGGGGAAGATGATCAGAATTCAAATAACAAAAAGTCGTCAGGAACATCATCAGCTCGGTTCTTGAACAGAGTAGCTAACAGATTTGGTCACAGAATCAACCACAATGTTCTGTCTAATATTATTGGAAGGAGTGGCCTACTTTCTAGTCACACTACTCCTACTACAAGTGTTTCAGAGTGTGAGAGGTCAACGAGTTCTTCCTCCACACCTACCTCTTCGAATCTCCCCATGAACCAAAGCATAACCGTTAATGCAACATCTTTGTCCTCGTCCACGTTCTCTGACTCCTCCGATCCGTTTTTGTACGACGATATCTTCGGTGACATTGAAGATATGACGAGATTTTCATCGAGATGTTTGAGTGATGTTGTATCTCACGATGACGAAGAGTTCTTGATGTCTGATGAGTCTTGTTTGGAGAATACTTCGTTCGTGAGGGAACTTGCAATGATCTTTCGAGAGAATAAAATCGAGACGACGTCGTTTAATGATAGCTACGTGACGCTGATCAATGAAGTTGATGACTCCTTTGAAGGGATTGACAATTATCTTGGATGAGTATATTGATGATGATGAAAAATTGGCATGTAAATCAATTAGAGTTTGATTAATTTGCTATGGTTTTTTTTTATGAGTTTGTGACGTTGTTTGCTTCATAAGAAACTAAAAAGTAAAAACTGATAAAACATCGATCAACCAAAAAAAAAAATTGATAAAACATTCGGATATCCATAAATCATAATTACTGTTTAGTTGGTTTAGTACACATAATGTTCCACTATTGGTTTGACGACTCATGAGTGGACAAGCTAGCTAACCGCCACAGCAAGCAGGTGAGGTGAGATACATGATAATTAATATATTATCCTTTCGGTTCCACTTTTCTTTCGTTTCTTAATTAGCTAGTATTCAACCGGTTCCACTTAATGAAAATATGAATCTGCATATTATAACCAGTAAAATCACAATACACTGTCGAGTATATATATTAGGTAGATTTGTAAAAATTGAAATTTTCTATGAAAACTATAAAGTATATAATGATGTATATCTGTAAATATTTTGAATTAGTGAAAATATTATGCAAGATAATATGGCTATTGGAGAGAGTTTATTTTTTCAACGAAAGGGACAAATCTCGAGACACCGCATCGTAGAAATTAGAAAGAGGATCTTCAAGGAGTCAGAAATGACTTCACCTGTCGTCGCGGTATCCCTCGCCCAAGAGGACATAAAAATCTATCTCGAACAACAAACGTTGTGGTCTTGTGGAGTTTCTATGATCTCTTATTGGACATTTGTTTAAACTTTCATCATTCCTCTTCTTCTCAAATGGATTTATTTTTCTCTAATGTGATCCCACCCCCACCTTACCCATATTAAACCTTACCATTCATATCGATCGATGAACGAAAAAATTTTAGCCAAATCTTCGAAATACATACAAATATCACACACCATCAAATAATTAAATAACATGACTATTTAAACTTCCCACTAATCGAAAAGAACACATTCTACTCACTCCCATAATCTAAACATTCATATAATTACAAATATATATTATATCTACAGCATGGTTCGGTGGCTTCGTGGAAACAAATGAAGGTATAAAATACAATGAAACTTTTTTCGAACTGATATCCTAATTGGTTTGACCAAACTAGTTGTATTTCATTATGTAACCAAATCCGTATCCCTTTTTCGGTTTTTATACTTTTTTACCTACGATTTTTAAAATGTAAAAACCATTTATTTATAATATTTATGGTACGGTTAACTTGTTAAAGGGTTTTTATAGTCGCTTAAACGATGATTAAGTATTCAGCGATTTTGTTTTTAAAAGAAAATTTTAAAAAATTTATTTTATTTTTAGTTCAAATTTTTGATTAGTTGAGCTTAAAATAGTTTCTTACATGCATGCCAAATCTTTTAATTTTTTTACTGTATAGATCCTAGGAAATATGAACAAAGCGTACAATAAGTATCTTACTTTTGTATGAAGCGTGTTTTACTTTTAGATGAATCTGGATTCTGAACTCGAATAGGAACTTATTTTAAAAATATAATGTGTGTACTATTGAACTATAGCATACATGTTATCAACGAAAATATATGAAATGGAGACTAAAAAATTTTGGGATTTAAGAAAAAAAATTACATGAATCATATTGATGTGGCGTGATAACGAGTCATTGAGTTAGAAGAAGTCATGGTAGTCTATGGACTATGGGCCTATGGCGATGGCACGTGTTTGTGTGTGACTGTTGACTATTTCAATGATCCATGACGTAAATTCCAACTTAACATTTTGCATAATGGACTCTAACAACATTTGCATAATTATTTATTTCACAAATAACTTTCAACTTTGGCTCCTTTCCACTTGTCATTTTACGGGATTATTTCAAAGCTGTTTTCTTTTTTTTTTTGTGTACAATTAACAAATAAAATTATACTTATTCCCATAAGATATGCTTTGATTTCTACGTGATTTGGTTTTTAAAAAGTGAAATCACATATAATGTCCTATGCTACTCAGCACCTTCCTCAACAAAAGTGATTCTATTTCCTCGTTGTATCTTTTTGTCGCAGTTGATTACAAACAACATTGTTCACTCAAAATTATCAGATTTGGTGAAGTAGGAGATCTCTTTAATTATGGATTATAGACAACTAACTATGCCCATTCAATGTTGTCGATCGACGTTTCATTTTTTAAGAGTTATGCACACACGTTTAATCAGGAACCTATATGATACAGATTGTTTTGTATAAATGATGGACCTAACGTGTAACTGACAGATCAATTTGTATGTTGTGGTCGATTTTTTTTATTCCCTCAACAACTCTTCTCCATAATGAACACTGTCGTACATGGTTGATGAATCAATCTGAATCAATCTGCACACCAGTCCTATGAAGATGTGTTTTTTTATTGTTGTTGTCTCAAAGCAATTTTATTTATTTTTGCTAAAAGAGTAAAAGTTCATTAGTAAAATTAAGATGTGGAAACTTAATGTTGTGGATATTTTTGTAAAAACAGAGAAACTGAAGCCTTAGCCGAACTTCCCACACGTTAATGGGCCAGTGGGCCCAACCAATATGGGCTAAGATTGAAAAAAAAAGGAGAGAAACTGAAGCATGGTCAACACTCAAGAGGAAGGACTCCTTGCGAAGGAGGCAACATCACATTTCACATTTCTCTGTCTCTCGATTAGACCCAGCAAGATTCTACTTGTAAGTTGTATCTTCTCTCGTTCCCTCTCACTCCTAGTTATAGTCTCATGCTTCAATTGATGCTTAAATAGTTAGATTAGAGTTTAGCTTTGACCATTCGTTGTGGAATTTAGAGAGGGGGAAACAAAATTATGTAAAACCTAAAACTTTACACTGAGAGTCATCATGTATTCATGTTTATAGGCGTCATTTGAAGGTCGGGTTTTTAATTAGCCCTCAATTATCAGAAAACTATAAAAGTTTCAGACTTTAAAAGTGACATCTTCTAGTCACCAACGAACACTATCCAAGGACGAAGAAATTGATGATTTTTAGCTGTTAAAACCAATTCAGATGGAAAAAAATGCACTTCATGTCTTCTTTATTCCTAGCTTCACATTTGTAGTCCATCTCTGAAACCGTCAGACTCCATATTGGTATTATGCTATATAGCTCTGGTTTGCTAGTTAGGACAGTTGAGAATCCAATGGCTTGGACTAGTTCCCAATTATATTGTCTGTCCATCCTCATTTGCACGTTTGTATCATTTGATAATCACTTTAGAAGACATTACTATTCTTCTCATATCTGTTTCTTTAGATGACTTACTCTGATCTGCTTATATTAATAGGAAAGAGACTCAATAGTTGAGAAGGCATTACATGACCGAACAAATTTCACCGACAAGACAACAAGCGCTTCCGCGTACTCTGGACAGTTAGATGACACTTGCCAAAACGTATGTTTATATATATGGCCAAAGAACACAATCATCTTCGCTTAGTTTCAGCTGAATAACACAAAAATCAGAAATTACCTCCTCTGCTCTCAAAGCTGCAATCACAAGACAACATATAACTTTAGAGGAGGCTCAGCCTGTAATTAGCGGCTTATCAGCTCTACCCTTCAAGGCACCACTACAACCTAGCCACCACAATGATGACCATGAAATCTCACATCAAGAACCCTACCGTTCAGACCACTGTGTTTGGACAATCTGTTGGTAAAGTCCCTACCAAAGAGCCTAGAGTGCTCGGTGGTCGAGCTCACATCAAATTGGTTAACAGAGCCGTCTCTTCAGGAGCTAGTGGATGAGAACATAAACTCAACTAGACTGTTGACAACAACCTCTACCATTTTGTTGTCGAAAGGTAATCATCTGAGACAGCTTGACTAATCGAGTGGCCAACATAGCTATGCAATTAGAGTGATTCAGCTGGTTCACATAGTGACTAATCATCTGAGACAGCTTGTTCACATAGCGACAATAGTGATTCACTACAATGGGAACATGAAACCATGGCTAAAGCTTGCAATCGGGAAGTATAAACCTTACTGGGACAGGTACGCTCGAGCCAGTCTTATTTGCAAGATTGCATCACAGCTTAAAACACTTGAAGAGTTTGTTTTCTTCTTCATCAAGTCATTACGAAAATAGATATCTAGATACTTACTTAGTCAGGTTGAATCTTGTGCATTATATATTGTAGATCTTAGAACAGCAGCAGATTCAGATTTCTGCAAGTGAAGAGTGTAGTTTATTAAATAGATTACAGAGAAGAGCCTATTTTTTGGCCAATTTTTTTATAGATTAACAAATCATATATTTAAGTTATATACTCTTGAGTCTCTGATGAGTGCTTTTCTACTTTAAGCATGTGCACACCAATCCAACAACCTGCGAATCACATATTAACACGTGGGTAAAAAATAGCTTCATTACTAAAGCCAACCTGATCTTTGTCCAAACACAGACCATCATCACTCATCTCCCACAGAACTCTATACAAGTCTTTCAAATCCTCTTTCTCTATCCCAATGGAATCGGAAACCCTAACGGCCACGATCACGACCGTACCGAGCCACGACGAGACCAAGACAGAATCAACAGAGTTCGAGAAGAATCAGAAACGGTACCAAGAACTAATCTCCACGTTTCCTCACGAGAAAGGCTGGAGACCTAAAGAGCCCCTGATCGAGTATGGTGGTTACTGGTGGCTACCGCCTCTCCTCGAAGGTTGTATTCACGCGCAAGAGTTCTTTCAAGCGCGACCCAGTGACTTCCTCGTCTGTAGCTACCCAAAGACAGGTACCACTTGGCTCAAAGCCCTGACTTTCGCCATTGCCAATCGTTCCCGCTTCGATGATTCCTCTAACCCTCTCTTGAAACGTAACCCTCACGAGTTTGTTCCTTACATTGAGATCGATTTCCCTTTCTTCCCTGAAGTTGATGTTCTCAAAGACAAAGGGAACACTCTGTTTTCGACTCATATCCCATACGAGTTATTACCTGATTCGGTTGTGAAATCAGGTTGTAAGATGGTTTACATCTGGAGAGAACCAAAGGACACTTTTATCTCCATGTGGACTTTCCTTCACAAGGAAAGGACAGAACTTGGACCTGTCAACAATCTTGAGGAGTCTTTTGATATGTTCTGTCGTGGTCTGTCTGGGTACGGTCCTTATCTTGATCATATCCTGGCGTATTGGAAAGCCTACCAAGAGAATCCAGATCGGATTTTGTTCCTCAAGTACGAGACGATGAGAGCTGATCCTTTGCCGTATGTGAAGATACTGGCTGAGTTTATGGGTTATGGATTCAGTGCTGAGGAAGAGGAGAAAGGTGTTGTTGAGAAAGTGGTGAATCTTTGCAGCTTTGAGACATTGAAGAATCTTGAAGCTAACAAAGGGGAGAAAGACAGAGAGGATCGTCCTGGTGTTTATGCGAATAGCGCATATTTCAGGAAAGGAAAGGTGGGAGATTGGTCGAATTATCTGACTCCGGAGATGGCTGCTCGTATCGATGGGTTAATGGAAGAGAAATTTAAGGGCACCGGTTTGCTTGAACATGGTAAATGACTAGCTCTTGTTCCGAGCAATGACTGATCCATATATGCTTTGTTTACAACAGAAGTTTGCTCCTTGTTTTAGTTTGATTCTATTAATGTAATAACTTATATATTGGAAGAATAAATGTTGCTTCTGTTTTTTATCCAAATGCATTGTTTCTATAATAGGACCTGGCTTTGCAATCCTTTATTTAACATCATTCATGTTTGCCTGATCTATGCAGAGTCACCTTTTTTCATTCTCTTTTTGTTTCTGTGATTATATAAAACTGAATCCAATGTTTGCGGATAGGTATTAAATCAAACATTTAGGATCATAAATCGAAATATCTTTCTCTTGTTATAAATAAGATGATACAGATAATAATGAGAATACAGAACCAAACAGAGCAAAACAGAGCATCCTCTGTTTCGCCAGACCAAATAACAAAAGGACCAGAAGACAATACATTCAGTTATCATGTTGAAGCAAGCCAGTATCTTTGAATTTCTCCTCCACTAACCCATCAATACGAGCAGCCATCTCCGGAGTAAGATAATTCGCCCAATCTCCGACCTTTCCTTTCCTAAAATATGCGCTATTCGCATAAACAGCAGGACGATCCTCTCTTTCTTTATCTCCTTTGTTAGCTTCAAGATTCTTCAACGTCTCAAAGCTACAAAGCTTCACCACTTTCTCAGCAACACCTTTCTCCTCTTCCTCAGCAGTGAATCCATAACCCATGAACTCAGCCAATCTCTTAACAAAAGGCAAAGGATTAGCTCTCATAGTCTCATACCTAAGGAACAAAATCCTATCTGGATTCTCTTGGTAAGCTTTCCAATAACCTAAAACATGATCCAGATAAGGACCGTACACAGATAAACCTTTACAAAACATATCAAAGCTCTCCTCAAGACTCGCTAATTGACCTTCTTGAGACTTCTCCTTGTGTAAGAAAGTCCACATGGAGATGAAAGTGTCTTTCGGGTCTCTCCATATGTACACCATCTTACAACCTGAGTTCACAATCGAATCGGGTAATAACCCGTTTGGGATATGGGTAGAGAAAAGTGGGTTCTTTCTGTCTTGAAGAACATCGACGGTCGGGTAAAACGCGAAGTCGATCTCAACGTAAGGGACGAACTCGTGAGGGTTTCGTTTGAGGAGTGGGTTTGTGGCGTCGTCGTAACGAGAACGATTGACGATTGCGTAAGTAAGTGCTTTGAGCCAAGTCGTACCGGTTTTTGGGTAGCTACAGACGAGGAAATCAGTGGGTCGTGCTGCGAAATGGTCTTTAGCGTGAAAAAGACCTTCGAGGAGACATTCTTGCCACCAGTGTCCACCATATTGAGTTAAGATCTCATCGGGTCTCCAGCCTTTGCTCTTTGGAAGTGTAGCGATGAAATCGTGGTACTTCTTCTGTGTTTTCTCGAACTCTGTGAGTTCGACGACTTCGGATCCGTTTTGGGTTGTCTTTGATTCCATTGCTGATGAGATCGAGTGATAGAACCAAGAGAGGATGTATCGGGAAGGTTTATTAGAGTTGTGGAAGATGATGGATTGAGATTCTTGAGAGATGAGAAAATTGGTTTTATAATAGAAGAGAAGATTTAGGTAGGTGACGATGGCTCGATAAGGGTCGCATCAGTTTCATTGAAAACGATAAACAAACCAATGTAAAATTATTGATATATTTTTTTTTAAGGTAACTAACCGGTTCAAGGCTTATAAAATTCTGTCTTGCGTTGGTAAAATTGAATTCTGTTGTTTTTATTGTTGCAAATTATATTGAAAACTTTATATAACGATATATTTATTAAAGTGGATTTTATGTTTATATATCTACTAATTAAAAGTTAGCAAGTTTTTAACAAAAAAACAAATTAAAGTAAGCAAGTGATTGTATTATATAAAAAAATTGTTAAGTAGAGAAGAAGTGGTTGGTACTAAAAAAAAAATCACGTTTTAGAAATGGAAGTTAGCAGGTAGAGAGGCTTGGTTGGTTTGGCTCCGTAATTGAGTTCGGTCCACGTTTATCTCTAGGCCGTTGCTGAATTTCCTTGCAGCTTCCAACTCTTGTACACTTTATTTTCTAATTAAAAAAAGCCTCCACTTTTATATATTATCGGATTGGCCTATGCAGTCCGGTCCATTAAAAGCCCAAGTGTGTCAACATGTACATATTAAATCTAACGTATCACTTTCGTGGAGATTATTTTAGTTGTAGGGGGGGTATTCGATGAAAGAATTTAATAGAATTCAGATTTTTCAGGAATTATTTAATTCTAACTATTGTAATTCTCAACATTTTAATAGAAAACCACATGGTGGTGGGCGAGTGGTTCTCGTTTGGTTGGAAGGATCGCCCTGTTGGTCTAGGCCAGGGATCGATCCTCCCCAGACGCAGTTTCGCTCTCTCACTCCTGTGGCCACCTGGGAATTTACCTGCGGACTTGCTCAGGCGCCCCAGACCACCAGTTTATCAGGGGGCCCTTAAGTGGAGGCTTAAAAATCCTTGTGACGCGGGCTTAGGCCCAGTGGGCTAGTCAGATCACTGTGTGGTCTGGATACTGGGTTATCAAAAAAAAAAACATTTTAATAGAATTTGTTAGAAATTACAAACTGAAACTTTTAAAGAGGGATTCTATTACGAGTGTAAAAAGAGATATAACGTTTGAGTGTGGAGGATATTTTACTAACTGCTAATTGTCTTTCTGTTGCTGCTCGTATTGATGAAAAGAGGGTATACACAACTGTAAGTGGTTGAATTGTATCCAAATAACGATTCCATAGTCAACATACTAGCAGAGGTGTTGATTTCGCATTTTATAATCTTCCATTTGATCTTGTATTTCGCATTTTAGGCTTTGAGGAAAGAGGGGCTCTTGGATCTATAGCCTTTTGTTTGACAACATTTACAACAACGAGAATAACAAAATGGATTGATCAATTGCAAGGGGACACTTCTTCTTCATCTCTTCATCAAGGTTGTCTGACGTTTCATCGTAGGGGTTATGATGGGAACATACGAAGCAGGCAGATCCAAAACTTTGTATCCTTCTCCCACCTTAGCAGATTGTGCTGCTCGGGAGTCGGAGTAGGCATATCAACCAGTTTGGATATAAAAATTGATGAAACTGAAATCGGATTTGACAATTGATGATCGAAGATATTTCATGAATGGAGAAGCCATGATTTTGTGTGGGCATTGTTCATCGTGTATCTGGTTCTGAGTTTCTATCCAAATCCAACCTTAAAAGCTCAGAATTTCTTCTTCACATTTTACACTAACATTTCTATTAAATTCTTGTCAAATCATGTTTCCATACAAAACTGTATAACAATGAATAACACTAGCATTTGATAGAATTAAGAAATTAGTAAGTTGAATAACACATGAATTTAAAAGAATTTATAAAATGTCAAATTGAATAACACTAGAATCTAACATTCTATTATATTCTATCACATTCTATCTTCCAATACCCCCCCCGTAGTGTGTAATTTACTAATTGATTGCAGAGGAAAAAAAATAATTTACATCAATTAGAAAAGCATAAGAAAAACAGAGAAAGAGACTGTTTGCATTATAGTGGATACAAGTGTTCCTCTCCTTCCAAGTTCCAAACATAGTATAATGTCCTTGAATCTGGTAGGGCGAGCTAGTCGTGAGATAATTCAAGGCATGCACTTAAAAGCAGGTCCGATCCTAGTCTAAACTCTAAAACCAAGCGAACTTGTGTTTTTGGCATAATAATTTATAGGCATCAGTTTTATAAAAGTTTTTGTGTGAAGTGGTTGACTCTTATAACTAGTAAGGTGCATGTTTGAATCTTGATTCTGCAATTTTCGTAGTTTTCTTTTCCAAAAAAATGGGTTTATAAATGGACTTTTTGTTTTAGGGTCAAAAATACTTCAGGTGAGCTCTGCCTAAAAGGATTCTACTATAACAGATTATAAAGTGAAAATGTAGGGACAAACGAAGAACCTTGGGGTCCTGTTTTGTCATATATATAGCACACATGTTTAGGTGTGATCCCATAGCCGCATACAAGGTTTAGACATTTTTCCACAACAAAGATGGACCCCTTCTACTTAGATTTGAACTTTACTTGCAGTTATCAACAATTTAATATGATTGGCTATTTGTTATAAAAAACTAAAAAAATCAAATTTTCAGTCTGTAAAATTATGTCAAACTACTAATAACGATGTAACAAGTACATAAATACATTAATTAACAAAAATTAAGATTTCAGAAATGGAACTTTATTTAATTTGACTTTTATATATCAAATCCGTTACAAGTTTTAATACTACTAATTATTTAGATGTGGAGGGGACAACAAAAGAAAGTCACTAATTATTAAGACATCTCACATGGGAAATCAGAGAACCCAGAGAGAGAAACAAAGTTGCATAACTTGATAGTCAGTGAAACCCTACTTAAACCCTAGGGATTGCCTTGCAGACAAGAGTGTTCTTCATCTCCAAAGAGAGCTTCAAAGTCTCACTCAAATCCACTTCACCACATGGGACCCATTTGAAGCTTCCTAGCAACTGAGCTAGCCATAGCTCCACGGTGGCTAGACCCATCGACTTGCCGGGACAGACCCTACGTCCAGCACCGAAGGGAGCAAGCCTCAGATCAGATCCCATGATGGGGAAATTATCAATTTCTTGCGCACCAAGAAACCTGTCTGGTTTATACTCATGAGCTTCCGGCCAGACCTTTTCATTGTGGGTTATAGCCCACATGTTTACCATCGCAGTGGTTCCTGCGGGGATAAAGTGGGCTCCGATTTGAGTGTCGTGAATGGACAGGCGAGCCCATGAGAGGAGAGGACCAGGTGGGTGCATCCTTAGGGTTTCCTTGATGATGGCACGAACGTATGGGAGCTTGGAGAGGTCTGAGTCTGAGACTTGACGTCCCGAGTCACCCACGATACCATCGATCTCGGCCTGCGCCTTGGCTTGAATGTCAGGGTGAAGAATCATCCTCGCAAGGATCCATTCCAATAGAATCGCCACTGTGTCTGTTCCCCTAAAAATCATTTCCTATACAACAAAACATATGTTTAGATTATGTTAATTATTCCTTAAACTCATATATGTATATGCCTATACTCGTAATTACCCAAAGGACGGCAATCATATCGGTGTCAGAAAGTTTGCTGTTGCCGTGCATGCCAAGTAAGACATCGACAAAATCATCATCATAATTAGTGCTCTCTTCTGGATTATCGCGAAGAGATCTCTTTGATTTGTGGTCGTTGATTATCTTACCGACGAATACATTCACTTTACCAACCAAACTACGGCATCTTCTCCTCACGCCTTGTAAATCTAACCATCTCATTCCAGGGAAATGATCACTCCAGTTGAAGATTCCGAGCAGCTCATAGCCTTCGGACACCAAATGCTCCAACTCAATACTCTCTTTTGAGTACACAATACCGTCATTGAAGTTGTATGTTTTACCAAAAACGCTAGACATCACGTTGTTGAGTGATCCGAAATGCAAGATCTTTTTTATATGCACTTCTCCATAACTCTCCATTGCGTTCTTGATCTCTCCTACCATGTTTTGCCCGATTTTTAGGCGGGACTCGCCAAAGCTGGAGATCCTCTTAGGGCTGAAGAGATGAGTAGAAGAGATTCTCCTCAGCTCTCTCCAGTAATCACCAAAGGGAGCAAACCCCATGGCTCTATGAAAGAGCAGCTCGTAAGCCGACTCTTTCACTGGCCGGTCTGCAAAAGCAGAGCTGTTTAGAAGCTCTTTGGCGGTCTCCGGTTCGCTGGTTATCACAAACCGAGTCGAGCCGACGGAAAACGCCATGAGAGCTTTTGCTTTGCAAGTGTCAGCAATATTGGCGAGGATTCTGTGTGTTAAGGCGTTGTTGACGAAAGCCAAGAGGAGGCCAAAGATGGGGAGACCAAACGGGCCGGGGATGGCCGGTCCGGTTTTGGACTCAGGTCGGGTTTGGAAACGAGCTTTGTAGAGTGCCCAAGCAAAGCCACCTGGAGTCAACCAGAAAACGAAAAGGGAGATGAAGAGGGAAATGCTGAGACAAAGCTCGAGACTCAGAAATGGAGAAGATCCAGATGGAGAAGCGAAGGAAAGATACATATCAATAGCCATTTTCTTGAAGAAGAAATTAGGGGTTTTTAGCTTGTGAGAGCATAAGAGAAGAAACAGTTGGTGATGATGGGGACAGTGAGAATGTTTCTTATATAGTGGAGGATTTTAACTAGGGTTAGATTTTATATAAAGTCCAGTCAGGTAAGCTTTAACCATGGTCAAGAGTCAAGACATCGCACCGTTTATTTTTTTCTTCTTCTTTTCATTTGATGGATTTGCCCCTTTTTGCATGGTTTATACATGATTTGGTTTACATGACATCCGAGTAAAGCCATTGTATACCTACAGACTACATATTTTTTTTAAAAAAGTGTTACATGAATGTACCAATCATTTTTATATTAAAAGTTCAGTAACAATGGTTATCACATAATCATTTTTCGTTAATTTTCTACAAAATATAGATCATCGTCTACGTAACATATTTCTTCGGACGCGTACCATAAATACTTATTAATTTAAATTCCAAGAGAGAAAGAGGTTGTGTTATAGAAGTCACAAAATCAAAGGAAGGTTTCAAAATATAGAAGTATCCAAATAATAGATCTACTTGACAAGTTAAGTACTTTTAAGAATTATAAGAGTTTGACCAAAAAAGAATAATAGGAGTTTAAAGTTACGTCTATTTCATGTAACTTAGATATATAAAAAATCACGGTTGTAACCAATTAATATTCATTTTCAAAAAATAAAATTTAAAATAGTTCTTACTGAATTTTTAGAAGTTATATTGAGCAACAACAAAATAAATCATTCAGTTTATTCCAATGACGAGAAAGAACAACAGATAGAAACAAATTCCCCTATTGAATAATAGATTCGGTGAACTGTCTAAAATATAATTTCCATTTTGTCTATTCATTGAACTAAAGGAAAAAAACATATTAAAAAAACTCATATTTAACAAGAGACATCAGAAATAAGTTAGAACTTAAAAAACTTATATATAAAAAGAGAAAAAAATGCATAAGAAAAATTATTCATGTATTTATTACCAATTCCTATACCTGCTGCTAGTCAATAAATCTTGCGGACACCGATACGTTCGCAGTCAAGTGGATATAGCAATGTCGGACCAGGTATTCTTTAGAGCATCTCCAACCCATCTCTATATTTGCCTCTAAACTCTATTTTAGAGGCAAATCTACTCCAACCCACCTCTATTCTCACCTCTAAAATAGAGATCTCTATTTTTTTCTCTATAATATTTTTTTTTTAATCGACAATGCATTTAATTAAGAACGATATAATTTCCTTAACTTGTAGAGAATAAAGTTAATGACTGGTAGAGAATAATTTCCTCTTTTTTTTTTTGCGTATGGGAAAGTTAGTTACCGTTGGAAGTTGAAAAGTGAAGGAGGAAGATATGTATAAACATAAAATACAATTAATTAAGAAGTAACTAATCACAGCTTTAACAAACAAGTAATTAAGAAGCCACTTTATGAGAATTGATAGCTGGTATACAATATGGTCGGTTAAATTATATATTAGGATTTGAGTATTTGACTCAAATGTGAAAGAGTTATATAGGGTTGGCTACCTATTTGGACCTTTAGGCTTTAGGAACAGGAAGTACCTTTAGGCGGCTTAAACTAGCATATGTTAACTACGATTATGATGTACATACTAGCTACATAGTAACATATGTAGCTCAACACGAGTACGATATAATTGTGTTCCATATTCCGACCATCTCATAAATCAATGAAAAATGTATCTCAGCCATATCTAGGTCAATAGGTCATTCGATGTCACGTGTGTAAACTACATAGTTCTTCATTGTAGTAAAACTTTTATTAAAAAAGAAATGGATTAATGGAGCGGAATTTTTAATTCTTGAATTCAAATTGCCCGTTTATCATGATTTCTACCTAGATATTCCATTGGGACTCCTCCAAAATTAATAACGAAATCGTTAACCAACAAGATGGATTTGCTTCCCTTTGACCCAACAAAAAAGTCACTGTTTCCTCATTGTCTCTTAAAAACGCACATGACTCGACAGTGTCGGTCCTTCATGCAAACCTATATTTTAATCATTTGTAAAAGTAAAACCGAGGGATGGAGATCGATCGGCCCTTGGACTAATTTGTCCAAAATAAAATCACGAATAACCGAGTATAAAACTGCTAGGTCATAATATTGAATCTTTAGGAATATAAACGTTAGTTTTAGCTAGACTTTAGACGTTGATGATGAGATATTAATAACCAAGACCAAGTAGTTATTGATGGAGATTATCCATATTCAATCCGGCCGGCTTTAATAAGGGTATACATATTTGGTTTGGATCCATATATAAAAAAACAAATGGCTACATTTCAACCTCAAAAAAAAAAAACTAATGGCTTTTCATACTTTATATACAAAAATTGGTATAAATCAACTTACCAAGAGGTTAGATTAAAATTCGGGGGCTTGAAGTTGAAGCCACCTATTTGATTTTAAGTTCAATGGTCGTATATATATGTTATCAGTTACAAAACTAGTTGAATATTGAATACCAGAATTTTCTCATAACTTGCTTAATGGATTATTGAATCCAGCTAGCTGGCCTGTTAATCAAGTATGTATTTGCTTAATTGAATCATATTCAACTAGTTTGGTTAAAAATTGATATACGTATCAGCAATTACGTCACGAAAACATAGTAATATGGTGGCCATGCATGATGCAGGGTATGGACCAAACAAAGCATCGACCTCGTTAACCACAAAATTGTCTCCCTTCAACAATGATACCACACACATACACAGTGACACATATATATGCCATACAAAATTGGAAAACGCTCCATATACGTGTGTATAAGGTCATAGGTTGTCTGACCGTAGAGACAATTTAAGCTGGCTTGTGATGATGCTTAAGGACAAAGCAAATGTCACAGCTCACCACTCGTATGTGTCTTTATAGATAAATACTATTTCTAACCGAAAACCGTTGGTAAATACGTTGACCAAGTCAAAGATGTTATTTGACCAACTGTCGAATCTTACATCCAAGTCTAAATACTTGGTCTATAATTTTAATCTAAGTTTTTTTTTTCTTTTTCAGATACTTGTTGTTGTTCACCTTCATATATAACCAATTCTGCCTTAGATAAATCTAAATCTCATGTTCATCGTTTTCTATAGCTCAGCTTGAAAAAAGTTTTTAAGAAAGACTTTTTGTTGTCAACAAATATTTTTGGTATAAATGCAAAAAAAAAAATGTCCGAGATGGATCACGGAACAGATGGATCGGCCTAGCATAAAAGTTGTCAAAACGGGCTACTGGCCGGCCTGGCTCGGCCCACGTAACATCCCTAACTAGTGGTTACTGTTGGAACATGCACTTGACTTTTAAGAACCAATTTGCTCAGCAAATCTATCAGGCAGTAAGGCAGAGACATGGAAACGAAGGCAATGGCATTGGTAGATGTCTTCCGCCTCCAAGATGCACAACGAGAAGTGAGCATATGATTATTCAGTACTTTTTTTCAAGAGTACGCATTGTCCTTTGAATAATCAAGCCATGAACTCGAGCTAATTGAAATCGGATTTGATAGCTTCTGGAAGTTTCCTGATAACCCATATCAGTTCAGAGTAGCAAAGTGAGGAAGCGAGAATCCTCTAGAGAGTGGCCGATCTCTTACAATCTAGTAAGAGGCAATCTTTGTTTCAAGCAGTGCAAGATCCAAATCTTCTAAGCAAGTGACTCTATAAAAGACTTCATGTTCACCACATCTTCTTTTGTTGTTAGATGGCTGGACGGCTTCATAAGCTTCCAAAGCCCAGCGGGATGTCGTTTATTCACTCGGGCATTCTCTTTTCTCTTGCCAAAGATTCTTTCGCACTCTGGGTATGGCTTCACGTATAAATTATAGAATCTTTTCATGCTTGGTTTTATCAAACCTTTTAAACCAATATCACAGCCAAGCCCGCCTTTCAGTTTCAAGTAATCAATGACATTGTACCGTGGAACGATCTGCTTCTGGAGGTTAACCCCTAGATACTCCGGTACATCAGCTAAGCAATTGATGTGAAATCCCATTCTGTTAGTTAAAAACTCAATCTTCTTCTCTATATCCTCTATCTCATATAAGATCACCCTCGGCTCTTTCCACACAACCTTGAATGCATCTCTATGAATCAACCCGTATTTGCATAAACAATCAACTCTGAGTTTCACTTTAAACCCAGCACGAAATGCTCCTTCGCTGAGAATACTAATTCGGATCACTTCGCGGCATTTCAATGTGTTGATCAACTCCAAACACCGTGGAAGCTCACCTAACTCCAAACCAAGAACTCTCGGTTCTCTAGCAATCTCTTTCTTTATATCATCCTTGCTAAACCCCATCTTTATGAACTCATCAAGCAATGGCTTAAGTCTGGTCTCAGTACCAATCCCTAGAACCTCAGGAAAAACGTGAAAGAACCTCTCAATGTTATCTCGAGGAATGTCGATTCCAACTAAAAATTCAATCTTCTTGTGAATTTCAATCTCATTCACTAAGAGAACACCTGGGAATGAACTTAAAATCCTACTCACAGTACTATCACAAAACCCTAAACCCTTCAAAACCCTTATGCACTCATAAAACTTATCTGGGCCAATCCCAATTCTACTAGAATGTTCAAGGACGCTCTTAATCGCGGAAGACGAGACACCGTGTTTACCGCAATCAAACAGAGGAACTCTCCATTTCCTCAGGAACTCTGATCGCAGAACATTAGGGCAATCGCAAATCAACGAAATGAGCGATTTCTGAGGGATTTTTAACGATAACAAGATACCGAGAGAAGTTTCGGTTTCTACTAAATCCAAATTCAATAGGTGATTGTTTCTAGAGAGGAAGTGTTGGAGAGAAGAAGGAGGGAAGCCATACCTCTGAAGAAGAGTCGCTAGTAAAATTCGTTTCCTGTAGTGCGATTGATTGATAGGTGTAAGAATTCGTGAAGAGGGATTTGAAGATAGTGATCGACTCTGGTGGAGTAGGGTTGTTATTGTGTAGCCATGGAGATTGGTGAAGGTTTTCAGTTTTGAAGCCATTCTGATTTAGCTTCGGCTTCGAAGGGCACTAATGTGTAGCAATGGACGGACAAGGAAGAAGACGAAGTCGTGTTTATTGTATTTACACTTTAAGGCTCAGAGTTTTGTCTTATTTTGATAAAGCTTCCAACTATTTTTTTGTGTATATTTTTCCCTTTTCTCTATTGGATTCCTTATTAGGGGCATTTTGATTTTCTTATTTGTATCTAGGAGATTTTATAAATACAAAGTTTAAGATATTTGTTTAAGTCAGCCGTTTTAAAGAGATAATAGATTCTAGGAAATGTTTAGCGTCGAATCAAAGACGTGTCTTGATGTTTCGAGTAAAGACTTAAATCGATTTTAATAAAATCATTAGAGGTGAATTTGCTCTGTCTCTGTATTTTTGTTTTTGCTTAATGCGATTGCAGCCATTGCGTGTATGAAATGGCAGTATTGCGGTTATGGTTACTTCCGATCTTTCTGGTTTTATAGTTGGTGAAATTCTCTCAATTGATCATTTGATGCTTGTGTAAAATAGCCTTAAGTTTCTGCTCTGCTTCGACATTGTTACTGGCGATAAAAATGTCATTAACATAAACTAGAACCGCAACAAAAATGGGTCATGTCTTCTTGGTGAACAATGTATGATCAACAGAAGGACCGTTTGAAACTTGCGTTCAATTTGACAATAGACAACCGATGATACTATTGACGTGAAGCTTGTTTGAGTCCATATAAAAACTTATGCAGTTTACACACTGCATTAGGAGTAAGAGGGTGGCCATTAGGTCAGGTGAAGTATAACCATGTGGTAAGCTCATATATATATTTCCTCATCCAAGACATCCATTTGCGTAAGCGTCCACAAATTTTAATTTTGGAGATGAGAATTAAAAGCTAGTATGATTTAGTGAATCTTTTGAAATTTATAAACGGGAAAGAATTTTTCTTAAAAAAAATTCCTTAAAATGAAAGTTGTTTCTCGTTACTAACTTTTCATTGCACTAAAAAAAGGTGATTTTTTTTTAAAGGTGAAAATTTTAACACAAATATCTCGTGACAATGTAATTCAGAAGTTCATGCATTTGGTAAAATTTGAAAATTAATTTCGAGAAAAAAGGAGAAATGCATGCGATTTTCTCTCGCAGGGTCGTCGTCGTTGGCTTTTCTTCGCAGCTCACCAAATTGGTGACGAAACAGCCTAGCCAGAGTCGCCATTCCCTGAGCCATCTTCTTCTTCCTTCTACCCTCTCATCTTCTTCTTCAGCCACCCGCTTTGTTCCTTCTCTATTGCGTTTGGAGAAAGTTCATGGCTTTTTCGCGACCACGTTGGGGAACACCAATCTAAAGCTGAAATTCAGAAATGTTCTGGAATCTAGAGTTGGGTTCTTCAGTTCTCAGCTTCCTAGTAATGGATTAATCGAGTCTCAAGGATTTACTGGGTTTCAAAAGCGTGGATGGTATCGTTTCTTTTCCTCTCCCTTTTTGTGATTTTACTGGGTTTTCAAAGTAAAGTTCGAATCCTTCTAAGGAAAAGTTCTGAAATTTCTGAGTTTTCTTCCTCTATGATCCTCAGGTTTTATATACTGTACTCTGTTTGTTTCTCTAGTTAGCTACGTAATTTACACTTTTCTGAGATAAATTTCTGGTTTTGATTTAGGGTTTGGACAGAGATTATGTGATAAATCATCGATCTTTTTTCACTACTCTCTTTAGCTTTTCTGGTCAATTGTGCTTTAGCTCTACCAAGACAAAGACATGTGTGAGGATTCAGAAAAGAAAAATGAGAAATTAGTAGTCTTTACTTGCTTTTTTCCATTTTTGTGTAGTTCTTGATTTGAGTAGCTTAAAGCTCTTTTGGTGCTTTTCTCTTTATTGATAGACTAGCAGCTGGACACTCTTTAGACCTTCTTCTTTGAGAAATTGTTCTCCAGATAAAGAAATAACATCAGAAATCTTAAATTCTTCACCTGCTCCATATGATTTTGGTTTGCGGATACTAAATAAAACCAAAAAAAATAACACTTTATTGGGCTACTTGTGTTTTCCTTTGGCAGGAAGTCTTGGATTAATGGAGCTAATGGTGTAGTTTTTGGGTTGATAATAGCTAATGTTGCAGTATTTACAATGTGGCGGGTTTCAAACAGATGGTGGATGTTGAAAAATTTTGTGGTCTAACTCAAAACTCAGAACTTTTATTTCTCTTTTGTACTGCTAAACTATTGTCTTGGCTTTAGTTCATCTTTGATATTATTTACCTTGATGTTTGGGCAGCTAACACCGAAAAGTTTTACGAGTGGACGTATACACACGCTGATAACTTCGGGTTTTAGTAATGTTGGAACCAGTCAACTCATCTTGAACATGATTGGACTCTACTACTTCGGAACCAGAGTATGACTCTTTCTTTTATCGTAAATGAGATGAGAAATGCATTCATTTGTTTCCTTTGAACTGGTCACTTACACTTGATTGGAGCACAGCAACTTAACTTTAGAAAGAAATGTCCTTAGATAGACATTGAGTTGGTTCTTTTTGGAAGATTTGCTACCTATTGATCTTTCAATTAAATTAACTATCTATCATTATCTCTTAAACCCATTGTTCTTAGATTGCAAGAACCTTGGGGCCACTTTACCTTTTCAAGCTTTACTTTGCTGGAGCACTTGGTAGCTCTGTTTTCTTCTTGAGTAATCATGCTCTCTTGGCTACACTCAAGGTATAGAGAAACCAGCATAGTTTCCTTAATTTCAAATCATGCTAGGTCCACAGATTAATATTTTTTTCATTGATCCTATTTCCAATTCATTTGAAGTACATGTTACATGTGCTACACGGAGTTGTGGGGGTTTTATACTAATTGCCTTACCTCCGATATTGGTTGGTCAATCATACAGGGTCAAGGAGTTGTCACCATTGATAAATCAAAACTCCCCTATTCGCAGCTGGTATGTTTTTGTACTCATCTAGTTAAATGATTTTGTCTGAGCATGAGCAGACTGGAATCTTTGATTGATATATAGAGAGTGAGACAAAGATGCATGCACATGCACTTGTTTTGGATCACCAAATGCTGATGAGGTAAACTCTTTTCTATTTGTGTACAGGGTGCTGATGGATCTGTGTTTGCCATTGCGCTGCTCGATATGTTCCTCTACCCAAAAGTTACTACATACTTTGGTTTGATGCTCCGAGTGCCTGTAATGGGGGTAAGAACTCTCTACATACTCGTCATAATGAGTGAAACTCTTCTGAACCAGCTGAAAAAGTCTCACTCTTTAATCTTCAGGGACTCTTATTCTTAGGACTTGAGATGTTAAAGATTCTAGAGGTCTGTATTATCTGAGAATCTAATCCACATTTGGTTGGAAACATTATGACTAGCTCTTAACCAGACCAACTTTTTGGGAATGCAGGGGAAAAATAACGATATCTCAAGAAGTTCGGTGCGTCTGATGGGAGGAGTTGTGGTTGCAGCCATGGCGTGGGCACGGATAAGGAAAGGGCGATTCTGATACTGATTGATTATTTACTTTCTCCATTGAACCTTGGACTTGCTGCAAAAGAATCAATTAACCTGATCATCATACTTAGTTATGTGACAAATGAGACTAGTATTAGTACCATTTTTTCTTTTGGGCTGGATATTTTGGAAATTTTGGTGCTGAGTGGTACACTTTTGAAGTGTGTTGTAAACTGAAACGAAGAGATCAAGTTTTAATGGGTTTGGTTCCAACGTAAACTACTTTTATTTCTTGTCGTCAAAATTGGAACTTTTAATTGAACGTTGTAGATTATCTTAAGGTTATTGTCTTGACATTTATTTCAAGTCTCATCACCAAGATATTGTTTTCTTTTGACGTCAATCACAAAGATTATACAGAACAAACAATAAATATTCTTTATTCCTTTTAAACTGACTCACCTTAAATCAAGAAAAACAATGATGAATTATCTCCACTTTTTAAGGTGTTTAGTACATTTAAATAGTTTTATTATTTACAAAAAAATGAGGAGTTATGGGTACCAGTCTACCACTAAATTATTCATTGGACAGCAAAAAAGATTACTCATTGGATTTAATGGCTTCGTTAAACAGAAATAAATATCAACAATAAAAAGCAAAGAAGCTCCGTTTGTAAAAAACCTAAAGCAAAGGAAACACCTTTATATTCATTCCTCTGTATCGCCATTAGCATTAAAAGAAATAATTTTGGGATTTTGGATTTGCTCTTGTCTTCAATTTTATAATCTCCTTCCAAAAACCCTTAATTTTCCCGCATTTTCTCAAACGCAAAGAAAGGATCTTTCTTCCAAGAAAATGAGGTGGGAGAGGGTCCGACAAGTGGGTCTCGGTGATTCTTCTTCCGGGCCCGGAAATAGATGGGGACACACTTGTAACGCCATTAAAGGAGGTCGATTTCTCTACGTTTTCGGTGGTTTTGGCAGAGACAATTGCTTAACAAATCAAGTTCATGTCTTCGACACTCGTGAGTATCTTTTCTGGAAAATGTCAGCTTTTTCTCTCTTACGGCTGTTCGGGTGCGTCGATTCTCGTTGTTGGTTTTGCAAAAAGTCTTAACCTTTGATTGATCTCTGTATGTATCGATGGTTTTGTTCAATTTGTAGGGTTTTCTTTGTTTGTTTTCTTTCGTTCATTCGTGCGGTAGACCCCATTTTTTGCAAATCTTGATCTTTGTCCTTTAGTAACTAGCCACTGTTTCTTTCCTTGTTATACCTTACTTGAATGATTTGGACTTTAAGATTATTTGTTGGGATGCTGTTTTGTGGTTACCTGTAGTCATTGTTGAAACAGTCTCATTTGTGGCAATTTTGTTGCAGAAACGCAGATATGGACTCGACCTGTAATCAATGGTGTACCCCCCTGCCCGAGGGACAGTCACAGCTGTACAACAGTTGGGGATAACCTTTTTGTGTTTGGTGGTACTGATGGCACCAATTATCTCAACGATGTGCACATTCTAGATACTTGTAAGCTCTTGCATCTTTTCTTTTGTTGTCTGGTTATATCAAGAAAATGCTTGTGTTAACTGTTCTTGGTTTGACGTTTTTGAGTTTGAATCCAATTCTTTGTTTTTGGGTTTGCTTCTCTATTTTCTGTGTGTGGTAGCTTCACATACTTGGATATGCCCGGATATTAGAGGGGAAGGACCAGGGCCAAGAGAGGCTCATAGTGCAGCGCTTGTTGACAAACGTCTTTTCATATTTGGCGGCTGTGGGAAATCTTCTGATTCGGATGATGAAGTATTCTATAATGACCTTTACATACTTAATACAGGTATACTGCTTAGGCTGCTTTTTAGTTTCCATGTTAATCTTCTTCATATATCAGCTATGGTTAACTGATATGGGATCTGAGAGAGATTTGAGAATGGGCCTTTTTGCACTGACTCCTTGTGTGAGCAGACATACATTATGGGATGTTAGCTTCTGTTAGCCACAATGTGCATTAATTTGTGAATTATAAAAATTTGTTGTCATTTTCGTGGAGGCATGCGTGTAACTGAACCGGCTTTAATCTTGTTTAGAAACTTTTATGTGGAAACGTGCTGTAACATCTGGGAAACCGCCCTCTGCAAGAGATAGCCACACTTGCTCAGCGTGGAAGAACAAAATTATTGTAGTAGGTGGTGAAGATTTGGATGACTATTATCTCTCTGACGTTCATATCCTTGATACAGGTGCAAAAATCATTCTTCTAGCACATCTTTTTTAATGCTTGTGTGTATGTCTTCTGATACTCTGGTTCTGTATTTTCAGATAAATTTGTTTGGAAGGAATTGAAAACTTCAGGAGAGTTGTTAACACCTCGAGCCGGTCATGTCACTGTTGCACTTGAGAGGAACTTATTTGTATTTGGAGGGTTTACGGATTCTCAGAATCTTTATGATGATCTATATGTGCTTGATTTGGGTATGTAACCAAAAACTTCATTACTGACAAGCCTTCAATTCTCAATAGTCGCTGATGTCAAAATAATTATTATTGTTGGTTTGTCTCTGTAGAAACGGGTGTATGGTCCAAGGTAGTTGCTATGGTAGAAGGGCCATCTGCTAGATTCTCTTCTGCAGCGGTTTGTTTAGATCCTTACAAGGCTGGTTCGTTTTTCTTTGTTGGTGGCTGCAATAAGAATCTTGAGCCGTTGGATGACATTTACTACTTACACACAGGTTTGCTACGACCTTTCGGTTTTACTCCGATTCTTCAGTATCTGAGCTAATATTCTGTGTTTGGTTATAGCAAATTTGCTTTTGTGCAAGGTTGCTAATTATACTCCTAATCTTCTTTGCTTATGGCTAATAGAAGGAAGATACGATGTCCGGTTTAATCAAAATCCAGGGAGGTTGTCTCTAAGGAAACAAATGAAGCTAAAATGCCAAGGGCAGGAATTAGCTGTGTCCAGAACCAACATTGACCATGGTGTGCTAACATGAACTCTGACGTTAATCGAGATTATATTGGGAGCAAAAAATGTAGCATTTATTGTATATGGTTTTATTGTAGGAGGAGAGAATGTCCCTTTGAACATTGGCTCGATTGATCAAAGAAAACCGATGTTTCAGGCCAGGGTTACTGAAAACGTTCCTCTAGGTTACACTATAGAAACGATCATTGATGGAAAGGTTCTTCGCGGTGTTTTGTTTTCAAACAGACACAGCTCTGTTCAAATGGCAGATTCAAGCTTTAGTAGTAGGCAAGTGTTAGTTATTATTCTCTTTTTTCCTCAGGTTATAGTTTCTCTTGTGGCCCCTATGTTCTAAAGCATGGTTTATTTGTGATTGTTGGCAGGAAAAGGCCTGCTACATCAGATGGAGATTGTGATCATAGAGCAAAGATACCAAGAATTTTGAGCAAGGATTCAGCTGGTAGAAGCCAACAAGCTGGTCCTACTGATCCTTCTGATGATACTAACAAGAAGGTTGCAGATTCAAACGATACGGACACACCCATGATTGACACTGTCGATGCTAATGTGAACATGGCGGGAGCACAGGAGGCTGAAACTGCTGCGGGAACACGGGAAGCTGAAACCGCTGCGGGAACACAGGAGGCAGAAACCGCTGCTGTTACCTCTGATGTCAAAGATCAAGATGCTTCTCAACTCGATACGGTGTGACTATATCTACAACAGCTTTAGCTATTTGGAGTAATGCTGTTTCTTACCAGAATTTACATATGGAATACTTGCAGGGGATTGTGAACACGGAACCATTACCGGTTTCTCATGATCAGGCGAATGTAGAGCCATTTAGAAATGAGATATCAACAGATGCTGCTAAAGCTGATCCTGGAGTAGATTCATCGACACAAAAGCAAGGTGAAACATGAACAGACATGAGTAAGCAGTGCTTTCTTAACAATTGAGTAATAAGTCTTACTTATTCCTTGGATTCAAACAGAGGAGGGAACATCTGCTGAAGAAGATGCAAACGTAGAGCAGCAACCACAACCACGACAGCATTAACAAGAGGAAGGATCTTTTTGGGGGCTGTACAGTAAGTAGTAGCTGGAGATAGAATTTGGTTTAGAAGCTAAGTAGAAGAAAACTAATGATGAGTAGAAGAAGCTAACATTTGAATTGAGGTCTTTTGCTTCTTGTTTTGTATTTGGAAGCTCTGCAATATAAACAGCCTTCCTCTGTTGATATTTCCTTTTAGTTGGTTTCAAATTTGCCAGCAAGAGTGATGCCTTTCTTTTCTTCATAAAATTATCACACAAGATCACCAGATTAATCTGAACACGCGCACGTAAACAGAGTAATTACCTCTAAAGCAACTTTACAGGTGGAATAGGGCATTAACTTTGGCTTACCAAAACTCTTCACATCGAGTCTCTGTTTCTTTAGACTTTTATATGACGGGACAATTTATTGAATTTAGTTTGTTTTTTTTCTCTTAAATTTGAAAAAGGATCTCTTGAGTTTTTCACCGAACTATAAAGATTACGTTTGACATAGATATTCGTAATGATGGTTAATGTAACCATAGATCAATAGATACTACAAAGTAAAGAGACAAAAATTCGATGATTACAAGTTTTCGACAAATCATTAACAGCGTGGAACCATGTGCCTCGATGATTGAGCATTCTTAATCTTTGACCAAAGACCACTTTAACTTTACTTATACAACTATTAACTTCACATACTAGTATACTAATATAGTTTGTGATTATGTGTAGCTTTGGAAATTGTTAATTACTATGATACTTTGTATACAGTACACACTCATACACATCTATACATGAAAAAAAATCTGTTTATACGTTCGGATCCAACGACAAAGAGTAAATGCTAAAGAAAGTAGAGAGATACACGAGATAATTACTTTAATTGCTATATTATACCAACCGTAGTTATATCTCTCTTTAATTCATAACCAATTTCTTTGACGTGTCCTTAATGCCTTTGTTCTTTTACCAAATTCATTTTTCTTGTACCATTTCCGTGGAGAAAAATGCCAGAATTTCCAATTAGCATTGTTAATTACATTCATAAAAATATTAATCAGTCAAAACTAAAATACACAATTGTGTGATAAGAAAATATAATTTGGAGATGAGGTATATTAATATATATAAAAGTCCAAATTATCCTTGTTGGCAACCCAACTACTAAAACATGTATTCTTCAACTAATTTTGTGACTAATTTATTTATTGGTTTTGTAAGTATATAAGCACCCATTAGCCCCTTTACTATGATATCTTTCAATTATTATATCCTCAATATTGCTTTTAATAAGTTCCATGCAAAAAAGTAAGAGTTCCACTATGATAAAATAAACATTGTTCGCGACTTTGAAGCTCGAGACACCCAATGTTTTTGGTTCTTTCATTACACAAATCAAATTTAATTTAATTTTTTATTGACGTTAATACTTTGTTAGTAACTATTTTATGCTCTCTTTTTACATCCATTGGTTTATTTTAAGTACATAAGAAATCACATTACTCGAATTAGGCTACTAGACTCTATAGTATACGCCACCTACGAATACGAAAGTAAGTAGTTGAGTTTTAGAGAAAGAAAAGTCAAACATAATTTATGTGGTTGTCAATTTTGGATAATTAAGAGTCGAAAATGACAAGAAAAAGAACAACAAGAATAAGGTGTTGAGATGAAAAAACTGGGGACATATCGACGTGAGAAATCTATAAAGCGAAAGGGAACATAGAAAGGACAAGTTTTTGTTTGCAAGAAAAAGAAGCAGAAAATGACTATTACTAGCTTTTAAAGAAAAATATATTTTGGGGAAAAAAAATATTTCTACATTTTACTTGGTTACGCAGTTTTTTTTTGTTTTGCCTACCTATGCGGATGGTAATTTAATGCACATCCGTGACCTCACCGGCAAATATTAAAGACCAAAAAATTGCGATGTTTTTTTTTTTAAAATTAGATTCATACATTTTTATACCATTTGAATGGTGATGTTAATCAAACTTAGTGTTCAGATAAAATGTTTAAATTATCTGCCCGAATCTTAGTTTTTTTTTGATATAAATTTTAAATAGTATGAGTTTTATTATACTCAATCATAAAAAGCCAAGAATTTACCTCTGTTTGTGATATATTGTTATTTATTCTAACATGCCGACAGTTTTTAACATAAAATTTCTTTTTTTTTTTTCTCATTGAGGTCAATGCAAATGAATCTCACCAAGATGATTATACTTCAGTGAAAATTTGTATCTGGTGTGATAATGAAGCAAGATACTACTGATAATTTGTAATTCAAGTTTCAAATCCAGGATCTTTGTAAACATAAATTTGGTGATAAAAATTAAGAAAACCAAAAAAAATGAATCATTCTCTGGATATGTTGATGACCTGACACAGAGGTCACATGCACCTAGAGAAGTAAAAAACAGATCACTCTCTCACATGCTTTTGTGAGATGGAGAGCCTCTGTATCTCCACACACACCTTCTCCAATGTCTCTCTCTCTTTTTTTTTTTTTTTTAAATTTTCTTTTATTACCTAAATAAAATAAGATAATCTAAATATTCTTGGTGGTTTTTTGCTACTAACATTTTATTTAGGAAAAAAAAAGAAACCTTCCATTTTCCAATAAGCAACCCCATATGTGGCTGAATTTCCGGTTTGTTCTCTGAGCAGTTATAGCAGTGAGAGAGTACAAAACAGAGGAACATTTAGTCTCTTCTTGGATCTGTAGGAGATTCCTTTGTTCCTTTCTTTAATCTTACTTACTTCTTCTCTCTTCTTGATTTGGCGGTTTCTCTGCTTTCTGCAACTCTTTCTTTTCATTGGTTCTGTAGACTTAACGCACATTTTGTGTTTTAGGACAAACTTCTCAGACAAAAGGGGCACACATGTTCTAGTCTTCTGTTTAAGGTTTAGTAGTTTATTGAAGATTGGATCTAATTACCAAAAGGGTTTTTATCTTTCTTCCTTTTTCCTTTTGTCTTCAGTGGAATCTAGGAATCTAGGTTTGTAAAAAGGCACAAACTTTTTTCCTTCTTTAGATCCGTAGGTTGATTGCTGTTAGTGTAGGACTCAGATTAATTTTGGGGGTTTTTGAGCTTTAATTAAGCTGGGGGGTTCTTCTGATTTGAAATCTTAACGGGTTTAGTTTTTCTACAAAGAGAAAGGCTAAAATTTTGGAGTTATATGAATATGGAAGGTGCGTCATTCTCGTTATAGTTTTAATGGTGGTTACTGTTTGATGATGGAGATTGAGAGAAAGAAAAAAAAGAAAGCTTTTAAAGTTATCTCTTCCAAATTATTGCAAACACATCATTGAGGCATAAAGTTTGTGTTTTTTGGAAATCAATAAAGGTAAACACATCACTGAAGAAAGTTTTCCAAAGCCAAAAAGAAAAAAGGAGAAGTCTTTTTGAATCTTTTAAGCAGAGAGTTTCCGGCGCCGGAGAATTGTTTTTGTGATCTGTAGAAATGGCTGCAAAGCTTCTGCATTCATTGGCAGATGATAGTGCAGATCTGCAGAAGCAAATTGGATGTATGAATGGGATTTTTCAAATCTTTGATCGTCACCATGTTCTCACTGGCCGGCGAAAAAGCCTTACTTTAGGTAAAATAATAATTACTATATATTTATATTTGATAATTTTAAACACTCTCTTCTGATCTCTATGGTTCGTGTCTAGTAGTCGTTGACTTGTATATGGATACATATGTAATTCGTATATTCATGTTTTTTACTTTTCTCTTTGTATGTTTGTTCTTCTCTATTTTGTTTTGGCTCTTCATCTGCCAATGTAGTGATCCATCCATTAACCAGGTCTTGTTACAGTCTCAGAGATCTTAAGTTATGGTTGTTAAATTTTGCTTTCTCAGTTGTGTTGATCTGCCGAATCTTTTGGTTAGATTTTTCTTGGTAGATTTTGACTTTTATTAACCTTAGGCTCATGGAGTTTCCAACCAAATGTGATAAATTCAAGTTTGACTAGCAGGTTCTTGTAGGTTTTGTTAATCGTTTCTCTCAATGCTTAATCGGGTGTTCCTTGTTTGAGAGAGTTTTGATATGATGCTCATGCTTGTTTTATGGGTTTGTTGCAGGTAATGGAAATGCCAATAACATCAACTACGAGAGAGACTCTGTTGATACAATTTATCAACAAAAAGAAACTGTAAGTTGGTTCTCTTGTCAAACATGTACGATTTCTTTCATACCGAGGTTTTCCATAAGATCCTAAGGTTTTTGCATTTCAGTTTCAGGACTCCAACAATGGTGGGAATGTGAAAGAGAAGCGAAGGGTTTCAACAGAATCATCGAGAGTTTCTTTCTCATCTTCTTGCTCGTCCTCCCCATCGTCTTCTGAGTTCAATAGAGGAGTTCAACCTGACGCTTCTGCGTATGACCGAGCCAATTTCCAAGAATCTCCTACAAGTGATCCTGAGATGACTGAAGGGAATGGGTTTTCACAATTGGGATTTGACCTCAGAGATGTTGTGAGAGACTCAATGTATAGAGAAGCCAGAGGGCTTTTGGTTAAGACTCCAATGACAAGAGATGAAGGAGTTAGACAGAGCAGACGAGAAGATTCTCCAAGGCCTTATGGTTTGAAGCAATCAACTCCAGTGGATCTCAATGAGTCCTTCAGAGTTCTTGCGAAACTTAGGGAAACATCTCAACATTATAATGAGGTTGGCATGAAAGATGCACCTCGTTACTCAGTTGATTCTCATGATACGCTGAAATCCAGACAGAAGCTGAAAGAGTTGCCTAGGCTTTCCCTGGATAGTAGAGATCGAGGGATGCGAAACTCCAGCGTTGACCCTAAAACAAATAAGCTTTCTGAAAGTTTCAGTGAAAGTTGTTCAAGCAGCAGCAAGAAACGGCCTCCCAGTGTTGTTGCAAAGCTCATGGGATTGGAGACATTGCCTGGTTCTCCATTGGGTAGAGACATTCATCAGTTTGGTTTGAACAAAACCAACATCTCTGACCAAAATGACGATCCATTCTCAAGATCATTGAGGGAGAAAAACCTGAACCGTGCAATCCGTTTTTCTCCTAGCTCACCGAGGAGCTTGGGGAAGGACCCGGCTTCTCCAAGATGGAGAAACTCTGATTTTGTTATGAAACCTCTATCAAATACAAGATTCCCTATTGAACCAGCTCCATGGAAACAAGCTGATAGAAACCGAGTTTTGCAAAAGCAAGCTAGCATGCCAGTGAAAGCAAAGCCGTATGAGGCACCTAATTTTCCTCCTACTGTGTACAGTGAAATGGAGCGGAGATTGAATGATCTTGAGTTCAAACATTCTGGAAAAGATCTGCGAGCTCTTAAACAGATATTAGAGTCTATGCAGTCAAAGGGTTTCCTGGATACTGAGAAACAACTACAATCCTCAAACTTTGCAGCTCAAAGAGATTATGAAAGAGAAAATTCTGCAACTTCCAACCATGCGATGCCATCCAGAACGAGAGTCCAGTCTTCTTCATCATCATCTAACCAGGTATATCAGTCCCCGATTGTGATTATGAAACCTGCCAAGCTTGTTGAAAAGGCTGGTATTCCTGCGTCATCCTTTATTCCCATTCACAGCCTATCTGGCATCAATAAGATCCGTAGAGAAAAACCTGATGAGAAAGAAACTTCAGCAAGTAATAAACGGGTGACAAAAGATCGTAATCCTGGAAACCGAAGAGCTGAATCATGTACGAGCTCTTTTGATAAGAAATCTGACAGTAGAAATGTGCGGTCTTCTCCAAAAAAGCCTCAGCAGGTTTCCAAAGAAAGTACTTCAAAGAGTTCAGGATCTGTAAGTCCAAGATTACAGCAGAAGAAGCTTGAGTATGATAAACGTTCACGGCCACCAACCCCTCCTGATTCTAGCAAATCAAGGAAACCGTCAAACCAACAACTTGTGGAATCTACTTCTCCTGGTGGCAGACGTAGACCCAGGGCTCAGAAGAGTTTGCAGCAAAATGATGACCAACTTAGTCAAGCAAGCAATGAATCTAGGACATCAAGTCATGACATTTGTACTCAATCCGAAGCAGAAGCCTCTGCTTGGGTAGAAAAAGCTACTGAAGCCGATGGTGGTAAAAGTCCATCTGTAATCGAGGCAGCCAAAGCTGTAGTCTCTAACTTAATGCAGAATGTGAGTTCTGACTCTCATTTATATTCCTAAGTGTTAGGTGTCAAAAGTTTTTCACTTAGTTCTCACAAGGTTTGTTTTGTGTTTTCAGAAATCCAGTCCAAGGTTTAGTGAAGATGGATTGTCAGCTAACCTTTCACTAGTTGCTTTGGAACATCCAAGTCCTATTTCTGTTCTCGACGCTTCAACGTACAGAGAGACTGAACCATCACCCGTGAAGACACAAGGTAACAAAAGGATTCTATCTCTAGTGTCCTCGTGGTCATCAACATCTGAGAATATTGACATGGATAAGAACTTGCAAATAATGTCACTTTAAGATTCTAGGACCAGGGGTTAACTCTTACATTTGTCTGTAGCTTGTTTAGTTTGGGAAAATTTCTCTTTTACAATTTTTTTTCATTACAAGGATTGGATGTTCAGTTCCTTCCATTTTTAACTCAGAACTGATCATGTGATAGGTAATGTTGCCCATGAATTTGGTGATGAACATTGTGAGGACCAGTGGAATCCAGCTTACAGTTTCTCAGAAACCACGTCAAGCTTTTCACCAGAGATAAACCGTAAGAAGCTTCAGAATGTTGAGCACTTGGTTCAAAAGCTCAGACGATTGAACTCTAGCCATGATGAAGCCAGCCAAGATTATATTGCATCGCTCTGTGAGAACGCAGATCCTACCACCGATCATAGATACATCTCTGAGATTCTATTAGCATCGGGTCTTCTCCTCAGAGACCTTGGCTCAGGATTGACAACGTTTCAACTACACCCTTCTGGCCACCCTATCAATCCCGAGCTGTTCTTTGTTCTTGAGCAGACAAAAGGAAGCAGCACTACGCATCTGTTACACAAAGAAGAAAGTAAGGTTCTGAAATATGAGAAGCTCAACCGCAAACTTGTGTTTGACACCGTTAATGAGATTCTGGTGGAGAAACTAGCTTCAGTGGAAGCCACGGCGAATCCATTGATGAAGTCATATGCTAAGATGACTAAGAAAGCCGTGAGTGCGCAACAACTGCTGAAAGAACTGTGTTCAGCGATAGAAACACAGCAAAAGCAAGCCACAAAGAGATCAGAAAACTTCTTATTGGAGGAAGAAGACGACTTCTTGAAAAGTATACTTGCTGAAGATGTGAGGATTCGATCTGGGAACTGGGCAGACTTCAGTGGAGAAATCTCAGGATTGGTGCTAGATGTGGAGAGGCTTATCTTTAAGGATCTGGTTAATGAAATCGTGCATGCAGAGACTAGCCATCTGCAAGCAAAGTCAGGAAGGCGAAGAACGCTTTTTGCAGACCAGTAGCTGGGTCTGTTGAAGAAGACAAAATATATACGCAAGTAGTTTCTCTTCTTTCTCTAACTCTTTAACTGTGTTCTATGTTTCACTCTGGTCTTTTTTTGTCTTGCTGATTCTTATGCTCGTTTTTGGGTCTTCTGTATTCTACAGCAGAATAATAATCATATGGTGTGTTATGTAATTACTGAAGTTCTTGAGATGGCTACCGGGAAAGAAACTGTAAAGCGATATAGTAAGAGAATTCATAAAAGAAGAAAGACAACTAATGGGAATTTTCTCTGTATCTATTATCTACTTTTTGGGTCTGTGTACTCTTTTCTGCTTTAAGATGGTTTCATGCAAATTCGTGTATTTCAGTACATTATGTATTGAGCCAACCACCAACAAGATATGTATGAGGCATTTCATTTATTCAAAGGCAAAATACAGTACAGAGGAACCAAAACATAAGTTATGTTCTGGTTTTGTGAAACACAGGAGGTTTGAGAAGAACAACAGATGGGGACGACCCTGAAACTAGCACGTAAGAACATGTGGCAAATGCAGTGTTTTAACACAACAAATTCCTAACCTTGAGGACGAAAGTATCAACGATGTAGAACCAAGCTCTGCTCCAAGGAGAATCAAAAGAGAGTGATGCGAGTATCCCAACAAGTATGGTCACATAGGCAGCAGCAAAACTCCAATAGAAAGATACCATGTCGGTTGTGAATTCATCAGCTGCCACTCCATTATCTGGTTCTTGAAAGTTATTGCTCTCGCAGCTTAGGTTGGTTGGTTTCCCACAAAAAAGAGGATTACCTAAGTAGCTTCGCGTGTCGAAGGTGTTAAACTGTTTCCCCTGTGGAATGACTCCGGATAAGTTGTTGTATGAGACATTGAACACAGCTAAGCTGCTCAGATCAGTTAGTTGTGGCGGGATCCTGCCTTGTAGTCGGTTGAAGGAAAGATCAAGGCTTTCCACATTCTCCAAACGTGAGAAACTTTCTGGTATCACACCTGATAAGTTGTTGTGAGAAAGATTAAGAGAAAGTAGTTGCAGAAGATCTCCAAGCTCTACAGGGATCTCACCGCTCAGCTCATTTTCCGAGAGATCAATTCCAAACAATAATTCAAGATTTCCACCCATGTAGGCATCATATCTGTGTTTTGTTGCAAACTCAATCTTCGTCTTGGTGGCTGCATCGTAGCTGGTTCCATTCTGTCGACCTAGCGTACGCCTATATTTCAAATCTACATCTTCTGTGTAGTCCGTTTCAGTATCAGAGTCAGGGAAGACTTCAACTGCATTACCATATGACGTATAATCCTCGTTTCCCAAACCAAGTGACGTATTATTGCTAAAACATGAAGATATAGATCCATTTAATCTGTTGTTAGCAAGATCAAGAAGTTGAATGTTGGCACACAAGTGCCGAGGAATATGGCCAGTTAAATTGTTCCCACGTAGAAGAAGAATACGGATCTCTTGGATGCTGGTGAACTCCGGAATATTCCCAGACAATCTGTTATTTCTCAGATCAAGTACATCGACATGTATAAGCAATGTTTCTGGAATAACCCCTGATAGATTATTGTCTTGCAGGAATAACTTTGCCCCATATTCAGAGCTGACGTATGGAGGTATGCCCCCAGATAAATTATTTGCAGAGAGATCTAATAGCTTCAGATATGATGTGTTAAACAAGGAAACAGGTATGTCACCTTCCAACGAGTTGTTTGGAAGCAGTAATGCATTTAAGGATGGAAGTTCGCCAATCCAACTTGGAATAACACCCGTGAGTTTGTTGTTGGAGATGTCAAGCTCTCGCAATGATCTCAATCTCCGCAAACCTTGTCCAATTTTTCCTGTGAACAGATTGTTATCCATAGACAGCAGAGATACACGAGTCAAGTTTGTTGATTCTGGAAAAATCTCACCACTTAGTTTGTTATGTGAAAGCTTCAAGATTACCAAAGAATAACAACCGTTAAGAAAACTTATTGGTAGCTTCCCATGGAAATTGTTGTGAGATATATCCATATATTCAATCTTTTCCATGTTACCGAGAGAAGATGCTAGATTTCCGTCAAATCCGTTGCGAGATATATCCATATATTCAATATTTTCCATGTTACCGATAGAAGATGGCAGATATCCTTGAAAACTGTTGTTCGCAAGATTCATAAACTGTAAACGAGGAAGTATCCACCCAATGTTCTCTGGTAAGAGCTGATTGAATTCATTAACTGAAACTTCCAAGAAAAGCAGATTGTGAGCAGCTTTTGGTAGTTGAAAGCTGGTTAAGGAATTATTCTGTAGAAGCAAACTTTCTAGTTTGGTATTGTTCGCCAACAGCCAAGAAGGAAACTTTCCAGAAATGTTATTGTCAGAGAGATCAACTTGGCGCAGATCATTCTGGTGTAGGAGAAAATGAGGAACCTTCTCCAAGTTGCAAGACCGTAGCACAATAAAACTCAGCTGAAATTTCGGCTTCCAAGAACTTTCAGACTCTACTTGAAGTGAGTTAGCTTTTGAAGAAAGCTTGAACACTGTAAGCTTTGAGAGGTTGGCGAGCCAACCAAGAGAAAAGTGGCCTTCGAAGTTGTTATCAAACAAAGATAAGTACTCAAGGGATTCAAGGTTAGCGAGAGCAGAAGGTAGCTTCCCACTCAATTGGTTCGATGAGAGATCAAGAACTCGAAGTCCAGTCAAGCTAGTTAAACATGAGGGAAACTGACCTAGATAATTGTAACTAAGATAGAGCTCTTGGATATTCTTCAGTTCGCAAACGCCTAAGGTAACCAATGCAAAAAAATAATTCACATATAAATTCAACGTGTATCAGACATAATGCAAAAGTAAAAGATTTGTGCAGACTTGCGTTGCAATTCTATTGATGCAGAAAATGCATTAACACTTAGACTCAGAGCTTTCAGCTTCCTGAGGGCAGATAAATCTGCCACAAAGCCACACAAAGGAAAACATCTTTAAATAAGATCCTAATGATGTTATACATATCCATTAAACTTTCACTGTAGAAAACATAAAGCATTAGCCATTAGCTACCTCGCACTGGCAGGTAGCTGTTAAATCTATTTTCACTTATGTCCAGCATTTCCAAGTTCGTCAAATCTTTGAGTTCTGAAAAGGTATTCAAAAAATATACGAATGATGCAAAATGAATAGGCCATCATCAAGAATAGGCCATGCTAGATCCAAATATTAAAAAACACACCTTTAACAGTAAAAGTACCCTCCATATTGTTGCCCTGAAGAAACAGAGTTGTAAGTGATGTACCAGCATTAAGAAAGGGAAAGATACTCTTGTTGAATTCATTATAAGAGAGATCCAGAATCTCCAGGTTTCTTAATCTTCTTAGGCTTCTATAACCTAAGAAGATAACATATCTCAGTCTGATGTGATTAGAACATGCAACATGGAACATAAATTGACAAACATCAGCAAGTTAATGTAGAAACAAATAAATCCTGCTAGTATAAGTTATTAACTTTCATTATTTCATGAATTAGAAACAATGAACTAAGATTAGTCCATCTAGATTCTTTAGAGAAACAGAACCCTAACTCAGAAAAAAAAAAATAAATAATAATATAACTAACTACTAATGAAACTCTGGTATACCTTCAACATCATCAAACAAGCCATTGATATTGGATCCAGATAAGTTCAGGCTTTGAACTTCTTCAAAGGGATGGAGCAAAGAAAGATTTAGGAGAGTACTCTCTTTGAGATACAAATTACCAAAGGCAATCCTAGTCACCCGTCCGCTTGTAAGATTGCACTTAATTTCCTTCCAGATGCAACAATTGATCTTTGTGTCATTAGTCCAAGAAGTGAGAACATGGTCGAAGGCCCCTTCTCTACTTCTTGAGATCAGGTATTCCTTGAGCTCCAATAAAGCAGTCCTTTCTTTCTGAATACAGCTTTTGTATCCATGTAGCTGTGCCAACAATATCATCACCCATATCAAGTATTGTCCCAAGAAAAGCTTCCCCTCCATTACGAAAAAGATAAAAAAAGGAAATGAATCGAAAGCAATGTGGAAGTGTTGTTAGTTCAATGCAAATTACCTCCAAGCTTATGAGAAGTCAACAAGAATTGATTGTAAAGCGAGTGATCACTATCGACTATCGTCGTTTACTTTGAATTGTATGATAAGACAAGTCAAAGGTCCTTTGTAGAAAACCGTCATAAAATCCCTTGTATACATAATACATAACCTAGATTTTGCTTGGATGACTTACATAAAAAGCTTTGACTAGTGGGATTTTTGTATTATGATTAAAAATTGCAAGTTTTGTATTTGACTTTTTTTTTTAAACAAACAGAAGCTAAAAATGATCATAGCCCAGGGTAATCAATCGGCCAATTAATTCAATTGGGCTAACTTAAGGCCCATGTTTAATAAATGGAAACTAGAAACTAGGCGATTAAGAAAAAGGAAATTAGGCGTTTTAAGAAAAGGAAATTAGACAGCTGGCACCTCCATAAGTAGTGTTTATAAAAGGAAGCTTATCAGAGAGACTCAGAGACTCGTAATTTTTCTCCTAATTTTGTTTTGCCTTCTTCTTTCTCTGTTTAGCATGTTTCTCTCGATCGCTATACCATGACGGAAGACGATTTGTAGCGATAACCACTGTAAGAAATCTTCCAATTCTTTTGATTTCTAGGGTTTCTAAGTTTCACTATTATCAGTTCTTTCTCTGTTTTGCATATTTCTCTCTATCGATTAATTCATGACCCGAAGAAGATTTGTAGCTGTGATCACTGTAAGAATTCTTCCAGTTCTCTTGATTCCTAGGGTTTATAAATTTCACTATTATCAGTTTTTGTTTTGTTGTTTTTGTTTTCTTTTGGTTTTGAAGCGGCTTTGATAATTGAAAACCAAACAAATCGCGACTCTGCGTTTCAAAGTTTCCTGTGAATTGCTTGATTTTGTGTTACTCGATTTTGTTTAAGAGGGATTGCTTTTCGTTTTTGTTTTGTTTTGTTTTTGTAGCGCTTTCGATAATTTGATTAAACGTAAAATTGTTACGGTCGGTTGTGGTTTGTTGCTCTTGTTCTTCTGGCTTTTTTTTTTGTTTGGTTTCTTCCTTGTTTTGTTTTTCTTTCGAACCCAAAAGAGATCATAGGCAGACACTCAATTATTAGTGTTCTGTCAGGTTCTTTTTTGGGGACATTGTCCCGTCGAGTTTGGACCCATGGCTTATATAGTCTTTAGACCGA